TATTTATGACACCGCGATTCAATGATTGATGATCGAACCGTAAGTTGATATCAGATCGAAGGTATAGCTCCGTTACTAAAATAATGTGCGCATGGATTGTTGGATCGGTTGGCAGACTGATGGTAGTAAGATATACTTAATTGCCAGCAAATCATGGTGAATATTGATGGACTGAGCCGGTGAGTCAAACATAGAAACTTTTATCTCGGCCGTGACCGGCCATATGGATATAGGACCGGCCTGCATGGGTGGCCGGCCGGCCGCATCATGGCATGCATGTGGTTTATATATCGATCATCATGGCATGCATGTTGGATCCGATCGTATCGTCAGGCCGCCGAGGTGCCTAGCTCATGCAGAGCCGCGGCCGCGGCTACCAATTTGGCAGCACTATAGTATCGCGGTTGGCATCGTATATGCACACTGCATGCTGGCACTCCATGCTTCAATATCAATTGTCCCGCCGGCACGACTAAGTAAATGATGAATTACCTATATGCATAAGTCCGGTGACTAGCAGGCTGAATCTTCCGACTCATTGGACTGTCACTTCCCCTTCTTGCAATATGGTGCAATGCGGTGTGTCGCGCGCAAGCTAGCTTGAAGCCCATGCGATCAACAGTACATAGAGAGCCACCGTCCGTGCGCGGCTTCCAATAGTGCATAATAATTTTCATGACAACTCGCTTGCCAAGTTGGAAACGCATGATTGCAACGTGCCAAACGGTTTCTGAGGCTTGCCGCCGTGCCCGTGCGCTAGTGAGACTGAGATTCATTCAGTGACTTGGCTAGCATGCAACTAAACAAGCTCAAAAACGGTTAGCCACAAGCTGAGACTGCGATATTGCTGGAGTCCACCAATCCGCTTCCACAAACGCCAGTCACTTTGAAAAGAGTTTACAGTGAGAAAACGCCTGTCTAATTCAGTTCCTATTGTTAGCAATACATTGTTGTTGAGGAATAAACTCCATGCAACACCAAGTGCAATGGTCTAGGTGAGATTGGACTTGCTCTGCCTTTCAATCTGCAAGACGGAAAAAGGCACATAGAGCTCAGTATCAACCTAGCAACGCCAACCTGGATTCGGATGTATCTGTGAGACAAGCCAGGAACAGCATAATTCCTCCATCAAGCTCACTCGAAGCCAAGAGCTGTGCAAGACTGCCTTACACGGGCTTTGCAACGACATGCAGCAGCAAACAGCCCTATCAAAAGTTTCTACCGAAAGCCGCGCTCGAGTGTACTCGTGGGCCGTCCCCCACCTGCTTGACGAGCATGTCGATCTGTTCGCGGTACATGCTCTTGTGGTCCTGCAGGTCCGCGCGCAGCTCCTCCACCTGCACCGCACGTCCGCCGCACACCAGTCACACGGAGCGAGCGCCGGGGCCCGGGCACAACGTGGCCCTTATCCTCACTACTCCACGCTGAAACAATCGTAAGAGTGCGCTATCGCGAGCTGACTCGCAGCTGATACGAGCACCTAACCTCGATGAAGTGCTTTCGCATACTCACAAGTCGCTGCAAGTTCCACCATCAAAGCAGAGGAGGCCCCGCGACTTTCGTATACCTCTCGTCCACACACATGCAGCCAGACCCGCAAATCCTCGACTCGATTGGATGAGCTAACGCAAGCTTCCGACAACTTTTGTACAGCTATGGGCGATGCAAAAGCAAATTCAAACTTGGGGACCTGAAAGCAACGCTACATCCGGCTTTCCAGATACGAGAAAGATGAAAGCTCGAATGTAGGGCTTTTGCCAACGTCAAGCCCTCTTTTTTTCTGATTCGTTAAGCCCTCTTCACATGCGTCAGAGGAATCGCCTGTTCGGCAAAATCTGGGCCTTTTCGGCGGTTTGCCCGCTGGTGAAGTCGCCCGTTGTCAAACCTCGGCGGACTTTCAAAATACCAATGCCTTAGGTGGACGCATGTGAAGTGGACGTTACCCTAGAACCCTGGATTTCCTCTTGTGCGCTCACCTCCTCGTCGCGCTCCCCCATGAGCTCCAGCGCGGACGCGTGGCGGCGGCGCAGCGCCTCCAGCTCGGCGCGCAGGCTGGGCAGCAGCGCGGCCTCCCGGCCCAGCTCCTCCGTCGCCTGCGTTGTGCGCACCAGCTCCTCCGCGAGAGCGTCGCGCGTGCCCTCCAACGACGCCTGGAAAGGACGGGGCACACGCGTGGACACGTTAGAAGAAAAAATACTTCGACTTTTGTTTCAAGCCGGACTTTCCAACCGTTCTCCAGACGATTCCAGAGGCATATGGATGGTCTGTATTGTGCGCACCCCAGCTGTTTCTTCGGGCGTGCCCGCCCACAACGCCACCAGGGGTGGGTCAGCGGCCCTGAGAAAGACATGTACACAATCCGTCCCGTCAGGAGTTGCCCAGCAAACGGGTGGATGGTATCGTTAAGGAATCGCGGATGCGAAGCCGTCCAAAGGCGATCTCCATCAGCCCCTGCCGAAGAGCGTCGCGCGTGCCCTCTACCGACGCCTGCAGAGAGCGGACCAGAGGCGTGAATCTGGCAGAGTTAATTAGGATCGCAGATTCTGACACAATGTGAATCACAAACCGAAGGTCGAAATGTCCAGCAGTCACGGCAGAAACTTTCGAAGGCGTAATGAACGTCGAACTACTGAGATTGTCCACCAGTGTAAATGCGGAAGCGATGCATGTGATAGCTTTCGAACCACTACCGCCTCTGCTGCGCAAGTCTTTCCAACAGACGCTATGAACATCACTCACTGCTGAGTTTCGTCCATTTTTTTTTTGCAGCAACGGCACCCGTGCCGAGATCATCGCTCGCTCCTGAATGGAGAGCTACTACACATCTGGTTGTTGCAACAGAAACCTCATTTCTTGATATTAAGAAACGGTCGCACTGACAACCTGGTCACTTGAGGGCTCGTTCTAGCATTCTGAAGTCGACTGGATTGCAGGCAGAAACGTCTCGAGCAGAGCGATTTGATCCGCAACTTGGAGGGTCATAAGCGTTCACTCCTCCAGATATGCTTCGGCTCTAACCCTTGATTCTCATGTTCTCACCAGCCGGCTGGAGTAGGATGCGAGCTCCCCTTCCCGTTGTCGCAGCAGCGCCTCTAGTTGCTCCACGGCGCTGGCCGACACGCCGCCCCGCGGGCCGCTGCCCCAGGCCGGACCGCCTTCGTGACTGCCGGGGTAAGGCGCGCCCTGAGACGGCAAAGAGAGGGCGGGTCAGAAAACAGTAGCTGAATGGAAGAGGAAGAGTGGAGAATCTACATAAACGTGCGGGACGCTGTGTCGACCGCAGTCAAAGCTCTTTTGGTAGGAGATGCGGTCAGAGCAGTCTTTTTGTAAGGAGAACGAATCAAATTAGTTTGCTAGGCTTTTGACAACAAAAGACACGGTCATGTTGAGGGCGACCAGAGACGTGAGAGCAAAGTGGCGTCTGTTTCCCGTCAAAGATGAGCTGGCAGTAGGTATGTTCACAAAAGTGTCGGATAAAGTTGCGAACATTGATTCCCTGGTATCACCGAGTCTCTTGAGGCTGACCAGAAGCGCACCCATAAGCTTCACGCAATCAATTTTGGAAGGAATTGGACGAATCTTCTTGCGACGACGAGGGACCAGTCAATGACAACGGGCACACAGATTTGCCAATCCATCGTCTCGTGCCTCTTGGCAGGCTTGCTGCGACATTCTTCTTGGACAAGTGCGCCATTTTTTCTCCACTTCGACTCACTTGGTCCGCTTGACGACGTCACAAGTTGACAGCTACTACTACCATCGGCTGTAAGCCCCTCCCTCTCAGTCCGGGCGACTAAGTGTCAACAGAAGTGGATTGAGCGAGCTTGTTACTCACGTAGTCATTGGTCACTCAAGGCCCTGACTCACCAGCGAGTGTTGCAGGAAGAAGCCCTCCTCCATGCTGCTCCCCGCGCTGCTCGCGTTGGACGGCCGTCGGCTCATCCGCCGCTCGCTCGTCGCGTCCGCCACGCTCTCCCCCGCACCTCCGCCGTTCCGCTCCGGCGCTCCTCGGTGCACGGCCGGCGCCTGGCCCGCGCGCAGCTTCTCCCGTTCCGCCCGCAGCGCTTCCAGCTCCTGCGTGAGACAGCAACAATGTGAGGGAGCCTGAAAAGGTGCTGCATTTGTCTCACCGAGACTCGATCCGAATTGAAGTCTGCTCACAGTATGTTGCTGGAGTGAAAAGGGACATCGGCAGTTTGGCCTCTGGCATCCACAAATACTGCAGCGCACACATTTTCAGGCTCGCTTCATCAATTGACAAATATGACGAGCAGAAAATTCCAATGACATTTCTCCCTCAGTTTGGAGAGTTGAGTCACCATCCGAAAGTTGACAACCTCGATCTGAATTGAGTCCTTTCCTCGCTGACCAACCGTCTTTGCATTGTATCCAACGTGGACCCTTGCAAAAACACGTTTACAGTCGCTTCCATACGGCAAGTTCTTCTCTCGGCTGCCTCGGGTTATGAAATAGCCGTTGCGACCATTCGGAGAACCCGCGGCGTATTCCGCAGAATCGATGCGCTACGAACCGGAGTCAAGAAGGCACGACAAGAGCAGCGGTTCAAACAGCTTTAAAAACCTGAAAAGTTGACATGTCGGTGCAAGTAAGAAAGTCGAGAAGCATTGGTCCCCGCCCCCTGCAATTCGTAACTCCCAGAACCCTCAACCTCAAACCCTGACCTGCTCTAGTGCGTCCCTCTTCCTGGCGGCCTCTTGGGCCTCCTTCCGGTGCGCCGTCCGCAGGTCCTTCATTTCGTCCTCCAGCTGCGATGCGCGGCCCTCGTGCGTGGCCGCCGCCTCTTTCAGCGCGAGCAGCTCCTGCCGCGTCTCGCCCGCGCGCGCACGCTCCTTCTCCAGCGACCGCTGCAGCGCAGACTGCTCTGCGCGCAGCATCGACACCTGGCAAGCACCGGACCTCACGCTTCATATCGCGCCTTCTCCCTATCTCGATCGTTCAATCGTTTCGCACACCTGTTGAAACATACTTCATGAATTCTCTCTCGACAATCGAGCTCTTGAGGATTCAAGGCTGGCTTTATATGTGCCTTGTGCTCTTCTTAAACAGAGAACACTGTCTGAGCAAACCTACAAAATCGCCCTCACTTGCAGAAATGCCGTGTACCCGCTTTTTGGCAAATCGGTGCGATTCTGAATATTCTGATTTCTTGCTTTTGACACGTCAAACACTTTCGCTCTCTTGATAACCTCAGCTTCATTCTCAGTCCGCCCATCAATCAATTCCTTTGCGAGTACCAAGCCAGCAAGCCAACGCTGGTCTCTGCACTCCCTGCACCCAAGAATCCGCCGTGAACCTTGAAAACAATCACGTTCCCCCTCCTCACCTGCGCTTCCATGACCGCCATCCTACTCGCCGCCTGCGTCAGCCGATCAGCTGCAGATCGTTCCCTCTCCTGCGCCCCCGCTGCCGCCACCTCCGCTTCCTGCACCCGCGCGTTCAGCGTACGCTCCACAGCCCCCCACGACTCAGCGCGCGACGAGGCAGCCTCTTGCAGAGCCTCGATCTGGCGCAGCAGCGGGCGAGTGGAGTCGGGGACGCGCGCAATCAGCTCCGAGTGGCGTGCTTCGGCGTCCTGGGAGCGGGCGAAAAGTGGGGTCAGGAGCCGAAGATACTCCCGTTCCAAGAATACCACTGACAGTGAGGTTGGAAACGAAAAAAGGCCAGCGCGACCTCGGTCCGTCGACTTGTTTTGTTCCTCCCTTTGCAGACAGTTGGGGTAGTTCAAGGCTAACACAGTATTTTGCTCAGGAACCCCAAGATTTGCTGCCCTGATCAAGAATAGAATGAGGAACACTTGCGATTGAAAGCCACCTGATCTCCTAAGGTTGAATGTCAAGATAAAGCGCGCGCCCGTCAAGCAAGAAACCAAGCGCCCCCACCTGGCAGCGTGCCTCCAGTTCCCGCACGTCCCGCCTGAGCCTGTCCTCGCGCGCCGCGGCCGACTGCGCATCGCGCACCATCTGCTCGCGCACCTCCTCCAACTGCCGCACCAGCTCCGCCTCGCGCTCCGCAGCCTCCTTCACCTGCAGCGGGCCACGCGTCTCCATTACTTTTGAAATCAGCGTACCCGTTCCTCGAAGTGGTGAAACAGAGTCGAGCACCATGTCACAATTCTTAACAGCAGGCCAAAGCTTTTCTAATCACGACCCTTTACTTGGTACCCTTTGCCATCAATGTTTTGATTGGTAGGGTTCACACGGAAATCCGAGAGTTCACAAATCGAGTGCCTGCCCGACTGGGACTAAGCGCACAGAAGCCCCAGCACTTCGATCCGTCTTGCAACTTAAGGTAACAACCAAGAGAGCACTCTCAACTGACAACGAAACAGGAAAGCGAGGTGCAACCGTTGGCACACCAGCGCTTTTAGAGGTCATCAACACTTTTCGCAAGGGTTGAAGATTCATGAAGACGAGCTCACGAATGCTTGCTATTGTTTGATCCCTGCTTAGGCTCAAAAATCAGGACAACAATCAAAGCGACGCTTCCGCCACAGCAATACTCCACAGATTTTGAGCAGCGTCAGCAAGACTGGACGTTTCAAACAGGCCCACTCGACGAGCTTCGGGGCTTTTACAGATAAACGCGCTTTTGCACGAGCGACCCCCTGCGCAACCCAGCCGCAAGTCGCCCTGTGGCGACCATACCTGCTTGTCCAGCTCGCTCCTCTTGCTGCTGTCCGCTGCCGCCTCCGCCCTCGCCAGGGCCTCTTTCGTCTCCTGCAGCGCTGCGGTGTAGCTCTCCTTCTGCGCCGTCAGCTCCGCCTGTGCGCGCTCCACCGCATCCGCCAGCTGGCGCTCCGTCTTGGCCTTGTCCTTCTGGATGCTCTCCGTCTTGGCTTCCTCCACCTGCACGAATTCCAGCAAAAAAGATTCGCTTTCCCGTTGCGTTCTGGCGTAGAAAGGCGGTGAACCGTCTTTGCCGGGTCTTCTAATGGCTTTCCAGGCTCACTTCTCCCCCGGTCCCACCTGCCTCCTGGCACGTCGGCTCAGGATGCTTAGGATACCTGTTCTGCTCTTCAATACGATCTTTCTCTATGTGACTCTGAGATGTAACAGTGCGACCCACAGGTACGCCGAAGCTACTGACTAGATCGACAAAAGGCAAGGAACAATTGCCTACGGGCATCGAAATGCTGCTCGGTCATTCTTCAGTCTCCTTGCTCCTTCTAAGTTTGTTGGTATCTTCACCGCTTCTGACACTGTCTGGGGCCTTTCAGGCCACTTATTCTGAAGAGACAGGCGTAAAGGAGACTAGTATCCAGAGACGGATGAACCGACTGATGATAGCGGCAGATTATTCGACCACTTGCAGACCCAAGAGTGCCAGCCAAACCACAACGATCGCCTCACAGTACGAACTTTAGCCCTTGAATGCACTTCAACCGGCCAGTCAGGCTAAATCTGTGATTGCAGGGAATCGCAAAAACTGCGCGAGCTTTACCCAGCCAGACTGAGCAATAGGGTATGATCAGACTCTACATAAGGTATGGTTCTGCTTGCCTGCAGCCGCGACACGAGGCGGTCCCGTTCCACCTCGAGCTCGCGGATGGTCCCCCGCAGCTTGCGCATCTGGCCCTCCACTGCAGCCTGCTTCTTGCTCAGCTCCTCACCTGCATGTGTCTTCTTCTTTGAGCGCTTGGAATGAACGTGCTATTTGCGTCCTTAAGAAGCCAGCTTCTTTACTATCCGTTGAAAGGACACCTTTTTCGCGTCCATTTGATTGGACATCTTCTCGCAATCTTGAATGAGCGAATAGCTAAGCGGTCACGAAGTTCCGCCACAGAAGCTTGGGTCTTAAATCCAACAACGACTGCACTATGCTGTCGACATTTGTGGCATACTTGACGGCCAACCTCAGGCTGGCCCACACGAACAGCGTTCTCGAAACAAGGGAGGCATCTGTGGTAGCCAAAACCGGAGGTGCGTGCTGTAGTCCAAAGTGGGCACTGGAAAGTTTACAGAAGGTTCACAGGTTACACAATCTACGGCCCAAACATGAACAGACTTCCGAGTCTGCGCTGACCTTCGGCCATGACCTGCTTGATAATCTCGTCCTTCTCCTTGAGCAGCGTGCTCGTGTCGCTCTTGCGGCTGCTCTCGCGCCGCAGCATGTCCCGCTCCTTGGTCAGAGCGTACACCTGGCACCCACCAAGGATAGCCACGTGTCAGGATTTATGATGACAAGTTGCGAAGTCCCTATCATGACAAGTCCTGAACCTGGCCGTGTCTTTCTGACTATTGAGAATTTTCAAGGTGTTGACGTTCTTAAAAATTTATCCCGATTACATTGGCAAAGCTATCAACTGCAGCGATTGCCTGACTTGCAGAACGTTCCGTTTTTCCCGTATTTATAACGAAGAGGGACTATGTCTGCAGGACGATGAAAGCCGACCCCGAGTCATTGACTTCACCTGCTACTTCCCACGTACTTTCGAGCTTCATAAGGTCGATCTTCGTAAACAACTTTCCATCGCAATTGAATCTGCTAAGTCCAGAGAGGGCAAGCACTTCCATGGCAATGGACCGTACCTTCCTTTCTGCAGTCCCCAGTCGATGCTGGTACTCTGCCCGCAGCGCTTCCAGGTCAGACTCGTCCGTCTTCTTCCGCTGTAACACACAATGGAAGAGTCAGGTTATGCGTTAGAGAATTAAGATAAGGGGAACGAACGGCTGCACCTGTGTTTGATGGAAGATCATCGAAGTACTGCGGGCCTAAGCAGGTCAGATGCCAAGAAAACGCACTTTTGTACCCTGGCTTACTATGCTTTCCTGCAAGGAGCAGCGCTCAAGAAATGGCTGCGGAGTTGCCAAAACGGAATGAAGGAGTACCAATACTGCTAAGTTTGAGGGCAAAACAACAACTTCGGATCCCGAAATGAGGTGTGAACATGACACCAAACAGATTACATTCAACATTGTGGTAGGAGGAATCTGATGTTAGCTGCTTAATCTACAATTGAATATTGCATTCCCGTCGTGTTGGGTTTCAAAGAGACGGGTGGGGTTCTCACTTTGACATCCTCCAACTCTGCCCTGAGGTTGTCATTCGCAGTTCCCATCTCGGCTAGCTCGTTGGTCCGGGTCTGAGGAGCAGATAGTGAGCGATCAGAATGTCGTAACGCATAATCTTCAGAAAGCTGTTACATCCAACTTTTGAAGCGAGAGTGATGTGCAGAACAGAACCCGAGTGCAGACTTCCTCCCCGCATTGCCGCCGGCTCATACCTTTGCAAGAGGCCAACAGGGGGCAACGCTCTTCTGCAAAGCTCTTGAAGTGGAGGTGAAGAACAACAATCGCAGCCAGAAGCAGCTTGGGAGCGGTTAAACAGGATCAGCATGCGCGCACCGAGTAGACTTCAAAACCTCCAAAACTTGTCAAATGAATCTACAACGAATCTGCCACACTGGCGCAAACAGTTCTCAGCCTTTTCTGCGTCAGGGACCAGACGCTTCGCAAAGACTTCCTTCTATCTTTTGAAGTTCTTTCCAGACCCTTCAAAGAACCCTTCACAGCACCTCTTCCCTGGCCCCTCGCAGAAGACAGCGTATCCGCCCCTCCCAACAACTTCGGCTGCCCAACAACGCTGTCAATGCAAGAAGAGACTCTGAGGGGCCTGCTTCACCTGTGCCTGCTTGGCCGCATGCTGCAGAGCGACCTCCATCGCCTTGAGCTCCTCCCTCAGCCGTGCCAGCTCTGCCGCCTCCCCCTCACTGGCCACCTTGACCTCCCTCCCTTTTCCAACGCCCCCTCTTCCGTCATCCTCCTTATCTGCCCCTCCTTTCAATGTATCCGCTCTTTCTGCAACTTTTTCAACAGCTGGGGCTTTGGGAATTTCTGGTTTCTCACAGGAAGTGGTCGCTTCCATCTCGGCATTTTTTGAAACCGGGAAGACTGCTGAAGACTCCTCAACCAACGCGTTTTCCGCGCTTCCCTCTTGGCTCTTCCCGACCTGCTTTTCCTCTGTTCCCTCCGCCCTTTCCCCTACTTCCAAGTGAACAGTCTCCCTTTCGTTTCCCCCCGTCTCCATATCAGTGCTCTCTCCCTCTGAGACAAGGCCCAGCCCCGACGTTCGTACATCCCCCCTCCCGTCACTGGACACCAGATCGACCACCGAATCAACTTCCGCATGTGGCTTGAATTGCGGGGCCGCTGCCGCCGGAAAAGCACTTGCCAGATTGATCTTCGGAGAAGCCACGCTCTCTTCCTGAGATGTCGCCTCCCCATGTCCAAACGGTTGTGACGCCTCTACCCCTCCAACGATGCGTGCCAGCGTCACCGGCTCCGGGGGCGCATTCATACTGCGCACCCCCGCATTGCCCGTATCAACACCTCCCGCATCCTCGTCTTCTGTGGTCTCAACCCCGTCTGTCCCGCTTGCGCTTACACCCGCCTGGAGCTCGGTGACGTCAGCTCCTGGCGCGCTCGCATCAGCTGCTGAAGCTTTGGCCTGGGCCATGGGCGCATTCACACTAGCACTTGCCCCAGCGGCCGCTTCTTCCTTCACAGCTGTCTCCGGGCCCCCGCTGGAGACCTGGTCCTCTACAGGCTTCTTTCCACCTGCTTGCTGGCCAGGCTCTTTCCCTGCAGTTGCTGAGCTCAGCACTGCCGCACTAGTGCCCTTCTCCTTGGCTTCCACAACTAAGCCAGTTTTCAAAGTTTCTTCTGTCGGAGGGACCTCAACAGGCTCGGCTGCCGCTTCAAATCTCGCCAGAGCGGCGACATCGGTCCCTCCTTTCGCTCCTTGCAATGGCGGGACAACCGAAGGCTTTGTCTCAGCTCCCGCGTCAGCCTTGTGTTCCTCACCAGCCTCCGCCCCCTCATTGCCAACACTGTTTGCAGTGCCTGTCCCTGGAGGACTAAGCGGGGGAAGGCCTTTCGCCGGCGCCTCTTTCCGAAGACTTTGGATGGGCACGGGAGCAGGTTTCGGAACATTCGAACCGCTTGCTTTCATTGGCTCTGCCTGTTGAGGAGTGTCTGTTGCTTGCGTTGCGGTGGCTGCCCCGCTACTCTGTGCTTTCGCAATTTCTGCTTTCACGCCCCAACCCCAACCGTCCAATGCACTGGCGCCTGGTGGATCTGCTGCAGGGGCAGCAGTTGTGGACGCGTCTTGGGCATCTGAATGAAAGAATTGCAGAGAACTTTGAACTGGTCGGATGCTTTTATGCAGTGGCCTTGGCGTAAAGTGCAATCCCAGATCTTTCTGGCAGTGGCAAATCTGCAACAATGGGGCAATAGGAGGACTGGTGGCGGAGAGCCATTTTGCTCTGGACTTGAACCACTTTTGGCGTTTAAAAACGGTGATAAACGGTCCCAAAACTGTTTGGCAATCCCCTCGTAGGATCCAAAGACTTGTTGCATCCGGCACACACGATCATGTGCCAATTGCAAAACACATGTATATGCAACACTTTTAGTTCAGCGATCGGCAACTTCGTTGCTATAACAAGGGGCTAAAGCACTGAGTTTGCAAGTTGCGGCGGAGATTTTTGTGACCTTGGCGGGCCAGACTGTTGTCTTTGTTTTCACTAAATCCTGCCCAACTCATCAACCTCAAAGCACCACAATCTTGGTATGGTGCTTCACTGAGGACTTTGATGCATGCGTTTGCTTCTCAATCATGCCAACGCTTGCTGCATTGCTGAATTTGATCCAGCAAGGCAAGATGTGACGGAAGAAACGCTAGTTTTAAGCTTCAAAAACATGTTAACTTTGCTGTGGTCTCAGAGATGATTCCCTGGAATGTATTGAACAGCCATAATGCATTCGGTTGCAGCAGATCTTGGAGATCACCTGCTACTCTATCAAGAACATGCACTCTTCGAACCAGTGAAGATGAAAATCTCACAAATCAAACTCCCCCTGAAAACCCTAGAGTTTCACTCACCCTGTGCTGGCTTCTGCAGCTGATCCAACCCTAGTGCGGAGTCAAAGTTCTTCTCAATGCTCTTCACACTCTCCTGGAGCTTATTCACAGCGCCCGCCAGGTCGCCCAGGCTCACTTTGGGGAAGCCCGCCCACGCCATTGTGCGTGCACCCCTTTTTACCTGGACTTTTACAACACCGCAACGCTGGCCAAAGCCGGAGCTGTTCTTTGGACAGACAACGTGCAAAACGAGACAATTCAGCTCATGCTAGCAGACGAGCTCAAGATCCAAGAACCTCCTTCGCAAGTTGGATCAGCATAGATTTCCTTCATCTGTTTCAACTTTTCTGGAAAGAGTTTTTCAAGAATTGAAGTCATGACAATGTGTCTGCCAGCCACCTGAAAACACAACGTACGGTACCCAGGGCCACGGTCAAACTACGAAACCCTTTGTTGCAAGCACTTGCAAGGTTTCGAAGCACTTGGTGCAAACCGGGCGGTTCTGGATGAGGTTGGCAGCGACATGGATGCCGTCTTACATGCTTCAAGGTCGCTTTGTGGACAGGTTAAGACCGACGGCAATAGGTGGGTCATCTCTGACGCAATCCTACTAACCAGGTATTACGCTCTGTTTGCACAGAGTCTCGAAAGTGTTCATTCTCAGCTCTGGAAAGGTAGCAAGATCTGGAGGGAGTGCCTTGCATGGAAGTCTCACTTCCATGCTCGAACTCTGGAGAAGAAAGCTGTCTGGGCCTGTGAGCAAGTCTACTGAGAGTCAAGACACGCTTGAACACATCGCTTGTAACCAATGGCGGCTTGGCGATCCTCCATTGAAGCTCTATTTGGCGGGCGGCTGCTCGTTAGCACATGAATTGTCAGATGAGAGCATTGCAATGAAAACGCAATGCAGACAACGGGTCACACTGCGCAGTATGCCTTTCGTGTCGTAGTCGCAGAGATCTTTAGAGAAGGACACTTCGTGTGCCTATTTTAGCTGCCTATGTTACTCCAGTGCAACACCCCAGAGCAAGAAATAGATAGTGACAGCTCGCAAGATTATGCTGCAGATAGATGGGTCAAGCCATAGACCCGCGCTGACTTACTCTTCCTTCCAGTCACCGATGCGAGACTCATGAAGAAAGTGATTCAGAGACTAAGAGTTTGATCCAGTCTTCTCTCCTTCCTCCTTCTCTGCAAGGCGTGGCAAGTTTGCTTTTACAGACAGGTTCTTGTTTCAGGTCCCGCGTCATTGAGGAGGTGTGCAGGCATGAACGTGGGGCTCATCCGCACAAGGGACCAAATGTGACAGGTTCCCATGATCCTAGCCTCAACTTCCTCCGGGGCTGTATCAATGGTGCTGAACCTCTAGAGCTTACGGCGGAATAGCGGTGAGAGCTATTTTCTCTGATGTACAGGCTATGCTTTTGAAGCTAGCAGACCTACTATCTGTAGCTTTTGCTGACCGAAGTTCAACAACCAGAAGGGCATAGCCACTAAGGAGCCACATCAGGGGGGATATAAATAGGTGAACCATAGCAGTTTGGAGTTGCCCAACAGCTCTCAAATTCGGGGCCGCAATGTGGCGCGAATCCAAGCTGCTTGGCTGCAAGAACCTCCATAAACCTCCACCCCCCGCTTTCTAGTGCCCATCATCCAGACACATCACCCCGGCCTCAGCCTGACTCTACGTAAACGACCCTCCCAAGAGTTGAGGGTAACCCAGGCAGATGCGCTATTCGGGCCGTCCACAGTCCGCTGCTTGTGAAGAGGTATATAGTGACAGCCCTAAGGAGCTGTGGCGGTCCCCTAGCTCTTGACTTAGGTTGTTGCCACTTGCTGCCAACTAGGTGTGGGCAAGTCTCAAAGAAACGGAAAGGGCGCTGCAATGGACCGAGCCTCGGCAAGGGCCCTGCTGGATGAAAACCTGCAGTCCCCTGAACTCTGCAGCAAAGACTCAGTGCGCAGACTTGTTGAACGCACCTTTCAGCGAGCGGATGTAGATGTGTCAGCCAGAGGTCCGCTGTCTGAGCAGGACATGTTAGCAGACTCTGCAGATTGCGACAACCGGTCTGCAGAGGTTTGGGGTCTCTTGGACACGCTGAGGGGTGCGGGGGAAACGGTCGTTGTGGCACACGATGGCCTCCATGACGGCGGCAAATCTGTGACAAGAAAGTGGAAAGTGAGCAGCAATGCGGAATGGAGGTTTGAGATTTTGTGACAGACTGAACAGACATTTGGTCAGACTGACGGTATGCGCCAGCGTTCAGGATGTCAAGCATGCATCAATAATCCTCTGGATTTGAACGAACGTTTTTGGACTGAAGAAGTTCTTTTAGAAGGACATGTGTGTCTTTTAGTGAAAATCCCTGGCGTCTCGTACACAATGAGACAACAATTTTCAGAAATAATCGCAATTCCATGTGTAGTTTCTTTTGCGATTACACCACTACTCGGGCCTTGTCTTTGCTCAAACGGTTTTACCACAGCACCGAAGGATGTAACAACCAGAGGTTCATGGTTCCATATCCGTCTTTCTGTAACTTAAAGACCTTTCCTGCATTGTTACAAATCTCACACAAACAAGCATGTTAGTCCCTTGATTCCAAGTTCTGTCTTGTGTGTGTGGGCCTTCGAACCCTGCTCTAAGCCCACCCTCTTATTACCAAATACTTGCGAGCATGCAATCTAAATCTAGCAGCACTTCTTTCCAGCTGAAACATGACAACGGCCAGATGCGGGTGCTGTACCGACGAGGGCCGGAGGGAACACCCTTTCACACCATTTGTCTAGAAGGGCTCATTGATGGCCCTATGACGACAGGTGAAATCAGAACCTCAATTGCGGGCGACTTTTTGAAAGTCGGCTCAAAACCTGGCCGGAGAATCCCAACTTAAAATTCGGATGTGCGCACCTCTGCTGGATTGGCCAGCCATTGAGAACTTCTGCTTCAGTCCTTGCAATCGATCAATGCCAAAATGATGAGGGTTTCATTTCAGACGGTCTTATTCATCTGGGTCATTTCCAAAATTGGGGCGCGGTCAGGATAATCAGCTGAATTCACGTTATCGTTCCCTCAGCGTTCCCATGATCGATTGTCAGGGATTCTTGTTTGCAGCGCTCTGCGTTTTGTGGGAGGTCAACAGCGCAAAGGACCTGTATCCCCAGGTACGTCTTTCCTGCCCAATTGCGAGTTCAGCGGTTGGTAGCTACTTACAACGTCTCAAGGAGGGATCCTTCATGTTGTACACAATCAGCACCCTTTGAGATTCTTTAGCACCGACGTTCGTTCGTCTCACAAAGGCCCGCCAGAAGCTTTTCAGCGCCCATTCGAAGCCGACAACCTTCGGCGTCCGTTTGCCTTGGAGTCTTCTTTTGATAAGCAAGCAGTTGGAAAGTCAACAAGTCTGCACCATGAAAAAATCACACCCAACCCAGGCCACCAATCGAGAACGTTCATACTTAGTTGCTCCTCTAAGACAGCATACTTCACCCCTCAATTACCAGGAAGGTTTCTGACTCCCTCTCCACCTTTTGTTTCGTCCAGTACACGGAGTCAAAGTGGCTTGAGCAGCCAACACCGGGGCAAGGCGTGCTGGTCGTCAGGTATGCGCGAGCATCCGCTCTCCATATCGGAGCCTTTGAATGACCGAAGCCGGTGGTCCAAGCGTTTAGAAACATTCGATCAGGGACTCTATTCCAAATAACGGCGTACCTCTTTCGACGGACTACCCGCGTCACTGCCGTCCTTAGCGTTCAGTCGGAGGAACGCCTTCTGGTTGATCCCACCACTTGACGGTTCTGCTCAATTGAGTCCAGCCGAGCATAAGGCGCTCAAGTCAACAGAAAACATTCGAGCTAGCAACATCTGATGGGCTGAAATAGAACGGGTTTTGGAGCACCATAGGTGCATCGGAATGAGGTTGCCGCTTTTGGCTGGCGTTCACAACAACAGCATGCATTCACGAACTATTAGTCGAATCAATGGTCACAAGTGCTCTTATCAGATCTAAAGGGCCCACCAGCTCGTAACATGGAAAAGATCCTAGTTACCCGTTCAGTAATTGCCGGGGTCTGTCTGATCATCTTTTCGAGTCTTCTTTGATGTCTGCTTCTGACGGCGCAAGAGGAATCTAGTCTAAGCGTCGTTTCAGCGATGAGAAGATATGCCTTTTTTGGCCTTTTCCAAGTAATTTGCTTCCCGCTGATCTTTCATTCCTGCCCTTTGTCCAGGTTAAGAACTCCGTGGCCCTTTGAACCCCGAGAGACCCTTCTTGAGGTGTACACCGTGCCGTGCTTTGAGAAGGGCCTCGTGATCGTAGTGCTGAGAACGGTGAGATACTCCCTCTCTGTACAAATGCAGAATACAAGCGGGAGAAGTAGATTGCTCTCTTGTCGCTACTCGTTCTTTGTGACAGATCTGGCGAGATCACGAGCGGGGAGCTAGATTGCTTTCTCGTCTAGAGAGGTTGTCTTATGTAGGTGCTCAGCCCTGGCGCTGTGGCGGGGTTCGTCAAAAGTCATATGACTGGGGGTCCAATGAATCTAGGTTGTTATTACCGTGAGAGCTGGTGCTTGTATGCCTTCCCTCCAATTGTGCGCCTTCCGCAGCCACAACAGAAGGTGCCCGGAGCACACAATGCATCCAGATCAGTCGCAACTGCTCAGCTCATGTCGGGACTGCCCTATGCTCGCTGCTGTGCCATGTGGTTTTGTACAAGACCGTGATCAGCGGAGAAAATCACGGGAACCTTCGAGCTCCTTGTCTCCTGACTTCTGGGCACAATAGTCGTTTTGAGTGCTTGTTCCGACCAGCTTACAGAGGTAAACTCAACTAAAGAGTCCGTTCCGATTCCAGCGATCTTTCACGGACCCAAAGGGCACACGTTTGCTCTCACTACAGCCCCCGCCGGGTCCCTCCCCCCTCTCGCGAGAGGGCCCTCCCATTCCCCCCGTAGAGAAAGGCGTGACGAGAATGGACGTACGGGGGGGCTACATCTTCCAGCAAATCTCCCCCTCGAAATGCTACTTTCGGACGATCTTCGACATGGATATGAAACTGGCAATGGTGCCGGCCTGGATCATCAACCTGCTGGCCCGCCAGTTTGGGAGCCACGCCATCAAAGTCTTTGACAAGGTAATGAAGCCTCCGAGAAGACTATTCTCAAGTGGGGAGACTCAACCGTGAAAAGGAGGAGAGCTCTCCTCCGAGCTGTGTCAACGGGTCTGTGGAATGAAGTCTCCAGTTATTGGCCATGCAACGACCGGGCGTCACTTCAGTATTCTTGAGCACTCGTTGAGTTCAAGTTCTCCGTTCTCCTTCCGGCGCAGCTGTGAGCACTTTACCCGTTTGAGTCTGTTTTTACGAGCTAGATATGATCTCGTCAGATTAAGGTTCGCTCAAGTTCTGAAATTGAGACTTGAACAACAGTGCGAGCGTCTCCAGAAAGGGTGGAAAATGGAGTCTGACGGCAAGTTCTTCTTTATGGTGTAAAAGCTTCTTTGCCCAGACCAACGACACTTGGTCTCCCAATTGTTCAATTCCAATAGCACGGCCTCGTTGTAAAGTGCACAAAGCGGAGACTGTGCGCAGAGCGGCAGACTAACCTTTGCAATGGTTGCATAACTATCGAAGTTTCGTCTGCTCAGGTGGTCAAAGATGTGGACGGGCGAAAGAACGCGCAATACGTCGAGACTTTCACTCGCCTCCTCTCGACCGACCGCTTCCTCCAAAACGTAAGGGACGGCCTTTCCGAGTACAAGCCGCCTGAATCGACGTAGTAAGATCAGCGGCCTGGGGGCTTAACTTATAAGATTAGGATGACGTCAGCAGCGGGTCGTACGGATGTGGGCAAGGTATACCCGCAGCGCAGAAGAAGAGGAGTGGGGGCGAGAAGATTACCTGGAGGAGCTACTCCCCTTTGGATTCCGTCAAACTGGTAGACACATACAATCATCTACGTCAAAGCGTTCCCAAGAATGTCTGTAGAGTCGTCCTGATAAATCAGATTACAATCTTTTGTTGGACACTTCGATCAGCAAAAGCTGATTTAGCACGTACATTAGTGAAGAGTCGTATAAGGTCCCGTCAGTAAAACGTGGTTCAGTAGATATACAATAAGTCTAAGCAAGTAAACTTACCGTTGATAATTTGCATGAATCTGATAATTGCTTAGAGTGGACTAGCTTTTGAATTCATAGCTTTTACGGATTCGCGTCGGATGGGCCGCGCGCTAGCCGCCTGGGCTTTTAGGATACTAACCAAACAGTTCAGCTTGTGACGCGCAAGTAACCGTCCGGACGGTCGCATGCAAGCGCGGCCAGGACTCTGAGACATACTAAATTTCGATTTCAAGCATGACTCGATCAAGCTTTAATTAAGGCTGGCATGGACTTCTTGTTGCGCGGCATGCATGCCACTGAGCGCCACCGTCCTCTGCAGTCACTCAGTCGTGTACAGATCGATCGAACGGTATACGTTGTGCACCTATAGTTGCAGGCTTACATGACGGTATTCCATATACGGTTCCACAAGACATGATCATTGTGGCGGTCACGAAATCTGATGTTATAGTGTTCTTGCCACGTTGAGAATCATGAGCCTAGCCCGCATGTGGCCGCCCTGCCAGCTTATATATAGCTAGACGGAGCTGGACCGCTTTAATTGCATCAGTGAGCCTATATATATACTGATACGATGCCTAGCAAAACTTCATTTTGCAGGCTAGGCTAGAAGTTGATCATCTTGTGTGATCGGACCGTCCTCTAGTACTAGTTAGTGACCCTGTTGCAGAGTCATTGTTGTTGACCGTTGACCGAGTGCCGCGCGCGCTACGGCGGTGGCACGGGGCCCTGCGATGATCATTTCAACTCTGCCATAAGAGTCAAAGGAGTCCGCGCGGCGCAAGGGGGCGCATTTGGCCTCTATTGGCGCCAAACAATCTGGTGACAGCCGGGCTCATGCACCAGGATTATGTACAGTAATACATGCTTAGAACAATGTCGATTGCATCTTTATGTCGCACAGCTTCTAAATCGTACGTGTTCATCTATTGACTTCTATGCGGTGCATATTCTGACTATTGAGTACCACCAGCTTCTACATAGTGGAAGCACTACGATCGGTTCCAAAAATTTACCCAAGCAGGAGATCATGTACAGTAGCTAAGTTGCACCTAAATGTAGAACAGTTTGACGGGCTTTTCAACAAGCGGGCATCTTCTCAGTACTTGTATCTATGCCTCACTGCGCCGCTATCTGCGCGCGCCCTTTGATATATAGGTCCAAGCCGAGCGCCGCCACGAATTTGCACTAGCTTGGAGAGCTCCAGCCCAGGTCTGAGAGATCCCTCGCTCTAAAACTGCCTCTTTCTGCGCGCGCGCTTCAACATGTCCAGGAGTGCGCGCAAGGAGTCGTTGCTAGGGTGTTCCGAAATTTCGCCCATGACTGGGGGATCCCCCGCTCACTGCCCTTTCCGGCGCGCGCGCCTCGACTTGTCCAGGAGAGCGCGCACGGAGTCGCTGTCAAGAGTTCCGCCCACTGGCATGACTGGGGGATCCCCCGCTTACTGCCCTTTTCTGCGCGCGCGCTTCGACAGGTCCAGGAGCGCGCGCACGAAGTCGCACTCGGTGAGCTCCGGCCAGGAGCGCGGAACGAATGCGAGCTCGCAGTACGCGCTGTCCCACAGCATGAAGCCGCTCAGCCGCCGCTCGCCGCTCGTGCGGAGGATGGCGTCAACCGGGGGGAGCCCCAACCGCGCGCAGTGCGTGTGGGCGTCGATGTCTTTCTCGGAGAACAAGCCGACTCTGGAAGTGAAGCGCCGCAAAATGAGAATGCCGTCTTGGGAATGAAGGTATGACTCAGGAAGTAATCTACCAGCTAGATTGACAGGCCCATTTGCACGTAGATATCCGGATGGCAGAGTTCTCCCGAGATATCGATTGCGCCGGTGAGCCCTTAAAAAGGGCATCGATGACAATAACGCTTCTGAGGAAACAAGAACGGTAGAGAATTTTGCGTAAGTGCGAGGTTTCAAGTACAGTATGCTGATGCGCGGTACGATTTCCTTTGTAAACGCGCCCAGTGAATCTGCGCTCGAGTTCCTTCTTGAGGACTATAAGACTGCGGCAAGCTTCATGTTAACTTCTGAGAAAAGCACACACGGACCATATTGTGCCACCCAAGTGTATTCTCACTTGCAAGCAGAACCGTGAAGGCTACAAACGTATGCGACACGCACCTTTCTTCCAGCTCCGCTCCCTTGAGCCCTTGCAGCGAGACTCGCACCGCGGCCGCAATCTCGCCGCGGCCGCCATACGCCATGGCGACCACCAGCGTCCTGCCCCGGTTGTGCGCTGTCGCCGCTTCTATTCTGGCGACGGCTTTCTGTGTGCTTTCCGGAAGCTTTGAACGGTCGCCGATAACCAGTACACGGACCTAGGAATTGAAGCAAACACGAGCGAATTCCGCTTTTTGCATTCGGTCCGGTCATTGAGACCGGCCGATGACACCGCAGGTCTGAGATAGATATCCTGCTGCGCACGGATCACACAAGTTCTGTACATGTAAAAACGTTGCTAGTAATCTCCGATATTCCTCTAATCCACGCTGATCCGGTCGAGATTCAGAAACAAGTAGACATAAATCATACATACTGCGAGTTTGTAGAAGGAGATTCTTTGCTGTTGTTACCTGCCTGATGCTTTTTCTTTCAACCGCCTGTCCTGAAAGTCGATATTCAGAGTTGGGCTGTCCGATATTTATGCTAGGAACCAACATGACTAGGAGCGAAAAGCAAACGGGAGGCTCCTGAGTCTCGGTGCAAACGGATCCTCAGTTCAAGAACGAAAGTCGTCGAAACGAGCATCAGGTAAGCTGTGCCTTCAAGGAGCCCGTGGACACCTCGACATCTACTTCAAAACATCGCCACGTATCTGAGTATATCATCACCCGCGGATCCAGGGGTTTTGATGACGCCACTGCTGTAGATGTTCTAGCGCTAAAGGGTTCGGATGCCCTACAAGCGGGAAACTTACTATCGACAACCAGCCACTCACATGATATGTATACAAAACGCCGTCGTACAATTTGTCTTCGCACTCCTCCTCAAAGATACGCATCAGGCCGTCGACTTCCGCCCGGGAACGCTTGAAGTTGTCATCGGAGAAGATCCAGATTGTCAGGTACTCGATACCCGCCAAAAACGCCCACTCAAAGACGCTGGCGCTTTTCATGGAGCCTGGGGGCAAAGAAGATTAGTGCACTTTGAATGCTTGTAGAGGAATTGGTTTTTGAAAGTCGTCCATAGTAAGTATCCGAGTTTGGGGGCTTCTGGAAAAGGTCTTTCGGAGGGTGCGAATCGGAATGCAAGTAGTCCATTAAGGCCGGGTTGTCCGGCAAGTCTAGAACAGTCCTGAGCCTTGCTGAATGAACTTTGAGAGTCACTTGCTGCCTTACATACGATAAACGGATGCATCTGCCGAATTCGTTTGAAGCGGATCAAGTCGAACCCTTTGACTCTCAATTGAATCGAGGACACAGAAATAAAAGACGCAATGTTCGCAGTTACCCGTTACGTTACTTTTGACACACGGTCAAAAGGCGAAGCAGCGATCAACGCGTTCAAGACAACATGCAATCCAGTGATAAGAAAGCAGCCTTGAACGTTTCTTGTAGAAGTGGGCGGAATCATTCTGAGTGAACCACCTTTCGTGTGCCCATACAAGGGGTCCTTTCCCAGCTTCCGCGCAAACCGACGGTTTCCGTCCGAGATAACCCCCAAGTGCACCGGCACACTGGAATCCGCCCTGCCTTTCATTCCGTTGAGCTCCGCCCACAGGAATCTGAGCCGGATCCGGTCCACGGCCGCCGCGCAACTCTTCCAAAAGTGCACCAGGAAAATCTTGGGAAGCCGGGCCAAGCGCGCGAGGGGGGTCAGAGACGGCTCTAGCAGGTGGTCTAGAGTGCTCGCGTCGTGTACCCCCCCAAAAAGAAACTCTCTGGCATCCGTTTCGGAGGCTTCGGAGCAGCCCAAGATCTCCTGGTAAACTTCAACAAAGGCTGGGAATAGAGAGGGGACCGCAGTGCAGCTAAGAGCGAAGAGGCCTCGAGGCGTGAGGGGGGGGGTCAGGGCCGCCCAAAAGTGATACGTCACCTGGAGGGGGCAGAAGCGGGTTCAGTGGGCTTCACATTAAAGATGCCGGGACTGAACTTATTTGAGCAGAAGTAAGGGCTAAACTTTCTGCTTTCACAACGTTTCTGTTTCAAGACTTGTGATTCCCATTGGACACAACTTCAATCTTCTGATCCATGTAATTTTGATCGAGCTTCTCGATCGAGCATCACCCTAAGGGCGGCTTCCGCTGAAAAGCCGCGATATCAGCCTTCAGCAGAGGCACCTTCGGCTGAACTTCCGGATGAGAGGCCAACGGATCAAGCCCGCTACTTCGGCACCTCGTTGTCTGAGGTTTTCTAAGGTTAGCACGGGTCGCAAGGATCCTGGCGATTTTGCAGTCAATAGAATCGACCTTCTGGTCGCCTAGACTCACATCATGAGACAGACGACCCTTTCAATCTGGATCCGAGCTGAGGAATGAGGGCGATACGCTCTCACCTTGAGACATTTCAGTGCAGCCCTGTGAATACTTTTCGCTTGACCCGTGAGCGCCGCATAGAGCAGGCGATAGCTTAGACTGGTAAAAAGGATGTAGACATGTAGTGAGAGGCCGGGCCACCACCCAACGAAAGACTCGGCCCCTTGACGCTTCGCTGTCGTGACGTCTGCTGCCATATCTTGTTTCCCACGACAATAGTCCTGCAAAAAGAGAGACCGGTCCCGGTGGGCTTACGAAGTACACATCGATCTGGAGATTATGCACTAGTTGAGAGACGAGGGACTTCTTCTTGGTTTCTCTTCTGGAAAAAGTCAGTCGTGCCCTTGGATTTATGTGAGGCAGTAGATCAGATCGGAACGCTTTTTACCGTCATTCTAACCAGGGGCTCAATTGGAGGAGCGGCCCGCCTGCTCAAGCGTTTTGACAGCACTGGTAACACGTAACTCTCGTTTAGCTGAAGATCTTTGTCATGCTCATGTCGGCCCAGAACCTTCCAAGAAGCCTTTGGACGCGCCTCGTCATAAGACAATAGCGCGCTACGTCACTTGCAGAATGTTAATCAGCTTTGGAACTTTTCAAGCGCTGCTTAAGGAATGATGTCATCTGACATGGACAATCGGGCGATTCCGAACGTGCAAAAGAGGCTTTTGAAACCGAGGTTACCGCAGCACATCAAACCCCGAGCACCTAGGAAAATCCGTACCAAGTCCCGCTTCCTCTCCTCCATGTATGCTTCTAGTTGCGCGCGGTCGAGCGGCAGCTCTTCTAAGCCCACGTCCGCAAGCCTCCTCTGAAAGAGCATCGTCCGAGCGACGATCTCGTCCGCCGTTTTCCCGAGGCCCCGTGTCGCGAGCATCTCCTCTTGAAAGCACAGGTTTGCCTGCGCCAGGGACGCCAACACCCACGTCTGCAGGGCCTTGGTAAAGCCGTAGGGCTGAGTGCTTCCGTTTACGGAAACAGAACCTGTGGAAGGAAGATACTGAGGGTTTCCAAAAAATGTTCGAAGAGACAGATTAAGAAGCTATTTGCATCCGCTTCGAGGACTGCGAGGAAAGTGAGCTGACTTGTTGGCTGTAGTGCTCAATAGCACACCTGCAGTACTGCACAGGAGAAGTCTCAAGGCCATGATGAAGAAAGGAAACAGAATGCTTTGGCTTTCTCTGGCTTGCAGCGCAATGTTTGCATTTCATCTTCTAGTACAAAGGTCGTTGCCGCGACCGTAAGATGTGGAAGGGGAAGACAATTGACCTGTACTGATTATTACTTAAGAAGCCAAAACCATTGCGACACTCAAGGTTTCGTTGCAGATTCGGCTGCCTTCCTGAATGAGCTCCACAAAAACTAACGGGACTAGCTCCAAGTTCAGTCTCACATTCCACTCAACGGTGTCAGGCGGGCACAAACTCCAGCTCGCCCTCAGATCTATTGAAAAACAACGAGCCTGTTCTTAAATCAAGCTAGCCCGTAACATAACCTGTCCTACAAGCTAAGGCTGTAAGGCTGACCTGGTTCCCACATGCTGAATTCAGATCTATCTAGCTACCGCTGTGATCCTTGTACTCCAGAAGCCTGACCAGTAGCAAATGAACTTATGTCAGCATCAATGAAATTTAAGTTGGAACACAGAGAAACTACTACTATGTTGACGAGCATCTTTCAAATGTCATTTCGAGAGCTCTTTCCCCTCTTACTTCCGATTGTCGCTCTCTGCCCCTTGTAGACCGAACTGACGGCTTGATAATACTCAAAACATGTGCAAGTACGGGCAAAGTCAAGAGCCCACATCATGCCTGTAGCTACTAAAATGCTGCCACTCCTTACATCATTGAGAGTGCAAAATCAGACTCGCCCACACCACTTTACCTCCAATGCCGCCATGTATCCGTTTGATCCACTCTGCGACTTTCCGCCGCTCCTTAGCGCTCCCGCGCGCCACCAGCTCAAACGCGGTCATGGTCCTCAGAATCCGCACGAGGGGCTGTTTCTGAAACCGGCTGTGCTTCTGGAGAGCTTGCCTTAAAACAGGGTCCGTCAGCATAATCTGTAAAGTTAAGACTACCACTGCCGCCATGCACTCTGCATTGTCAAGCAGCGCAGAGTCTCGGATGTAGCCCCTAGACTTTGGTGGGTATAGCGCTAGCACACGGGCAGAGACTGTGACAAAGACGTAGGCTGCGCAGGCAATGCATAGACAGATCTTGGAAAGGGACGGGTAAAGAAATGCCAGAGTGGCTACGAAAGCGCACGCGGACGCAGCCAAGAGCGCGTGCGCCTGCATCATTGGAGCTCGGTTGAAGGGGACGTGACTAAGGGCTTCAAAACGATGTAACATTACTCTTCAGCTTGTCAATTTTAAGTAGCTGTTTCTGCTTATTGCATCCAGCACCACTTGCACCTGAGATCGCTCTTCACGGTTTTCAGTCGAGGGTGTGCCTTTCCAACGTACTGCTGGTCGAACCAAGTTTCGGAAGTCATGCGAGGTGAATGAGCTAAAGACAAAGATCTCAACATGCGAGGTAAATAAGCTAAAGGCGAATATCTCAAGAGTTGCTGTTTGCAATTCTCAACTACTTTCTTGCAGATACCACTGCCTCCAAGAGTCTCAGCTAGTCCTAAAGACTGGAGGACCTTGACTCTCAGAGATTTGAAATCCTTAAAGCTTTGACAGGTTTTAGAAGCGCTGGAAGTTTGGGCGCTGCCAGCTGACACCCTGAACTTGGCGCGGTCCAGGCAGAAGTTGGACCAGACTTGAAAGCTGCATGCCAGACAGGTGCAGGGCCTTCCTGTATTAGCTACGGTACCTACAAACTCCAAGCCTACTTCACAGCACGTCGCTGTCGGATCGATTTTCGGTTGGGAATACGGGCCAGCAGCATCCAATCCGGTTTCAATCCTTCGCGTATGAGGATTGAAACCAGAGGCTAGGTAATTGCCGCCTTGCCAACGTCAGCCTATCAGCCGGGAATGACGGTGTCGACGATATGCAAGTGACGAAGTTTGTACCTGTACGGGCCTGTACCGGTTTGAATTGAGGATTTGTTCCTTCAATGGCGATCGATGCAATCAACGTCCTTAGCGCGCAAGCAGCATCACTACCCGGAGCAAACAATCGTAAATAGAAGGGAGTGTGAATTAGGTAATTTGTGACCATCGCAACAAAGCTGTAACTTAGTAAAGCTGTGACGCTAGCTACGCGCCGCAAGATTTGCATTCAGTGCATCAGATTGCAAGCGCGCGCTTGCATGTCGTCAACGCTGTGGGCCTAGAATCACAGTCGTTATCGGTTCACCACTCCCACTCTCGAGTCCTGCGACCACCGAAACCGGCGGCCGAGGCAATCCTCCGGAGTGCGAGTCCGTACGGTCATGATTGGCATGCGACGGTTCATAGAATGTCGTCAAATGTAACCAATGACAGCCATTCCGCGGGTGTTGTTTCCACCGTTCATCCGCCGAACCGTACAGCATGGCGTCACCGACTCACCGATGCAAATTGCGTTCCCGCATTGCATTTATGTCACATGTGTTCCTAATACCGTACATAGATTTACCTATGTACGGTTCGGGATACGGTAGTATCAATCACCTCGCACCGCAACCGGGGTCCGGAAGGTACGTACTACACGGTACACGTACCTCGACCAGGGTCGCCAGCGTACTACGGTAGGTACCGTAGTGTAGTCGAAGATGAACAATTCCTCGGACCTCCCGTGTCCAAGTTCTGCGCAGTGCGCACCGAGTAGCTTCAACTGGGTAGGTACATCTCGTGCTCTCTCAATTATCGCGGTTCGTGTGGCCCCGAGCAAAAGTCGGCGCGCACGTGCAACGGACGATGTCCGCACACTACATGTAGCTAATATACTTTCCGTTCGCAGATCATATAGCAGTCGCCAGTGCACTGATTAGGAAACCATGACAGTTAAACATTATGTTTTACAAAGATTACTCATCACTGTGACTGACATGCCTATGGCATCGCAGAGTTGTCTCATGCATGTTGAACGGTGTTCATCAAGCACCTTAGAACCTATCCAACTGAATGAGACCGGCTGTATTTTAGTCACGCTAGCCAGGCGCTACCGTCCCATGCTGAATCGGACAAAGTGCAATCAGATCTCAAAAGGGTTAGTAGCACACAATATTGACAGCGATCGGCGGATTCCGCAGATCGAGGTACTCACTTAGACAGGTGGGGAGCTAGATATCAGATCGCTTCACACATATGGTAAATGCTCGACGCGCACCTGCCACACCTCTGAAAGCAATCCTAAGGGAATCTTGCTTCCGATGACTCAGGATCTTGAGTCATTGAGTCATTGAGTTATTGAATCATTGAGTCCTCTCGAGAGGATGCATGCAGGAAGCGGGGAGGCAGGAATGCATGGGGCAAAGCGGAGAAGGTGAGTCACCGTGCTTCCCCCAAGTGGTGAACAGGGCCACTATTTATTGAACGTCGGAAAGCTCTAAGGTACGAATGGAAATTGGAAATCTGGCAGATTCTGTATAGGTTTGAGTACAATACGTAGATCAGAGATTCAGTTCTTGTATAGGTTTGACTTCACTTAGCTTCTCGATTCGAGTAAAATGCGCAGCCTAGCAGTTCACTGAGCATAACCGGCCCCTGCAGACCTTATAGGGTGGCGCCGAATGTCTGGGGGCGCCTCACATTTGGGTCAAGCTTAACTTCGTAACAGCCTGCCGGGACACTGACCTAGCTTTCCGGCAAGCCTGGTGGGGCCATTGCTTTCGCTGCGGAGGTGCCAGAAGAAGCGATTGAGGGGCGACCTCTCACCCCATTTGCAACGTACCTCGGCACCGCCTCGGGCGGCATATCTATTTTGAACAGTTTTAGTATAGATCAGATGACGGCCATCTGTCGAGTCTAGCTAGCAGTAACGCTTTACGTGCGCGGTAGAAAGAGGCTGCTTTCCAGGCTAGGAGCCAGCCGGAGCCGCTTTGAACCTCTTGGCAAGCATGGCGTCCGTCCTTTCCTGATTGCGCTTCTCGGTGAGCCGCCGGACGGCCCGCTGGTTGCTGGCCAACACGGAGTCAACGAAGCCCTGCAAATCAAGTTCAGAAAATTGTGCGGCAGGATCTCAGAACTACGAACTTCCAGAGTCCTCGTGTGCTGGTTACTGAGCCGAATGTCAAAACCCCGAGCTGACTTGCTGAGACAAATGACAAGACCGGATCAAAATACAATTCTAAGTTGTTGCAGTAACAATCAGGACTTGCATAGATTCCGCAACGCAAGGGGCGACTCGGACCAGCAGCAAAACAGAGGTCGATGACGTCGCCAAATGATATTGACGTCTGTCGCGTGACTCTCTGGAAGAACGTCGAGCACGTGACGTACTACAGACTAGCTCGTGACTCTGGCCAGCCAACTCTACAAGCCCGCGTGAAACGGCAGCTCCAGACGGAATCGTTAAATGATGGCGAAATTAGAAAAATGAACAAAAGCGGAATGAGGGGCAAATGAAGTAGTCAGCGAGACACAGATTTGAGAAAGGTGCGCTCGCTTTGTGAACGGCCGGGCCAGAGAAGCTGGCTTCCGGGCGACTTGCCTTATTCGCTTTGTAGATCTCAGATAGAGGCTTTCCCGCGCTCACGGAGATCAGAATGTGCGGCGGAAACAGCTTGGGAAAGAGGCGGTTCAGCATAGTCTGCGCACGATTCAGCGTTAAGCATCAGCGCCGTTGAAGCGACGACGAAAGCTTAGGTAAAGTCTTTTAAGCACTTTCTCTGACTTTTTCATCTGCGAAGACTATCAACGATTTGTTTTCTGAATTCTTCATCCGAAAAGAAGACCAGCCAACGAAGTGCAATGCTACACGAGCGAGGCCCGCGAATCTTTTCAGCAGACCCAAGGCGAGACTGCCTTAGTAATATTGTATCTGCGTCGATGTTGCAGGCTACGCACTTGCCCGGCGAGAGTCATTCCACGCTTTTCATGCGAGCACGAGGTGTAACTTCGTAATATTTTACTTTCCTTCTAAAAGCGGGACCTCCATTGGCACATCGACGACTTCCGATCAGTTGGCCCTTGAAGCGACTTACATCCTCTCAAGAAATAGTGCCACAGTCAGTGGTTCACTTCAAACAATCAGTAGTTCGAATGAACCGTCAAATCTCGCAACTGATCATTTATTTGATGACCCGCCAGCTGAGGACCCGCCCGTTGGGCTGTCATTATTTCGTACCTGCCAGACCATGTTGAGAATGTTCCTGATCACCCCCCACCGGTCCATGGGCCCTTGGCTTTCTGCTACGTCCACCAACGCGTGACCTTCAGGCACCCGCAGCCCCGAGTAGGACTCGAGAGCGTCTGGCAGCTCCGAAACAGTCTCCTGTGAAGAGACAGTTACCTTTAGTTCGTGATTCTACGGTGACAGCTGTCATTGCGGGCGCGCGCACTGATGGCTACTCGTGTCTTCGGAGATCCGGACCCTGTGCCAACAACAACGGATGGGAACGGAACGGGCGGGGATGCAACGAACGCTGCACGCTGACCGGAGCGGCACATGCGAGCGCGACTCTGCACCGCTTGACACGTGTTGAGGGCGAGATAGAGGGGAATCGGGTCGCCGAGAGTGTGACCTTAGGAGACGCCAGCGCAACATCATTTTCAGAACGGATCGAATGGAAAGACAGCATGGTATAAGGTGGTCGAGCTGAGCACGACTTCAAAGCGCTGGTTCAGTTTATAGCTTAACGCACCGTGCATTCAGCAAGTAAGCCACCAAGTTCTGACGTTTTGATCAAGTTAACGTAAAAACCTTGCAATCAAAAGAAGCCCCAGATTCTGTGCAGCTACAAGGACCGATTGATAGGCCCCAGATTCGAGGGTCCCGGAAAGATTGAAAGTCGTGCCGATCACGACTGTGACTTTCTGGTGAGAAGGACCGAGAATGTGGTGCTACTGGCCTGGTATGCTCTTGCCTGATTGCTGCGGAGGCCCGAGTCGCATCGAAAATGTGCGCCGAGTCGGTGGCGCAGGTTTCAAGCAAAGCTTGCTAGTTTTCCAGGCTTAAAGCGCCTAGTTCAAAATCCGCTCTTACCGTCTCGAGAAGAAGGCTCGCCAATGTGGCGGCGTCTTCCAATGCCGTGTTGCATCCCTGGCCGAGTGTCGGACTGGTGGCGTGAGCTGCGTCGCCAATGAGCACCGCACGGCCCTCCGTATCATGGTACACGCTGCACTTGAGCTGCAAAAAGCAAGTACAGACTGTAAAAACAACACTTGAGATGCGTTTCGACTTCTATGAGATCTAAGCTGCCTGAATAAACGATAAGTCAAACGACCGGGCTTACACAAAGCAAAAATACCAACTCAGAAAGTTACGCGTTCCGCAACCGAGCGCACCCTAACCACCCGGCAGACCCTCCCGTCCCCCGGGCTTGACCTCACAATTCATTGGCCTTGCTATTCAAAAAATCGAATCTTACCAGCACCAGTACTAATAAGGTTCAAGGCTCAGTTTCAAGAAAGCTAAAGCTCAATTCTGGTCCTGCAAAAAGAGCGGAGAATCCGCTCAAAGGCAAGGCTCGAGGCGGACAATCCTAACGGCTCTGCAGAATTTCCTGGCTACAACTTCCAGTTTCTTCCGAACCTTGCAAAACGGAACGGGCGCAACTCTGTGAAACCGAGCACGAGCCGATCCCGGTTGAACTTTACTGAATCCGTCTCATGGCACAACGCGTCTAGTTGCGAGCCACCTAGCCAAAACACGCTTACCTGCATGCTTGTGTTGACCCTCTGTTTCAGCAACGCCTCCGCTGACTTGAGCGGAATGTTCAACCACGGGTAGGCCCGGTCCAGGTAAGCTTTGGCGTCTTCGGCAGTGGTGCAGGCGTGCCACTCGGGGGGCTTCTCGTGCGATGTCCAGCCGATTACGAAGTTCATCTGAGAGTCCCCTTCCAGCCTGCGCCCAAGCACCAGGAACTTTCTTCACGCTAACGCTGAGCTTTTTCAAATTCGACGGCAATTCAGCGAGATCAGGTTGTTCCCTTTTCTGGGCTCTTGGTATGAAACCGATAAAAGCCCAACGGCTTCAGGGCTTCAAAACCATTCGGGTCTGACAGATTGCGTTTCCCCTCCGCCTAAGATACATATTTCTAAAAGTATCAGCAAGCCTTTCAGATCTCGTCCAAAATATCGCCGCCCGGTAATATCCATTTCTTTTGCGCTGTGTGTGTCGGCGCAGCGGAAACTTACGAGGGGCACCCAGGCGTAAGGAGGGCGAACGGCTTCCCCAGAACGATGAGGCCCCAGTCGCCCTTCACTGGGGGTGGTGGAACCGGGACTCGAGTTACCAGCCACTCCCAGCCAATGTCTCGCTGCTCGAAGTCGAACCTGCAAAGCGAGCGGTTCGGACGTTAAGGTCGCCCGCACCAGGTCTTACAGTTTTTTTTGGATCGCTCTTTGATCGTGACACTGCCGCCAGTTTCCTGGAGCAGAAACCAGCATCCAGGGTTGGCAATCTGGATTCAAGTCAGCTGATGAACAGTCCAGTTCTTCTCCAGCTGCTAATTTAACTTGATAGAAGGCCGGAAACAGGTCCCACTTTTCTAGAGATCCAAATCAAAGCGGACAGAAAACAAGACTTTTCAGGCCGCATCTAAACTGGTTCAGCTTGTGGGCTGTTCAGATGCTTATCAAAATGTTAGGAAGCTCGGGGGGAGTTCCTTTCCATGGAAATTTCGGAAGAACACACATACGCATTCTCCGTTCCGAGTGCTGCAACTCCCCAGAAATCCTGGGACCCTTGTGAATGTGCAACGTTGCCTTCTGAATTTTTCAGCCGACGAACTCACATTAGTCTCCCAATCCACACAGCACCCTTACAAAGCGTCCATATGCAAAGCGAGAGTCGTAACCACGTTTCGTGAAATCATATGTGTTCTCTCGCTCTTACCTTCTCGTCGACTGCACAATGCCCTGTCGAACCACGGAGTGCACCCCGTCAGCACCCACGATCAGATCATATCGCTTGGTGATTCCGGTTCCGTTCGTACGGTTCCACTCCCCGACATCACTGGCCTGATCCGGTCCCGGCTGCCCTTCTGAGTTTCGGTCCGCGGAAGGAGCGGGAGCGGCAAAAGTTACGGAGCGTGTCCGGAGGTCGACCGAGGTGCACCGCTGGTCGAACGTGATGTCCAAGAGGCCAGATCCGCCGTACCTGAACGGAAAACGGAACGGTCGACAGGGTTTTCTGGCAATCGACGGCTCTGATTGATCCAAGCAAAGCTTCGTGATCTTACAGGACTCTTTCGGTGCGTGGACGTGTGATGTTCCAGCTCATTGCTGACTGTGATGTCCAAAGCGCCGGATCTGCCCGAAGGAAAAGCGGAATGGTCGACACTTGTGCTTATGTCTGACATTTCAGTGGACAGTCTGATCTTGCAAGACTCTGATACGAGCATATGCTGACCCAGCCCTTACCTCGTCAAACCAAAGAACACTTTTCAGCCAGAGCAGTTCAGAAGCTGGTTAACGACTTTGTTTAGGCTTAGTTTGGGTGACTGGAACAAAGTGGAGCCAAGAAGCGCTAAACCAGCAGCACCTCTCAGGCAGGGAGCGGTCTCCCCTTGGTTCAGACCTCGACTTTTCAGAACAGATTTCCCGGTCTTGTTCAAAGCTATTCTAAGTGCACACTCTTTTGAAGTTCCTTGGGGCTTTTGCAAGGTTTTCCTCTGACTCGTTATCTAAAGAATCACCCAAATGAGTACAAATCCGGCCGACCCGATCTATTCTTTCATCACTGAAGAGAAATCGGTGAATGCAGCGCGCTGGGGTTTACCTTGCAAGGAGAAGGTCCATCATTGCGGCACACAAGGCGCAACGGTCCGTGACGATCTTCGGGCTGTCCTCTGCGCGATGTGGAACGGACAAGAATCTTCCCAGAACCCACACTTTGCACACAAACGCCGGGGCCCCTACAGCCTGCGGAAGATGGAAATAAATGACGTTTCAGACCTGTAGTGAAAATCATTAGCGTTCCTCCTCTTAGCCTTGATAATATCAAGCATAGCGCTTGGAGTGTTGACTCCGAGTCGTCACATATTGAACGCTACGAAAGCTTACTGGAGAGGAAGAAGGACTTAGAAGCCATGCTCGAACTAGATTCTGTTTCACATCCAAGCAATCAAAGTGTTAATTTCAAGAAGAGCGGTGCTAGGCCATGGCGGCGGCAATTCAACCAGGCGACAATCTCTTCGATCACCTGAAGCATGGAGATGCAGCCACTCATATTTGCACAACTTTCTTCTTATCACCACTGGTTCGAAGAGCCCTTCATATTTTTACGGTCAAAGTCCAAGGACCAATCCTCCACGTCTTGACCATACAAAGGAAGCTCAATGTCAAAGCTAAAGGTGACTAATGCACATCAAATGTCTTTCCTTTGTGTCAAGCATTTGAAAACCCGAAGTTGGCCAGAGCTGGCACTTGCGAACTTGCTCATGCATATTATAAACCTTATCCAGACAAGATGCAGTTTGCTATAAGTGCAAGAAGCGTCTTACATTGACCCGTGGCCATAAGCCCTCTATCCTCTGAAGTGCTGCCAGCCCCCGGTGCCAAATACCTAGAGGGGACCTGCCAGCGGGAAAGGGGAGACCTTATCAAGAAATCCCCACAGGTGTCACGTTCCAACATATCTCCAAGCACTCACAGGTGACGTCCACTTTCGGCATCTCTGTGACAAGATTCTGAATAAACTTTGGCTCCCACAAGTCTGTCTCATAGCTGTTTCTCATCAGCAACACGTCTGAAGTGGACCAGTGATACTTGGATCTGCATGGCCTATTCTCCAACAACCCTTCACAGAAACTGAGATCTCCTGGGATTCAACCAGCTGACAAATTGAACCAGGTTTCAACGTTGTGCAATTCGGGCTTTTCTTGAAAACCGACGGAGGACACAGGCTTGTCCACAATCTGCCAAATCCCACAATGATCAGACAGCAGCAAACCTACATCAACATTTTCAAGCGTGACGAGGAGTGTGGTCTAGCAAGGAAGATCACCTTCGTGGAGAAGGCGGCCGCTTCAAGGTTTCCCTTGGATCCTCCCGTGCTTCATGGATGGACACCTTGAACCTTCCCTGCCCCTTCTCCAGCAAGTACAGCGCTAAGAGGAGCCCCCCAGGACCCGCTCCAATGATGACAACATCCGTTGGTTTGGGATGTATGATCGGCACGTTGGCTGAAGTGGGGCCAGAAAAAAGAGTGCAGGGAGCCATGTCTCTCTTGGTCAAAAGGCTAGGTCAAACCTGCGAGAACAGGAGGGCTGAATGAACCGCTAAGGAGAGGATTGGCATCAAGAGGGCGGTGAAAGGCCAATAACCTTGAACACTGCACAGAATGAGGTGCTGGGTCAGGAAATGCAGTTTGGCAATGCTTTAGGATCCGTGCGATTAACCCCTGCACTCGTAGGTGCAAAACAGCATGAGCCTCAAAAGGTATGGAGAGTCAATGTGGCAAGCTGAACTAAGAACATGAACCAGACCTTTCTTGTCTTTGCACGTTGATCGTCTGCCCCATACTAGCTTGATGCAGAGCGCTTACGAACAGTGGTCACATGCTCTACATGATGCAAGACAGCCCTGCTCTATGTACAACGCACACAGCCCTCCAAGAGTCCTTCCTCAAGTTGAAGGCTCTTTCTTAGTGCATTCCTCATGCTTGAGCTTAGAGCATTACTACTGACCCAAAAACCGCGGCCCAGTCTCTATATAGTTTGAACAAAGTCCCAACATAAGAATTTGTTCACTTGCTCAGGCAGAATCTGAAAGGATGACAATGAAAATGCACTCCTGTGTGCTACTTTCGAGTTGAAGCATTCCAAAAACATGAACCTGGACCTGCAAAATGGACAATCTTCAAAAAAACTTAGAGACAATTCACATTCAGTATCCGAGAATACTGCTTGGAAGATCAGCTTTTCTAAGTCAGGCCTTGTGAGCCCTTTCGAAACTACAGTTGGCAATCAGCAGGTGGACATTGCTTGGGCATTGCCAGCTTGCTACTAACCTGTTTGTGCTGCGGTGAAGACCAGAACCCCTTTGGAGTCTTAAGAGCGAAAATTTGAAGCTACTTTCTTGTGAGATCTACTCAGTGGCAGCCACCAGCCAAGTCAGCCAGACTTGTCACTGTGCGGAAGGAAACTTTTCTGAAAGTCTTACAAGGACGGCATTAGGGAATAAAACTGACTCAAGATCTGAACACTTAACACAAGAGTCTGGAGTGTCAATAGGCTGTCACGGCCGGCGGCGCAATGGTGGAAGCGAGGTGGGAACCTGACACGTCGCATAACTCTGTATACTCAGTTGTACTTGCGACAATGTGTCCTATAAATCTCTTGAGGCGCTGCCGATGCGCCCCTACGGCGCCCCTCTGGCGCTCTTCTGAAGACTAACTTAGTACCTTACCCGTAGAACGGTCCTCAACTTCTGCATGGTCCTTCTCATCCTTCAAACGATTTTGACGGCTGCAGATTGGTAGCTTCTACCGGTTTATAACAGATATGATCACGTCATGCAGCATTTCAATCAGACAGAAGCCTGAGCGGTGGCCACGTCTTCTTGCTTTGGCTGGGACGCCAGGACTGATTCTGGGATGAACTTACCGTACTTAGTGGGAGGATTTAGCCGCTTGTAACCGGGTTTGTGGTAAACGATGGCGTCCGGTATTCGCGGCCACTCTCCGAGTCCGACAACTGAGAGCCGACGGGTCACGGCATTGATCACCCGGAAAGTACGTCCGAAAATTTGGGTTTGGACCAACCATAAGTACGACATCGAGAATTGCAAGGGAATGATGATGCTCAATGCTCAGCCAAGAAAACAGTAATGAGCTCCGATTAACATAAAAGGCTCTAACCCCACCTGAGTTCCTGCTATACGCATCCTTTTTCCCACTAACCCACCAGACTAACCTTACCCATCCCATTCAGCTCCATTTAGGTACCAATCATCCTCGTATACCAGTTGAGTGGGCCAGGCGGCCCTCAGGAGTCAGCCCTCGGGTATGTGTAAAATGATGTCACCATCAAGCCGCAAACGTTGGCCGGATTGAAACCTAGTTCAACTTCTGCCCGACCATTCGCCAATAATCATTTCCATACACCCTATGATTGCGGTATGTATGGCCGAGACGCATTGATCGCGACCGGTCAGCGAATGACGTCGGAATCCGTATGAGTACGGTATGACCGTATTTTCATTGTAATTCGGACCGCGACTGAAACAGTGAAAGGGACTGCCGAGATCAAAATAAAGGGGATCAGAGTGCTGGAGCCGAGTGAGTTCCTTCCAGGGATCCTTGTTGTCAGCGTTTTTGAGAGTTTTGGAGTCGAGTGTTGACATAAATCATGAATATTCAAAGCTTCTGCGGTGAGGACACTGGGCAGCTTCGGCGACAACACTGGCCAGCTGAAGCAAACGGATTGGGAAAGATGAAGATGCAACACAAACGGATTGGCAAGATGAGAAATGCAACACATTGCATCGCAAGGAAGAAAGAATCGCACGTGAGGTTGAAGATCAATCCCGTGGTGACTCGAGCTGATATGTACAAGAATGATGACACCAAATATAGAGTTCGCATGACGGTGAACCCTTACAGACAACGTCTTGCCGCATTAGCGAACTGCCTGCTTGGAAGTGCGCTCGAAAATGTCTTTATGCAAATGCACGGCCACCTGCGAGCACGAATTTACGCTTTATCTTATGGGTTCTCAAGTAGTCGCATCGCAAGTGTCGGGGCATTTGGCGCCAAGCATATGGCTGATGACTAAACTCTTTCGAGGCTCCCTTCCTTGCCGTGCTTTGCGCTTGTTGTCTAACCAAAAAAATTCAACACGGGTCTGAATCAAGTTTCGCCTGATGTAAAGCTCCTTCTCTCAAAGCGCTGACTCACGTGTTTGCCCTACTGCCGCTTTACCCGTTTAAAATTCTGCATTTGGCTTTCCCTTGACGTTTTCGTTTGAATTTCAATAACGACGCGGCTGAATACTCTAAGCCGGTTCGCAATTGGACTACTAGCAGAGGCCCTATATCTTAGACAGATACACAATCGCAGTCGTTTCCTGGTCGATTCAACTGAGTTGCTGCTCTGCTTCAGAGATCACCTTCGAACTTACCTTGATCATAAAGCACAAGTCGCCTAGATGCCGCCTGCCCCTGCACTTGGGTTGCGAGTCTGTCACTGCGGCTCCAGTGCATATGCTCACTGCTATCGTAAATCCTTCCTGGCAGGTGCTGCAAAAGAAAACAATCGGAATCAGATGGGTTTGATGAGGTATGACAACTCCGTCTGGGAAATGGTTCTACATATAAGGATACGGCGCTGGAACGAACTGTGAGTCCAGACACATTAGAGCTGAGCCTTCAACGAAGTTCCCATTGGGGAAGGACGCAGTTGTGGTCAGCATTGAGATCAGTATCTGGATGGCTCATATGACTAAGCATACAGAAACAGGCGAAACGGAGCAATGCAAGCAGAACCGAAGCGGCTGGGGGTTCCTAGGCTTCTGAGCATCGCAGCTTCAAAGATTATTGTCATACCCCACTTGGCAGACGTCAAAGCTGCCCGTGGTGAGCAATAAACTTCCAGACATCGAGCGGAAATATACAGATTTCGAGCCGGACAGCAATCAGGGATCAATGATGGCAACTAGGTGGGGGGGCTTTCGGGGTTGCTTGGGCGGAGCTGTCTGCCAAAACGAGCTCAACTGGGCAGGCGTCACTTTCTCCTTAGCCAAGGGGCATCACAGTTGGATCACAGACCACAAGCGAAGAACTACTCTGCCATATAGGTCCGAAGGTTGTACAACAGCAGCAAAATAACAGTTACTAATAGAAGGCAGAGCATTTTCAAATTGAGCAGTGGAACGTGGCGTTTCAAAGAACTTCCGGTCAATTCCAAAGTTCCCGAGCCCTCTGGCCTCAGCAGGCACTCGTTGCAAAATCAGCGGACGGAATGTGCAGACATTTTCAGATAGAAACGAGGAGCGGAAACCGTAGACCAGGAAGAGTGTTTCCTGCAGGCCGCGGGAATGTGGCACTTTTGGCAGACTATGGCTCACTTCGCACAAGGTCTGCGACACGGAGCTGCACGAGGCGAAAACCTCCGAAATTAAGGAGGGGATGTTTTTATCAACCAAATACTGCACACTAGCGGGTTCCAGTGCTCCGATGTGGCTGGCATTAAAATGCTGACTCTTTCAAAGAGCGAGTGCAAGCACTCACCGAACAGCCACGAAGTCATGGTGACCACGCCGGGAAGCACAATTGGGCGGGTGGCTTCAAGCGCGGCGTACTTGAGCCGACTGCGCGGCGACGAGCTTGCCCTCCTACTTGGTCTTGTGTCGGTCGGAGGTGCACCCGTCGAATAGCGGAGAAGTGTTGCGCGTCTGGATGTCGATCTTCGATGATGTTCTGATTTTAGACCGCTTGGGATGCCAGTTGGTTGGACGTGGTACGTCTGCAGATAAGGACAGAAGAGGACAGCATCAGAAAGAGCCATCAGAATCGCCAGAATCTATATTTGTTTTTTTGAGTAAGGCTAGCTAAAAGCTTAAGACTTCACCTTGCCCTCTGAGAACGCGAAGAAAGAAGCCATTGGGTGCAGTCGGAGGAACCAACCCGACAGCAGCAAGGGGAGGGAATACCTTAGAAAGAATCAGCTTCTGAACAGGAAGTCGTGGTTGACCCGTAGAAGACACTCTTTGGAACACTAAGTGCTCTGGCTTTTTCACAGGAGAAGGACATCCGACTTTCTACAAACGCCTGCGCATGCCAAGAACCTAGCACAGCGGGCCACGAGTCACGGCACTCCCCCAGAAAGGCTGAACATCCGTGGTCAGCAATGTCATCCCTTTTCAAACGCTTTTATCGCTGACACCTCATTGCAACTTCAGTGACGCCAGACAACATTCATACTTCCTTCAGGCAAATGCTCAACAGCTTCTCTTGACAAACCAAATGGAACAGTGTCCATTCACTTTGAACATCGTATGCCTTCACGCTCCTAACGTTAACAAGCGGGATTTGAACGCGCTCACCATATTGGAGCTGAGCTTCAGTGGCCTGAATTTGACCTGGTGCACAGAAAAGTCTGGATCTCCTCGTTGTACTGCACCAGGTCCATGATTGAGGCCGGCAAGTCGGCGGCCTGCCACACCTCTGTGTGGTCTTCGTACACTTAGTCGTCCGCCTCGGCTTCCAGACTTCAGCGCGCCCATTCGTCTGCACGCAAGCTGCTGCATCATGAAGTAATGCACAAGCACAGCAGGCAAACATTCAGGAAGCCGGGTTCTGCGAGCAGTTCCAGAAAGATGCGGAGTGCTTGGATTATCGCTGCAGTGTCGCCAGAGTGGGGGCCGATGCTGTGGGTTGCAAGACGGACATTGGCGAAGTTGGTCATGGTTCCTTGAGGATCCCGCTTCAACTCTGCTGTTGTAACAAACTTCAAACCTGTGGGGCAATCCGACAACGATGGGGCAATCCAGTGCTATACGAACAGGGATCCCCTTTGCCTTCCTAAGTTTGTGCGCCAAAAGGTTCTGTCTGAGCCTCTCACATGAACATATTGCGGGGCTAGGAAACACTTCTCAACAGACCTATTTTAGTTGTTTGGCTTCAAAGGGTGCCAATCAACCGGCTCCACAATGATCTAGTTTACATGATGCACAGAATCGTATATTTGGATTGAACGTCTGCCACGGTGCAGGGCTAGACGGCGGCGCCGCAAGATCAGCTTGCAGCTGGAGCTGGAGTCTTAACGTCTGTGGTGTTTTAAAACATGGAAGCAGATAGAGCGTCCAACATTTGTCCTGACTAAGGAGAGCTAGAGAGCGTACATAAGTGCTGTCCGAAGAGGTGCAGCTTCAATGCGTTTCTTACCTGGGGCAAAGTTGTTGCTGGTCCCTGCGCTTGCATCGAACAGCCACTGACGTCAGCTGCAGCCAGATGGTTTTCTCAACAAGTGCACCAGCTCTCTGTCTGCTTTCTGGTCAGAGGACGGTCGACAGCGCGCCACAATTAGTCGGTAAGAATAAATGGCCGGGCACTTGAAAGGCCTTAAGCTAGCTGGATGGTGGTGCAATGTGGACACCTTTCAACCCTGCCCCACACTTCAGATACACCCCAATCTTCCTGCCCTAAGCAGATCCAGGTAGCAATGCAGCATTCTTCTGCTTGCCTACCATGCAAGAATGCTACATGATACTCAAGTCTGTCCCCCTTATATGGCAACAAATGTTACCTATTATACGTAGGCGCCTAGGACGAAAGCTTCGGCGGAAACAACGTGTGCGTTACGCTGCTCCTCCTAGGCGACCAAGGGAGAAAACTGCTTCTTGTGCTGTAATGCTAATGTGTGTCATCCCCCATATTTGGGTAGGCTTTTAGGGTTCATGGAGCATTCTCAGTTAATTTAACCGTATATTAAGCTCTGAATGCCGCCTGCAAAGATCTGCTGAGCACTGCCACTGATCAAACAAAAGCTGCAGCTAGACTCTAGAGCCTGAACTTTGAAGCAGTGAAGGGAGCAACATAGAGTTAACAGCATGCCAGCTGCAAGCAAGGAGCAATTGTGAGCAGGTGCTTTTGTAAAGCGCCATCCAGCCCCATTTTTCCCTTTGCCAATTGTCAGGCCCTGACGAAGGAACATATGTTGAGATTTTTCTGTGCTTTGAGAAAGGATACTGCTTTATCATCCTGCGCTCCGAAGGCATCTGTCGAAAGCCATTTGGAAGTTTGCTATCAGTTGTTACACTCACCTGGCTGGAGAGGAAAGTTGAATATGTCAAGGCTGCCATGACCATATGATTCACAGCACTGTACCGCAATAGAGTAGCTCTCTGTAGCCAAGATTGTTACACACAAACGTTAAAGAGCACATGAGATGGTGAGAAGTCCATTTGAGGAGTGCATTTGAACTGGGGTGGGCTAGGGTTTATGCTCTTATTGACGTTCTGACCAATTCATGGGAAACAAGCAATTGCAGATTGGTTAACAAGAAGCGTGGGCAAAAGCGGAGGCGAGCACCCCTGTGCAGGTTGTTCTGGACAAACGGCCCGGGCATTAAATTGGTAAGGCACATTGCTGTTGCAACTTTTGCCTTCACTGGGATGGTTGTCAAAGGACATTGAAGGCTTTCGAGAATTGTCACTTGATGACAACAACGAGGAACTCCGACGTTATTTGCAGACTACTTCCTTCTTGTCATTAATTCCAAAGGTTCTGTTATTTGCAAGGTGCTCCCTACTTTCGTTAAAAGCAGGGTCGCTCGGCTGGCGCAGCCGCAAATTCGGTTAACGAGGGCCTCAATAGGCCTTCATCGCGCTGTCCTGCGTCGCAGTCTATAAAGACCGTCTGTACTTTTTTACACGTTGTGGAACGTATACCGGTATTCATTGCTGAACATGGGGCAATCAAAGAATCTGGGGCAATCTGCTCGGCAAAGCTTCTGCATTGGGCCCCGTCTGACATCTGCCCCCGGTCCACCTGCCTGATTCCCAAAGCCAACCATTGCTGTGGATATGTTACTGCAATCTTCACTGCAGTTGCACGCCTTTGAGTGACATATTGTCTTATCAACATCTTTGTTCACCTGCCTAGACCATGGAGGTCGACATCTCTGCTTCTGGGCTGGCGCCCAAAGGCCAGGACCCAGACTACTACGCAGTGCTACTGGAACCTGCACACGGGATGGGCGAGCAAGATGAATTCTATGTCGCTACCAGGCGGCTGCTCTTGGCTGGGAAAGCGGCTGATGCAAAGCTCAAGCGGCAGGTAAGAGAGATCTTTGATTGTTCTTTTTTATCAAAATCCTGTCTCTTGTGATGAAGGCACTAGGCACTGCTGAGAGAAGATCGTATCCTTTTTATGAAGGAGTCCATAGTAAGGAAATTGCCAGCCTGGCTTCAGAATGGGAGCTGTGGTTCTTTGATACGTACTTTCCTTCACTACAATGCGGGGGACATGAGCTGTGTCGTTCGGTCACACACCATTTAAGGGTCACTATCCAGCGGTGCACAGGCGTTGATCAATTTCGACGAGACTTACCAGATCTAGCTCGCAAGTAGTCAAAGTCCACTGTGATGCAATGCCGATTTATCACCGACTACAAGACCAATGCTTGTTTGGAAACTGCATCAGATGAAATTGACCGAAGCCGGTTCTTGCACTTGCCCTTAAGTTGGGTCTCGTGCGATAATCTGTAAAGGAATCTGACTCCCGTGCAGATGTGGAAGTGCAATGGCGTGAGCTACGTTCAGTACCGGGACTTTCAGCGCTACAAAAAATATGGAAGGCAGCCAACCACCAGTGCGTGGTCCGACATTCCCATACGGTCTCACTCCCGACAAGGAAGGTGGGTTTCTAGTATCGTTATTCACCTAGTCACGATCTCGGCAATGACTGGTCTTGCTGTCTCATTCTACAGGCAAATTCGCGTTCTGTTGCAGCACATTCCTTTTGGAAACTACATGCTTGTGTTATTATTCTCCTACTTTGAATTGAATGCTTACTTGGACTTGTCTGGTTAAGCCATCTCCGCAACAGTTTGAACTAGACAATTCGGGGCTTTCATAGCCTTGAAAGCTACTTTGAACTCTTCACACCTATGATAGCGAAGCGACATCAGTCCTCTGTATCAAAAAGTGGCATGCAGACGTATTCCAAGGCAACCTTCTCTGAGCAGCTTGACTCACAGTAAGTAACCTGCCTCGGAACTTTTAAAACGGGGCATCAAGAAATCAGATGGCACTTACCAAACTCTGTCCGTCCGTCCATTTCTCTAGCGTACAATTAGGTACTCTCATAAATGCAGGGCTGAGTAAGTAAGCAAAGCAAAGATCTGTCCGAAATCGCTGCAAATCCTGTACAGTGTGCCAGTCGCTGGCGGCAGGCTTGAGGAGAAATCTTTAGAGTCAGCTTGTGACTTTCTGCTTTCCACTTTGCAGCCTTACCCCTTCATCACCTGGCCCGCCTCAGATGTCGCCGTCGGGAGAGGATTTGAGAAAAGTAAGTGCGTTTCGTTCCGTACAGAGTTTGAGCAAGTACTTCGTACAGAGCGGCAAGCGTTTCGTGTCCGCCATACACATCTCTTTGCGCTTTCCCCCTGCATCTGTCCAGCACCAGGTAAACAGATTACCGGACGTCACGTTCTGAATTTTTTGCCCTCTGAACTTTTTGCCCTCTTTGAACTCTCTAGAGAAAGTTTCGGAAGAGGACATATAAGCACCTGCAAATCTGTCCAGAAGATCCACAACCTTGAAGGTGTCAGAGAACTGTTCGTTTTGTTCGAACAGAATCGAGGAGGCAGCTTCTCTAGCCTGTCCCGTACAATCAGCCGGCGGGACAGCGTGAGCAGCACGACGAGCGAAGCGTCCCATACTAGTTCTCTCTCTGCGACTAAGGACGAGCCGGCCTACTCCTTCGTGGGCATGCAATGCATCTTCGACGACAGCAAACTGCCGGGTACGTTTTGCAGTTATCGTTTACTTGCATGAGAATGGACGCGTGCAATTATATGTAGGACGAAATTGAACGTCCGCTTTTCCTGAGGGTTCGCAGCAGTGTCCGAGAGGGCACTCTACTGTCAGGCGGCAGGAAAGATGTAGATCCATACCACAGTTTGCACTCCTTTGGTCCGCCTTCCCTTCTTGGTGACTAGCTGTACTGGATTGACTTTGCAGTAGCTCCTTGCGTGCCTGCTTCGTTGTCGAACTTGATTGTGAAGCGGCCAATGCCAAATAACAGATTCATTCGACGCGTCCGACTTCTGAACCTTAAGCTGTCGTCTTTCTTGCTGCGTAGTGAATGTAATCAAGTTTGGGAGACGAAGCAGCGATGTGCTTGCTTACGCCGGGGGGGACGGCGTGCTACGGGTTTGCTCTGTGGCGGACCCCCCCAGGGTGATTCTCAAGCTTGTTGGACACACCAAAGAGATCACGGGTGAGTTGTTCGCCGTTGCCCCTTGAACGTTCGGTCCTTGGTGTCATCTGGTCGTTTCTCCGGATGGAATGAAGCAGCTGCCCTTTTGTCTTTCCTTTCGTGCTAGGGTCGTTCCTCTCGAATAGGTTACTCCGCTCTGCTCTCCGCCCAAGAGCGTCTTGCGCAGCAACGAATCATCTGCGGATCACGACAACAGAGCTATCAGTCAACATTCTGGGGCTACAAGTAGCTTGCGGCCTTTCGTCTGTTTCAACTGTTTACGGGTCTTAAGGCCACTCTGTCCTGGTTTCGATAGATCAAGCTGTGGGAAAAGAAACGTCGCTTATGATGTTTCGATTTGCTTCATGTGCAGACTTTGATTGGTCCTCCAACAACGAGTACCTCCTCTCTTGCTCGCTCGACAAGACGGTCCGCGTTTGGAACGCCACCAGAGGGGACTGCATCCGGATCGTCTATGGCAGCTCCGCACAACTGTGCTGCTGCTTCAACCCCGTGAGCCGCTGCGCGCTTTTCGTGATGTGCTGCTTCATTTATTTATCCTCGTTCCGTTGCGAGTGTTTCCGTCATGGCCTCATCCCGCTCTCCGTTCGTGTATGCATTGATCATGGCACTCCGCACAGCTGTCCTGGTGCCTCGTTTCAGTATGTTTGCGAGCCATTTCGTTGGAGGTGTGAGTCTCAAATCCTCGGTTTGTTCCGTTTCCTTGCTGGCGCATTTGTGTTCGCATAGTGTAAGGCGGCGTCGGAGTCCGCTTAGTTTTGTGAGCCCGCAAGCCAAATGCCGCCGAGATATTGAAATTTTTCGTTCCTGGCTCTCTCCATTCCTCTTGATGGCTATAATGGCCTGGCTCGTCCTGATAGCGGTTTGCTCGGTTCCTAATTATACCGTTGTGATCCTTCCAGCCCCCGCGCCTTAATTTCTGTGCTCGTTCTGTTCCTGACTCGATTGTTCTCTGGCCTTGTATACCGGTCCAGTTTTTGGCCCGTTCCTGGGTCGTTATATTGTGTCATCTTTTCCATTCTCAGAGTCGTCCGTTACTTAGATTCAGTTCTTCCACTTTCTTCTTCCACTTCTTCCCAGCGCCAGCCTCGAATCTTTCAGGTGGGAAAGGCTGCTCGTTTGAAGTCAAAGCAGGCCTTTGTATATTTGAGGTTCTCCTTGGTGTTTTGAAGTGATCGAACGCTCTCAGGCTGCCTGCCGAACAGGCAAAAAATGGAGGGGTTTTCCGGCGGCATTCTCTTAGATGGAAGGATTTCGAGAGGTGTTAGCCCGTAGAAATGAGTTGGGTTCCGGTCACGTCTTGTCAGCTTTAAATCAGAACTTCTGCATTCCGCCTCGTAATCTGAGCTCGAATCGGAGATTGTTTGTAGCAGCTGTCCTCGGTGCTCACCTGTAAGTTTCTCTCTGCAGGTAAACAATAACCTGCTCTTCGTTGGGAATGCGTCCAGCGAAGTGTCGGTAAGTGGTCCCCTCGCTCCTCGTTCTTCTTACACCCGAGCTAGGCATCGTAGCTTCCCTCTGGAATTACCCCGAGCTGGCAGTTTTGCATAACGCTCGGTGTGCAAGAGCAAAGGAGGCAGAAGGGATTCTCGTTGCAATGCTTCCCCTTGCAGTGCACCTCCTTCGAAGTGGGCATTGACACTCAACGCGTGAAAGAGTAATGGCGCCAGCATCCTTCAAAATTATACTCTTCGACCAAGCATAAAGAACATGTGCACAGTGCAGTTTTGGGTTGCATGTCCTATGCGCACCCTCATTTTGTCAAGTCGGAATTGTTGGGAAGCTGTCTTTTAAAACCCATTTAAAAAATGTCCATCTGTACGTTCTGCGAGTCAACTACCCGTTACGTTGGCAACCAAATCTCACCTAGTTTTGTCCTAAATCCAGGTGATGCACTTACCGCACTCACAGAGTTGATTGCATGCAGATCACAATAGTGAATCGAGGCTCTTACAAGCCACGATAAAGCCACCATTGAGAGCCTCGCTGACTACAGTAACCCTCTAAGGCCACCTTTCTCCCGCTTGCGTCGACCCCGACAGAGTGCGTTTTCTACAATTTACCCAACTTTCACGGTGGCCTGCAAAGCCTTCCAGTCAATCAATGTTTCTTTTCCTCGTGTCCTAACCATCTCTACTCCGTTTCGAAACAGACTATCAATTTCAGCACGGGCCGCGTCAACCACAAACAGCCATCGACTGCCCAGCCACCGCAATAGACGTCCATGACATCGGGCGTATCCGACATACCTTCTTAACCTCCTCGATCCTTAATCCTAACCCTGTGTAAACCTGTTTCCAAACCAGATAATCAATTTCAGCACGGGCCGCGTCAACCACAAAGCCAGCATCGACTGCCCCGCTACCGCCATCGACATCGATAACACCGGCCGGATCCTCTTCGTTGGAGACAACCACGGGACCGTTCACAGTTTTGCCGTCGACGCGCATACAGGCGCGTTACGGCACGCGCACCGTAACGTGCTTCCGGGCGGCAAATGGTCCCCGTGTTCCGCAATCGTCTTCCGCAGCTTTTCCCTGCTCGCGAACGGGCCAGTGCTACTCGCGAGTATCAGGGACGGAACGTTGCGCTTCTTCAGGTGAGGAATGATGCCTGACCCCTAGGTGTTGACCGTATCAAGCTTCTCGACGCTTTTATTGTGCGATGTGCCAAACGGAGTCTTACACGTGCATCCTGTGGCGCGCATGGGTCGGTGCTGCTCGCAAGCACGACGGATAGGGCGTTGCCGTTTTCCGGGTGAAGTGTCACTGCTGCAGCAAGCTTCACAATGCTTTTCGATGCGTATTTCGCTTGACAAAGTCATTGACAGGGGCACAAACGCGCCAGTATTGCTTGCGAGCCCCAGACCCGGAACGCTTCGCTTTTCCGGTACTTAATGTCCGCAAGCATCGCCGAGTCTTCTTCAAAATGGTTAGATTGTCGAGTTGTTTCCAGTGTCTGTTCTTCTTCGGTGGCTTTGGATTGGGAAAGTGAACTTTCTTGCGAACAGACGGCAATATTTCTGGCAAGCACTGGAAATCGGTGGCTGCGCCCGTCAAATCAATAGCCGCTTGCAAGCGTCCACAACCAACACAGATGAGCTTCTCCAATGGTATTTCAACAGTGTTGTGTTGCCTTTGATTAACAGGGCGCCTCCCCCTGCTTGTAATTCAATGCAGAGGTGGACGCGTGCTTGACACTCAAGGATCCGTTCCAATACTCCCTTTTTGCAACCAGACATCGATGTTACTTTGAACATGCTATGTGTGTCAATTAACCGGGCGCCTCTTCTTGCTTGCAGCGTGGCTGCGGAGGTGGACGGGTACTTAACGCCCAAGGTGACGCTGCAGCTGCAGCCCCGCGCGCGAAACATCCGGGCGTCCTTCTGCCCGCTGCTCAGCCTGGAAAAAGGGGAGTTCATCGGTGAGGAGAGGAAATTGTTTTCTCCAATGGGCCTCAAACATCAGGGTTACTGCGGGTACGGCCTGACCGCAAGTCCGATTTGAGCCGATTTCCAAACTCTACTCGCAATGTGCACAACCAGGACCCTTTGTGAACTGGAAGCCACCGATTGAATGGCCCAAGTTTTGCGCACTCGGCGAGGTTGGGTCAGGTGTGCAGGTTGACCGTACCTGCAGCAACTGTGTGCTAGGAGAAGGAGGAAATCTTTACACAGAAAGTATGCAGCGAAAGAGATCCTTCGGGGGCGGAGCCACCGGCGATCTGCAAACAGAATAAAATTCTTTTGTGGTCAATTAGTTGAGGCTGCCCCGTAGTCTGAGTTGCGGCAACCTCGACATTACCATTGCTTGTATCGCAAACGGGCCCGACACTTTCTTTGCCATGCATTTTTGGGAAGTCGCGACAGGGGAAGGCCTTGGATAGGGTTGAGTTGGAAAGGAAGTGAAGCGGGATTGTGAGAAGAAAGAAGCAAGTAGGGATGGAGCAACGAAGCCCGCTGCTGTAGTGGACCCATGAGAATGCTCTTTACGGATGTGTTGGAAGCGGGACGTTACATTACAGCGGGTTCTGATTGACCGCCTACGAGCTTGAAGAAGGTCGAGTCGCTCGTGTGGACCACTGTAGGAGCAATTGACGAGCTTTGTTTCGAAAAGGGAGATTATTTGGAGAGAGGAAGGAGGCGCACCTTTCCATCTGACTGCCGATCGTAGAAAATTGGTTCGTCCTCTTCAGGCGCCGCTCACTTCCAAAAATGTGTTTTATGCAGTTACCGGGAATGAGGACACCACCGTATACTTCTACGACTTCATCAGGCCAGGCCGGGCCTGCGTTAATAAACTAATGGTGAGTGCATTTGCTCGCTTCGATGTTGATCCTTATGGCTTTCAAGCTCGAAGGTGGTTGACATTTCACGACTCCGTTTTGGCCGCTGGTACTAGCTCTTCGCTGCGTGGATGCCAGCGTTTGCAGGCTTTTTGAATGGCAAACTGCACTTGCATTTTCTTCGGTGCTGCCCTTCTTCCATTCGTCTTTCTTCGTGCGGAAACCAAGTTTATGTTGTCTTGCAGGGTCATACCGCTCCCGTCACGGACGTCTCGTGGAACCACGGCGAAAACTTTCTAGCTTCGTGCGACTGCGACGGGGTAGTAATAGTATGGAAGCGGACAAAACAAGCAACCGGGAAAGACGTTCCCACGGCTCGGATGCATGCCTCTTGAGTGTGCCCATAAGCCGTTTGGTGAAGAACGTCGACCAATTTGCTCTGGCTCGAGCGTGAATCAGGGCGTTCATCAGAATGAGTGGGAAAGATACCATCATGCTGATCGGATTGGCTAAATCGACGGCTTTTTTCTTCTGAGCTTTCAAGCACGCAAATATCTAGAGTTTGACGTTGGATCAGAACAAGTCACGGTTCTATAGATCCACGATTGAGCTAAGGTCATGTTCCGGTCACTTGCATACGTACATGGCGAAGAGCAGGCTTATCCAAGCATGAGATTTACAGGCTGAAGGTACGTTGAGCGTACTGTACGGAAATGTACCTTTTATGAACGTAATCGAAACAGACAGACATGCAAGTGAACTATTCAATGTGTAGTGACGGTGTTGGCCCGCAGATTATCTATGATGTTATGAAATACGGCCCAACCAATATAACCGTAATGGCTGGCATTGATCGAACGTACGGTCTAGCATGCGCAATCCTCCAAAAATCATCCAACAGGCTTGTAAGCGATGTTCAATATTGAACTATTACACCCTCCCGCCCACTGCATGAGGCCGAGTGACCAATTAATTAAGGACCGTCTTCAGGCTTCGATCAGTATGTCAGTGCGTATTCCGACGTCATTGAGTGGCCGAATTGTAGTGGTGTCACGCTGTATGACATCGGCATAGCAGAGCATCGGTTGCATAGCGTATTGCATGATTTGCTTGTTATCGCATAGCTTATGAGACGTTGCATAGCTTACGAGCTAGATTGCAGAGACGCGGTTACCTTAGCAGGTTATCGCAGACTCTAGTTCACGTTTGCAGTCGTTAGGACTTGAGCCACAGCTCAGTCTGCTTGTATTCGATTCGATAGGCTAGTCTTACGGTTAGCCTCAGACCACGCCATACATTAGGCAGAGACACCTCGCTAGGAGACCATTCTTTTCGCGAGTAGACTCGCTTGGAGGAGCTTTCAAGGCGCACCCTTACATGGTGGCCTACCACGTTAGCATCCCTTAGTCTACTTAGCATTGCCTCTCTTCTTGTGTCTTCTCAGCACAGCCTTGTCGTGAGTTCCAACCTTGGGTACCATGGATTACTACGTTTTCTGCATGACTACGACTACACAAGCATGTCCGGATTGATTGCGCGGATTAGCCGCGGTAGTTTTTCATTTCGAGCACATTAGATTGCGCATGGTCATAGGACCCGAGACGTTACTGACACGACATGTAGCATCACGACAGTGGATAGGCTACCTAAGCCATTAGGAGACGTTGACAAACTAGCTATATGTACTAATGTAGCAAACCAAGATTTGGGAGGGTAGTTTTAGTAGGCGTTCAGAACTCAGAACATTTATTCCCGTGTATGCCATGGAAGTCTATGGCCCATGTGGATACGCCGGGCGTTTGAAAACAGAACATCATATATATGCCCGGCCGCATATGCACGAGTCATTGAGCCTAGTCAACATGTACGTACATGCACGTATATAAATTAGTAGTGCATGAACGCGGCGCGGCCATAAATGGTCGGACGGTCTCGCTTGTCACCGCGTGACTCCAAACGGCCGGATCGGATTGGTAAGTTAATGATTGCGCGGCATGCGTGCAATATCATTACTTGAAACGCATATGCATGCGCGATTGATTTGAGTCGAGAGTCATGCCATGCATGATGGCAGGACGTACATGTGTTTCTTATGCAATGACAGCACGCCATGTTGATCTTTCATGCGACAGTATTCTTATGGGGTCCGCGCAGCGGGCCGTCACGTACTGGATGAAAACAATCATTCAGTCCGACTCAGCAGCCATTTGAAATGAACAAGGCCGGGCTTTCGCTGCCGGGATTCCAATCAAATTGATCGCTCAGTCACCGAATATCAATTATGATAGCGAAGGGCCGATCATCATTACCCCGTCTGGCCAGAGCTTCCGCGATTAGGCGGCCAGCATTCCACACTTGATCGAGTTCTCGCCGCCGGCCGCCGCCTGTTGGCTGACGAACCAGATCGACCAAGATCAATATTCTACGACTGCTGTGTCCGCAATCAAGTCGTAACTTTCATAACAGTACACAAGTGACATTTGACCTGACCTGGTCACGCCCTACCTACGCGCTTTCTTGTGCGACTTTTTCTTTTCCGGCTCAGCAATGCTCTCAAGCGCTCGTTTGACTCCCTTGCCCTTCTTGGGTTCCTCTATTTCTGAAATCTCGCCCACAGGACTTGCTTTCGCCGCTTGCGAAACCTTTACTCCCCCACCCGTCTTCTTCGCCGGCTCTGACTTTGGAGCAGGCTGTTGTTTCTTATGCGACTTGGAGGGAGGCTTCGGTTCGGTCTTTGGCGAAGCTTTTGGTTTCGCTTTCTGCCTGCCCCCCGCCTTCCCGTCCCCTTTCGGCGTGCTCCCCTTCTCTTCCGCAAACGCAGTCTCCTCTCCTTTTGGCGCACTTTTCCCTTTACCCCCCGCTCCACCTTTTGGCGTCGCTGCATCCGACCCACCCTTTACCCCCCCCTTTCTCTTCCCTTTGCTACTCTTCGATTCCGCCTCCACCTCTCCCCCTTCTCCTATTTCCTCTACCTCCTCTTCATCGTCTCCCTCCTCCTTTCCCTCTTCAGGGGGGGGTCCAGTCGGAGTCCCCAGCCTAGACCTACCCTTGGACTGTGGCCGGGAAGCCTGCCCGGTTCCCCCCCCCAGCGCATTGGCAGCCTCGCTCTTCCCCAGTGGACTTCTCCGAGGGGTTGCCTGGAAAGGCTCGAACTTGGGCGGCGGCCGCCGGGAGCTGCGCGCGCCGTCGCGGATCATCTCCTCCGTCTTCCATACCTGCAGCGGAAATGCTTACAGCTGTCAAACGCCAAAAACTGTGCCAGCTGTGCTGTCAGATGTAGAGTCCCCCTGCTCTTAACGTTCGGCTCGTCGAATCGACGAACTTGTTGGCAAGCTCCTCGAAAGTCTTTAGGGCAGTTTCTAATAATCAGCGCAGAAGAGCCCACAGAAGCTCGAGCATCCACCAGAAAGCACATGCTCTACATAGAGTGTAGTCCCGTATGCGCACAGCGTGCAAGAGGAAATTTAGCAGAACACTGCTTTTCAATGCTTGTTCCCTTTTCGGTCTTTTCTTTGGCCTCCTCTCTCCTTTTATCTTTCTGCCTTCAACTGTATTCAATCCGCTGCACCACTCAAATTCTGGCGTTACTTTGATGCGTTTATCACGTACAAAGCCATACGAGACCTAGAAAGTTGCAAAGAGCCAGCTTCAACCACTTCTTCGGAACTTCATTGCAGAGAGAGCAGACAACGGCTTGAATCAGTCACTTGCGAACTCACGCATGTGGCAATTGCTTCTCACTTTCATACTTCAGCATTGCATCGGATAAGCAAGGACTCATTCTCACCAGTTGTGCGACCACAACACGTCTTCCAAACTTGCAGCCACTCTCTTCTTCTGAAGACAGCTACTCATGTATCTCCAAGCGGGTCAGCGAAGCAAAAACGTCCGCAAGCCTTCACACCACGCCCAGCTTGCCATGCGCAAAGTCGCGCAACACTTATCTCAGCTGAGCGAAAGACGATCAACGTTCCAGCAACTTGAAACGACGCACAAACGCGAAGTACTCCGCAAGCCGTCTCACCAGGCCCATCTCGCCATGGGCAAAGGCGCGCAGCGCGGTCGCGGCCACGTGCTCGCCGGAATCCGGCGGAAAAGCGGCGGTCACGTTGTCACACATGGCCTGCACGTCTGTGTAGAAGGCGGCGCTTCCCTCCGCGTCGTAAACGCCGTCGTCCACGTTGTGCCGGATCGTGTTGAGGTCGAGTTTCCGCTCGATCTGGTCGCCGCCTGGGAAGCTCTGAAGGGGACAAAAGAGCTGGGGTTCAGCCGTTTCGAAGCAGTATTTGACACTTTGGAAAGAAATGTCTGCCAGCGAGCGCCATGTCTCTTGGCTCGATTCGAATCACGATTGGAATACACGGATGTTTACTGGTTCTGCTGGATCATGTTGCAACCAAGTCTCTGCTCGATGTGGTCGCCGCCTGAGAAGCTCTTGAGGGCGACAACGAGCTAGCTTTCAGCCATTTTCTTGAAGTGATTCAAGCACGATTTGACAGGAACTTTGCAACTTTTGAAGGAAATGATGCAGACGGCCTGAGAACTGTCGAGGGAGCGCTGTGCGTCTTGTGCACACTGTGAGGAATTGTGCTGAATTCATAGTCCACCGATGTGGGTCGCGGCCTGGGCAGCTCCAAGGGAGTAGAAGAGCTGGGTTAAGCAACATGCGGAAAACACGCGTTTTTCTTCAAAGAAGGGCTTTACGTCGGCTCGGCATGCTGGATTATGCGGATAACAACATCATCTTCGATCTGGCTGACGGGGAGCATGTAGCCAACAGACGCTGACACAAATTGCTGTAAATCAAGAGGCCACCAGCCACAGGCGCCGTCGCCACCGTCATCGTCAACAGGTTATGGAGAATTTCGCTCAATCATGCAGTGGAGAGATTCTTTCTCGAGAGATTGTAATTGTTCCAGTAGAGCCACAACAAACGAATCTGTAATTTGGGAGATACATTCTTACAGTCACGACCCATTCATATTCAAGCCTTACCTCGTAATCAATGTCTCTGAAGAGGTGCCCCGCCCGGTGCGCCGATAGACTCAGCACGACCTCCTTGCACAGCGCCATCACCCCCCCGGGCTGCGTCCGAGACCCCCCCTTTCGTGCCGACTTTGCGCTCCCCCCCCCTGCCGGCGACACTTCTCTGCTCCCCTCCCCTTCTCCCGTTTCAATCTTCAGCTTCTTCTCCCAACCCTTCTCCAGGGGGGGCGTAGCCCCCTGCTCTGGAGCCCCCTTCAGCGCTGCCCCCGGTTCAGGGGGCTGCATTGGCCCCTGATTGGACACCCCCTCGAAAACGACATCGCCCTCGTCGTCAGGGGAATCGTACTCTACCGGCGGCGAGGGGGGGTCGTCCGAGTCGACAGCGTCGGCCGCTTCGCTTCCCAGGGGTGTGCTGACGTCAGCATCCCGCGGCGAGGGGGTCCCCGCGGTGCTATCTGGCGTCCCCCCCCTTTCGTTTATCGCCGCCCGGCGCTGCGCTTTGCTCAGCAGTTTCGCCGCCAGGGCCGCCCTCGCGGGCCCCGTGTTGCTCGCCCCTCCCTTCTTTTTGCTGGCGCTTTTGCCCCCCGATTCAGAAACCTCCTCTACTTTCTCCCCGTCCTCGTTTTCCTCCCCGCCACCTTGCCGTTCCGCCTCCAAAGCCGCTTTCCGTTCCGCCGCCCTTTGCGCTTTCACCGCTCGCGCGAGCGCCGTCCCCTTCAAAACCTTTCCCTTCGCTCCAGCTATCGCCTTCGATTCGCTCTCGGTAGGCCCTTCGGAGGTCGACCGAATATCAATCACCCCCCCCATTTCCAGACCCCCTTCTGGCGCCCCTCCGCCGACCGTCTCCTCACCCCCTGGCTCGAGGCTGACGTCAGCAACGGAAGCGATCCCCTCATCCCCTGCGTCAATGCTGACGTCAGCGACGGGCGCGTTCAGATCGAACGGCGCCGTCGCTTCCTTCCTCCCAACCCCAACCCCCGGCTCCGCAATTTCTGTTCTCACCCTCTTGGCATTCTCAACCTCCGCTTCCCCCACTAACTTCCGTTTGCTTCCCGAGCTTTCCGCCGTCGTCAAAGCCCCCTCCCTTTTTACTTCGTCCTCCCCTACAATGTCGTCTTCCTTCGGCGTCCCCACTAAAGCGCTCACATCAAGAGCGCCTTCCAGAACCCCCGTCGCTTTCTCCCCAACTCTCGTCCCCCGCGCCCTACTCTGCCCAGCACTATCCTCTGGAACTCCTGCCCTCTCCTCCGATTTTCCGACTGCATTTGCCTCAGAAGTTCCTCTTCTTTGCGCATCTTCTACCCCTTCCACTTCCGCTCTACCTCTTCCCATTTCTTCTTCGGCTATCTCCTCCGATTCTCGCAACCCTACAACCGGACTCGTCCCCTCTCCCTCTCCGTCTCCCCCCGTGACAAACCCGTCAGCCACCACTCTCTGTACCACCGACTGATCAACCACAGCAGAGGGGGCGCTTTCCGCACTGTACATCACCCCCCGTTCCGACTCCGCACCCCCATCTCCCCCCCCTTCGCTCGCAGCCGCAACTTCCCCCCCAGTACGCAATTCCCCACCAAGCGCGCCCCCCTCTTTCAGCAGCGCCGCCTCCTGCGGTTCCTGGTTCAGATCGAGCACTGGCTTCCCCAACCCCATGACGTCACCCGTGACGTCATCGAACGGCCCTGTGACATCATCCACGGCGTCGGCGTTCAGGTCGAGCCCCCGCCGCGGAAGCGGCGGAGCGTCGAACAGCCGCTTGGGAAAGGCGGCTCCCGAGTTCAACTCCAACTCCGAAAGAGCGTCTGGTTTCTGGGTTTCCAAAGACGCACCCGCGTCATGGCTGCCCACATTCCCCGGGCTTTCTTCCATCACCAGTCGCAGCGTGGGGGTCGCCGGTGCCCCTTGATCTACCCCCCCAGAAGGCTGAGGCGGGGCCTCTGCCGTTACAATTTTCCCCACCTCCTGCGGCCCCCTAATTTGGCCCAGCTCAACTTCTTGAGAGGCGCTTGCGGGGCCTGCGCTAGAATCTCTCCGCTTCGTTTCCAACCCCTCCGCTTCCAACTCCGTCATTCCAGTTGTACTCTGCTCTGGTAATCTCGTCTCAGAAACCAACTCCGAAGGCGGGTTTTCCTCTTGCGTTGGCAGCTCTAACCCACTCAGCCCTCCCGAAACCTCAACACCGGTACTAAGGCCTTCGTCAACATTCTTCTGGAACCCCCCCTTTTCCGGAACCTGTTCCTGCCCAGTATCCCGTCGTACCGCCTCGGACGGATCTTCAAAATCGTCCCCACTCAAACCGCCTCTGTCTTCCGCCACGTCAGCAGACAAACCCGCATCATTTCCATCTCTGACGTCAGCATCTTCGAGCGACGCACTGCTTCCTTCCGGCCCGGCAACCAAGCCTCCAGCTTCTCGGCCCCCCTCTGTTCCCCCAACCTGCTTGATAGTACCGCCGATCTCCGACTTCGTAGCCTCCGCCCCTTCTTCGCCAATCGCATCAAACAACAAATCAGCCGTGTCTTGTGCGGAGTCTTCCGCCGGTCTTGCCACAACTTCTCCGTCTCCCGTCTCCCGAGCTTCTTCTTGAACCAACTCGGTATCGTCCCCTAATCCTCCCCCCCCAGAGTTGGCATCCCTTTCCTCCAACCCAAGTCCCTCCCTGCCTTCCAGTTGCACAGTACCCGTCTCGACTTTATGCTCAACTGGAGTTAGCTCCTTTTCCTCAACAGCTTCGGACAACACCGGACGCTCTTCGGACGCCGCTACGAATCCTCTTTTGGACACAACCGGACGCTCTGCAGATGCCGCTGGCCGTTCTCCTCCGGACAACAACGGGCGCTCTTCAGACTCCGTTGGACGTTCTCCTTCGAACGCAACCGGACGCTCTTCGAACGCCGCTGGACGTGCTTCTTCGGACAACACCGGGCGCTCTTCAGACGCCACTGGAAATTCTTCGGCCACAACCGGACGCTCCTCAGAAGTGACCGGACGCTCTTTAAAAGCATTCGGACGCTCCTCGGAAGCACCCGGACGATCTTCCAGCCCAGCGAGTGGCTCCTCAGGCACTGCCACGTTGTTCACTATCGGCCGCTCGTCGGACGCTCTCGGACGCTCCTCCCGAGCACCGGACGTCGTCGGGCGCTCTTCGTCCAAAGACTCAGCAGCCGGCTCAGCGACTTGACCGGCCCCTTCCGCCCCTTCTCTTATTGCATCCGCATCATGCGTGTCTGCTTTAAGTTCCTCAAGAATCGAAGCCGACATTGGAATATCGACGTTTTCAGACCCCTCTGCTCTTCCCCGGTCCGTTTCCCCCTTTCCCGCGTCCCTGATGTCGGACCCTCCGGCCTTTTGCCGCTCTTGCACGCCCTCTTCTGTGTTTGATTGACTAGCGGACTTGTCTCCCAACAGCACGTCGAGTTCCGATTCCGCTTCCGGTTCTGGTTCCGCTTTCGGTTCCGGTTCCGGTTCCCGTTCCTCCATTTTTGACCGGAGCCACTGCTCCAAACGCGCTTCGATGTCAGGGGACTCGGCCCGCGCCGGCTCCTCTGCGGCCTCCCACGTTCCTTCTGCGCCCTCCGAATCCTCTCGTTCTAGTTCCAGTTCCAAGTCAAACGCTTCTGCAGGGGGCTGTTCATGCGCGGCTGCCACCGGTTTGCCCCCCGGTCCGTTACCGTTTTCATTTCCGTCCTCAACAGCGCTCCCCCCTGCTTCTCGTCCTTTTTCCGTAACCGAAGGATTGCCTGCCACTTCCGGCGCCTCTTTTGCCGTTTCTTCGGTCACTCGTGCTATTTCACCCGTCCGTTCAGCCCCCTCTACAGCTACTTTCGAGACCTCCGCTGTACCGTCAGTTTGTTCCGCCGGAAGCTCCGCTCGTTCCAACGGAGAGCGCGGCCCTTGCCGCGGTTGTGCTTCTTCATTGACAGAAGACGGCTTCTCAACTAACCCTTCCAACACGCCGTCTCTCCTCCTCTCGACGGAAAGTTCGTCCGGCTTCTCTCCCAACTCCTCCGTCTCGGCTTTCTCGGGCTTCGAATCGCTCTCCCCTCCCTTGACTTCTTCGGTGCGTCCTTCCGTTCCGTGCTCTTCCGATCGGACTGCAAAAGCGTCCGGCTCTTGCCCCCGCGAATCTTCGAAGTTCGCAACGGGAACCTCCCCCTCTTTCTCTGCTTTCTCCGGAACCCCAGACACCGCACCGTCGTTTTTTCCACCTTCAACACCCAAAGCCACTCCCGGCTCCCCCTCCTCGTTCTCTACCTTCCCAACCCTTTCGCCTTCCTCAGTCGCCAACACGTCCTTTTCCTCCCCACCCTCGTTCCCAGCTTTGCCTGTTTCCTCCCCGCCCTCGTTCTCGCCCACTTTCTCCACGTCCAATTTGTTCCCCCTCTCGTTCTCAACCCGCACAGCTTCATCGCCAGTCCCCTTTTCCCCTTGTCCTTCTTCCCGCAAAGCCTCCACCGCGTGCGCCTCGAGCAGCGACGTCGGCGTGACCGTCGGGCTGACGACAGCAGCAACGCCGCCCTTCTCTCCCGCCCCCACTCCTCGCACCGCCGTCACCGCCACGTCATCGATGACGTCAGCGGCGCCCGCTTCGGCTGTGGAATGCTCCTCGACGTCGAGGTTCAAGCCCGGCGGCGATCTCCCCCCCGGAACGTTATCGGACGCTTCGGACCCTTCTCTGCTGTGTTCGGACGTTGCCGTTACAGTCCCGTCGTCCGCAAACAGAGGGGCGGCGCCGCTCGCTAGCCAGCTGGCCATCTCCTGACTCAGCGTTGGCGCTAAAAGTCGCCCAGCCAGAGGGATCCCCGCGCCCCATTGCGCGGACTGGTCGCTTCCGTTTTGGGGGGTACTCGGAAGGGGCGGCCTCGTTACCCCCCAACTAGAGGTGTCAGTTTCGAAACCGTTCGCCTCGGCTGCGGGACAAACCGTTGCCGCCCCCTCGGAAGCGTTGCCGTCTGTGTGTAATGGAAGGCTTTGGGCTGTTGCCTCCGGAAGTGGCTGCTGCGGGGGTAGCGAGTTTGCAGAAAAGTGATGGGGGATGACGTCAGCTTTGGGTCGCTGGGACCGGAGGGTCAGGCGCGCGCTCTCGAGGGACTGGATCTTGACCTTGAGCAAGCTGCACAAAAAGGAGGGCGTCAGATCGTCACAATATGCTTGTGTCCCTCTTCGACAGAACTCTCTGCGTTTGTTTTCTTGCTCGATAATCGAGAGCTACAGATTCTGGACAGGTGTCCGCAGACAAGACTGGTGATGTTTCAAGAACTCTGGGTCGGGCAACATCAGAAACTTAGAAACTGAATGTCCAGAAGGCACGCAGCTTGAAAGCACGTTCGTTCGAGTGTCTTAATTTCAAGAAGTCCTCAACCTGTCTTTCAGACTTCCAAAATAGTCAAAGCCAAAAGGCTCCCAGCCCAACAAAATATCTCTTCAGAACACTGCCAACCCAAAAAGCAAGGTTTGGATCCGTCCCGCTGATTTAGCACTCAATGTGTTAGAACTCAGAGCCCCTCACCTGATGGAGTCTTCTCTCACGGCCAGCCCATTTCGCAACTCAGCCAACCGCTGCGCCCTCAGATATGACGAGATGCTCCCCGCTATGCCGTCGGGCCCTGCCGCGAGAGCGCCGCACCGAGCGTGGAGCAGCCCGAAGTGGGCTTCGCAAAGCTGTAAGAAAATCGCAGTCTAGTTATCGATTGAACTGCGGACTTTACTAATCTTAGACCGCAAATATGTGAATGATAGTGCATCAGAGGATGGGGAGATGCCCGCTGTGCCATCGGGCCCCACCGCTAGAGCCCCGCGTCGAGCGTGAAGCATCCCGAACTGGGCTTCGCAAAGCTGTGAAAAGAACGCGCTCCGGTTGTGAGCACTTGAATACTTTTTGGGCTACGTTCTGTCAACAACTAGCCTTCGGAGAACGGGGTCAACGAAGAGGTTGTCGCGAGGAGAAAAAAGAAAGTCCCCGCTATATCTCCCTGTCCGTCCGCAACAGTACCGAACAAAAAGTCAGCAACCCAAACTGGGATTCGCATAGCTGAAGAATAGAGTTTGAGGCTTCAGACCCCGTCACTTTGAAATCTTGTTTGTCCACACCCACCGCAAAGGAATCAATTACTGGTAGGCTTTAAACCCGCACGGTTTCTTAGTACCTTGCTTCCGTCATGCCGGCTCACCTCCGGAAAAAAGCGGCCCCCGACGTTCCCTGGCAGCACCCTCTTCTCCAGCATCTCCGCCACTAGTCTCAAGAAAAACGCGCGGTTCGTGAGAAAACCCCAAGCCCAGAAAATGTTTCAGAATTAGCCTCACCTCAGGGGAGAACCGGCCTCCAAACCCGTGCAGCGGCGCCCTCCCCTCCAGCGTCTGCGCAACCAACTTCCAGTCGTCGGTGCCATAGCGCATGACAGCGTGCGCCAGCAGAAGCTCCTCTTGCAGCGTCCAGGCAGGGGGTCCGTTTACAACTGGCGGCTCCATCAGTAACTCGCGGAGGCCCTTAGCCATGCCCCCCCCAGGCAACATCCATGAGACGCCCGTGCGCTCTACCCAAATTTTTCCAACGAAGTTCGTCTGACTCCAAGGATTCGATCCGACTCGACACGAAGCCTATAAAGATTCTCCAAGAGACCTCGACGAAATCGACCTAAAGGAGGCAAACTCGACCTAGAAGAGGGGCTTCTGCCAAAGGCTTGAATGGTCGGCAATCTGCCGCTTAGGCGTTCTTGAGGGAGGAACGTCAAGTGCTCTCTTGGGAAGGTTAAAATACGCTCTACCCTTATTCAGAGGCGCGTCTACAGCGAACCTGCAGACACGGAAGTTCGGTAAGCTTTCAAAGAAGGTACTTACATGAATCAGTGGCAGCGCAAGTTCAGAGTATGGACCGTTGCCGTAGAAGGAGGAAGACATAAAGAGGAGTAGACAGCATCAGCTTTGCCCGACAGTCTACATGCTTCTAAATAAATCCAGAAAGGCTGCCTGGAATGGTGTTCTTTTGACAGATTACAACACTCTGTGGCTTTCGTGATCAACCAATATGTGGACCAGGGAACGTCTGCAAGCTGCCCAGATGGGGAAAATGTGGCATATGGATATTAGAATATCACCATTGGGTAGAAGGAGTCAAAGGGCTTCACACGCAGAAGGGGAGGCTAACGAGATATGTAGAGAGATAGTGGGGAGATGTTGTGGGTCTCTTTCAACATAAGAACGGCAAATCGCCGATTGCCAGACCAGTCAAAGTGCCTAGGAAAGTAATGGGAAGCGAGATTGCCGTAGCCTATTTTGGAGGTAATAGAATACAGGCCCCACTTAAGGCGCCTTTTCGAAAGTGATAGAAAAAACCTCCCAATGAGAAAATGAAAGCTCATAAGGTGCTAAACCAAAAGTGTTTCAGCCATCATGCGGGCTATTCGGCTGCGTAGTAACTGTGCGTGCATATAGCCAAGGAATAGGAACCGAAGGTGTTGTTTGTAAGTTACTTGCGAGAAGACATTGCATAAGTTGCCGTGCATCAACATTTTTCTTTAGCCCAACAGGTCGGCGCTTCTCATACCTAGCAGCTGAAGAAACATTGCTGAACGAACACTGGTGGTGGCTGGAAATGAGAAAGCAACGTGTGAAGACGTAAAGCTTTTGACAAAATGGCCTTTTGATGTGACAGCGCTTCGCGGCGTGAGTAGGGACGTACATCTTTGCCCCCTGGCATTGAAAGCATAAAAACACAGGAGACTTCAATGACAGGACCAGAGAACGCTTTCATGAGTCAATGGAAGCTTTGAAAAGCTGAAGCTTCACAACAACAATTCTAGCTAAGAAGGCAGGGTAAATTTCAGATAGTGCCCTGGCTTGAGCAATTGCTTTGTGCAAACGAGTTGAGACATTCTAGCGGTGTTATTCCTGACTTGTCACGATTCGTAGAGCAAAGCCGTGGGCGGTCGCCCAAGTAGTGAAGAAAAAAAAACTTTTTTCTTCAGCCAAGAGCAACGCTATGGGAAGGAGAAGTATACTAGAAAGTGAAACTGGGGCGCACCCTGGCAGATCAGTTGACCACTATGTCGCACTCAAACTCAGAGAATAACGTGAACTTTGCAAGAAAAATGCGGATACCCTAAATTTTCGGATCAACATGCTCAAGATGCTTGAAGGCTTTATCGAAGGGAGAGGTGCGGGCTGTCCCTTTTGCCTTTTTGATACTTGGAATCTCTCTAACTTCTAACTTCAAGTGTCCGTCCTTGTTGGCGGGATCTTTGTCCCTCGTCTGGCGCTATAGATTGGTGTTTGAATGCCTACAAGCTTAAAGCGCACCCCCCAGACCCCCATTGCAGTATCGCACTTTTGCCTGCAAAAAGCTTACCCTCCGTGTGTGCTTGAAACAATGACGAAAATGGGCGACAACAGGACAGCCTCAACCCGGGAACAGAATATTGCTAATGAGCATCTCACCTTCAACTGGAGATTTCAGACCAACTCAATAACCCCAGGCTTTCTCCGAAGCTTAGTCAAGAGAACTCTGTTGTATCATCCTGCTTCTACTTCTTTCTTCTTCTTTTTGCCCCGTCCCCAGCTGTTCTTTCGTCCTAGATCCTTGGTGGCTCTTCTTTCTGGCTAAACTTTCACAGCTATCTGAGCTACATACAATGCAATGTGTTGGATGCCTGAAGACGGCCATAAGCCATTTGGCATAGGAAAATTTCTGAAGGAAATTTCAGTGACTCAGTGAGTGAAGAACCTTCAATTGAACCGGGAACCCCCCTGATTCAGGGGCAACAAGTTTCCCACACCTAGTTTCTACTGGGTGTCAAACCTATTTTAGCCGTCGATGTAGCTTGCAGACTCACAAGGAAAGATTCCGACCGTCCATGCAAGCTCCACCCGGAATATTCACACATCTTTTTTTTCTCTTAAACCTCTCGCGAACCCCTCCCCTGGCTCGGGGCGGCCGCGGGGGCCGCCACCGGCGCTTTTCAACGCAAATCGCGCGCCCGCTCAGAAGCTAGCTCAGCAAAAGAGCGCAGCAGAATGCAGCACTACTTGGCTGCTAACTTAAGGAACAACAGCGCAAACCTCTCACCATTTTGACCCGTGAGCTTTGCTATACTGCGCTCGTGTGTTTCTTTATCCTGCTCTTTAGTGGCACTTTCTACAGCCAGCGCACGATATCGCTGAGGAGCCAAACCTCAACAACCAGGGCGCTTCATAAATATGGTGCCTTTGCATATGGCGGTTCCTGGTCAAAGACGTTGCATCTGATCAAAGGCTAGGTGAGCACCTCAGACTCTGGCAAGTGAATGTCAGTCCCACAACTTGCCTCTATCCTTCGCTTTGGTCGGGGAAACAGCTTTCCTAATGGCCTAGTCGCTGGCAGTTGGAGCATGCGTTCCGCGCTTGTGAGGAAGGCGTGAGTCCCTAGCTTCTACCCAGGGTTAGCTGTAGCCCTTAATGTTAATTTAGTGTTGGTCTGATATTGACTAGTCATATCCCTTTGAGCGAAGGCGGGTTCGCTAGCAGAAAGCCAGCTTGAAGTCACTTAGAAACGGGTTTCTGCTTGTACTTTGGCTTTAGGGACGTAGTTTGGTGTTGGGTTGCGTCACAATTGACAATCTATGGCATATGATGACGTCAAAGTTTTCAGACCCCTGAGTTTCGGCCTGCTCCTGAGCTTTCTCTCCTCGTGCTTAGTTCCAGTGGCTTGTTTGACGTTTTCTTCTGGCAGCCTTTCTTTAGACGCCATGGCTGCAGGCAGAAAGACGCATCTGGTACTCTCTTAATCTTTCCTTGCCAGATATTCAATGACAGTTTTGTTCAAAGAATCACTCTCAGAGCTGTGTTCCTCGCTTTTGTGGATGAAAGTTTGAATTAGTTTTTGATCAAAGAACTTTTGATCAAGTCGAAGCCTGTTGTTGAACCTGGTGCCACCTTCTTTTTTTTCCATTATTTGTTTGCGTGTCGTTTGTTCAAGCAACAGACTGCCGGCCCGAGATTTTGTTACTCAACGTGAGGGACCTTCCTTAGAAGCCTCGGATTTCCTATCTTTGCTAACATTCGGTCGTTCTCAGAAAGTTTGCCTTCTTTTCTTTCAAGCAATGCAAAAGTCGTTTAATCTGTGGATAAGAGCGAGGCAATGTGATCTGCTCACCCGGGAAAGAGTCTGAGGTGCTCTCTTCTTTCTTCCTCCCCAGGTCAACTTTGGTTTCCCCCCTATTACCGGACCTGGCTAACGGGTGCTGAACAGCACGCAACCAGTCCCATCTGATGGAAGGGCCACTAAACCACTATAACGAGGCTTGATTAACTGTGGTTTCCTCCTTTCGGTGTTCAAGCAACTCCGCTGAAGCTTTAACCGTGTTTGAGGCAACCGAGGACCTAACAGGCATTAATACATTGACAAGATTGACAATCAAACCGCTGAGCACTCACTTTTAAAGGACACTGTTTCTGCTTCTCTTGCGTCGGCGAAGTTTCGATGTCAGCCTCCCTGGCGGTGCGCTTGTGGACCACGAAAGCCGCCGATGACGGCTGGAGAGTTACTCAGGACAAACAAACTTTTGACCCAATCTGCGCTTCACGAAGCAAGGACAAGGATCCTGATTCATACTGGATCTTTTTGAATCTCTCGACGCCTTTCAGAAAGTGACAGAATGAGGACGATTCGGAGCGCTTTACATTCTACGAGCTCTTGATTGACTCAAAGATGAAGCCAACTTACGTGAGCAGTGACCAAGATGACAAGCCCAACGCTGGCTCTTTGATTCAAGGGAGTCGTTGTCTGACACCGAACCGGGCCCTTGATTTCCCTTAAATCAAACTTCGGCGCCGAGAATCGAGCTGATCAGTTCTTCAACGGAGAAAAACTTCGAGAAGAACACTACTTCGAGAAGCTTCCAAATGCGGGTAAACTCTCGCAACTCTTCCGCCGTGCATTCCGCCCCTGTCCCGTTGTCCCCCAGGCAGTATGTACATTGAATTCGGAGTTTCTGTTTGAAGCTCCGGCGTTCGTTCACCTGAGGTTATCAGGTTGTTGGGAAGCGAGTCGCCCAGGATACCGCGCTTTTAGTTCTACCTGTAACGCACACCCATGTTGAAGAGCCGCGTCCATGGCTTCACCGCTGCGGCCTTTTTTTTTAAAGAAGTATATATATATAAAAAAGGCTAGACCGTTGATAGACCAACCCACGTTTCGAGGTGGCAGGCTGCTTGATTGCACGGTGCCTCTGCAATTCCTGTATTTGCATACTCTTAGTCGTTGTCAACTCGATTGCTAGCGTCTGGGCTTTGATTCAGCCTTTTTGGTCGCAAGAGCTGAACTGCTCGAGCGGTGACCTCCAGTTCCCAACCAGTTTAGGATATCACGATCTCTCAGAATTGGAGCATCCCGTGAGAGTCTGCTTGCTGGTTAAACAGGGTTGTCGTATCTGCTTCCTTTCCCATGTGCAGACTTGGGCGGCTGGACGTTGAATCAGTATTCTGGCCCAATGATACATGTCGGAGCCTGTCCATGCACTCAAAGTGACTCCGACGCACTTGATTTTTCATGGACGATACCGTACGTACACATTTCAGCAAATCGAAATCAACGGCCTCTTGCCAATCAGGTCACGTGGCGTGCAAAGATTCTATTGATCAATGAGCTTATCTAGCTCAGGTCGTCGGAAGTCCAGGTAGGCTAAGATTACAATTGCCTGAAGCACATGGTGGGGCATGAGGTCAATGGTCGCATGTGCTGGATCGACCGATCAACGTCGGGCTAGCTGATTACCGGTTTTGTCGCTTACTCAGTAATTGTGCATGAATGAACCGGCGATCGCGATCGTATTGGATGCAGACTGACTAGAATAGCAAATGCCCATGGGCCGGATTTCTCGTTGCATGCATGAGTTAGCACACAGTGTATGCGTCCTGGCGCAGCGCGCTTGGGATCAAATCATCAAGATCATTGCGTTTCGATTTGTGACATAAAAACCAACCCATGCAGACCGTCCGCCCGTGTCCGTCATGGATTGCGAGAGGGGCATATCATGGCATTGCTTGCGCAACCGCGCTAGTTCTGGTCACGCCATTGCCAACTTCAAAGATCAGCTAGTGAGTGACATATATTGCAATCAATCAACAGCAATCAGGATCGCCTTATAGTACGGTATATCTCAATGAGTATCAACGTGACGGACCCGTACCGCTGCATGGAGTCCTAGCTGGCGTCATGCATGACCGGGGACGGTCACGGGCCAGTGCTGGCATAACAGTACGCAGTATTTGCGGCCCCTCAGGCTGGAACGTCCCCTTCCATGCAAATCGATGCATCGACACGAAACGGCTGCCACTGAAACTGCCCTCAATCCTCAGTCAGCTGCGCATGGCCCGGCTGGCAGTTCAACTTCCATTACAAGTGTTGTACCTGCTTGGAATGCTATTGTACATTTCTTGTCTTCTCGTGTATAGCTACTGGCTGACGAGCGTCGCTTGGATAGCCGTCGCGGCTCGCTGCATCTTGGACCCTTCGCTCTCTCCTCTAGTATTCAAATCCAAAGCCGTCGTGATCAACATAGTCAGCCTCTCTTTCGCCGTCGGTTCAAGCGGCCCTTGCACGTCTAACAACTGGATCGACTCGTCTTGCACCGAGCACCGTAGCCACGTCAGCAAAAACCTCCGCTCAGGTCCTACCAAACCCCCGCCCCAATCCCCGGGCGCTGTCTCCTGCCGCCAGAGTGCCCGGTTATGACTAACCGGGCAGACGAACCCCAGCGCAAAGTCCACCACGCCCTTCCTCCGGTTGTAGTAGACGTTCCCCTCGACGTGCCGGAGGGATTCCTCGGCGTTCTCCCCGGAGGGATCCCTCTCTCGGACCGGGGGATCCCCCCGGGCGAACGGCGCCATGAACTCAGACCCCCCGGGAGGCAACGGCTTCTTCTCCAGGCAGATCTCCCCGACCACATTCGACCCCCCCTGGCCCTTCGACTCTCGGTCTCTCTCAACCACAATCTCGACCTTTTCCCAGCGGATCAAACCGACGAAGTCGCGCAGGGTCTTGATCGGGAGCGCTAGCAGGGTTACGAAAGACGCGATTCGGTCGCGGTGGTGCGGCGAGCGGAGGACTCGTGCATGGAAGTATTCGTCGAGGTCGGCGGCGTCCACTTTTGTGATGGGGCTCTCCTGCTGTGTGCCTGATTGGAGCTTGAACCGGATGCTGCTCGAGCTAGCGCTCAACTGGACGGCGAGGCTCCTATAAAGAAGGAAAAGAACGCCTGTTTGTTAACCGTTTACGCAGAACCTTGTCCGTGTTAACGAGGAGTGAGAAGCGATTTACTATCATGACAGCTCTCACGACGGATTTGGAGCAATTGAAACCGCTGATCTCTTGAGGAATTCTGACCACAGCTTGGACCGAATGCTGCTCAAGGAAGCGCTCAACTGAATTGCTACGCCCCTGGACGAAAATAAAGGATATTTTTAAAATACTCTACTCAGTAGAGACTTGTCCATATTGACGAGGGGCGAGAAAAGGTCTGGTTGTCTGACCTCGAATGGGATAAGCTCCGGATCAAAGCAAAGGAAGACCGAAGCTTGATAAATGATTATTTCAAGCATTTGTCTACGCTTACGGGAGGATGTAAGAAGCCCGCTGGTATTGAGAGTCCTTCGCGAGAGGGTTGAAAACTCCAAGATTGGAGACTGTCTTTATTCAAGAGACCAACGGGCACTGGAAAGAATGGGAAAGGTTCGTTCTTGTGGCTCCGTTCCTACTGCCGTTATTTTGCCAGTGCAAGGAAGCACGCTCCAGTGTAATCTGATCGATCCGGCTACTCAGCGACTCGTCACACATAAGGCCTTGGTCCTTCGGTCCACAAAATGCAAAGCTATGACATGATGCGCAAATGCGAGCAGCGGCCAAATCAAATAGGTTCAGAAACTCCCACATCTTCAAAGCACAGAACGCAGAACCGATTCCCCCTGAAATCAGATCAAACCGTATCAAAGCGTGAGCCGTTCGAACCCTCTCATGTAACTCTTGAGAATCCTGGCTGCTTCGACTGTCAAAGCTCGAAACCTTGAACTGCCCCGTCTCGAAAAGCTCCTTCTGATGCAGCATGGCCACCCTCACATCAAGAGCGAATACCCTCAAGCGTCCCATTCATGAAGCGTAAGCACGAAGCCATTCAGCGTAAGAAGTACAGAAGACTTTGTAGGCAGATCCACTCGAGACCCTCGCCCGTGAAGGCCGGAATATCTACAATCTAAAGCCCTTATCCTTAAGCTCTGAAATCTTGAAACTTACCCGCAGCGCAACTGCAGCAGCGGTCTGCTCGCGTCGTGCTTCAGGACCTGCCACTCGTTGTCCCTCGTCAGCAGCTCTCGCGTCGTTTGCACGCACTCCACGAACGTGATGACCGCCCAGTGAACCGCGAGGTTAGGCCATAACCCGCGGCAAACCTGGGGGATGGCGTACCACGGAACCCACATTCCGGCGTAACCCCCGGTGTCGGTTAACCGTGGGCGGCCCCCAGGGAAAGTGCTGCCGGGCGGGGGGAGTTTGAGGGCGCCGCTTGAGACGGAACCGGGGCTGCAAAGGGAAAGACAAGAGCGGTTTGCGGCTAGCCCAGATTGTAAACGTGAGGGGTTTAGAAAACCATCTAGTTGGGCACAAGCGGGCGGCTCCCATTGGGGTTCGTAGCATAGTCGTTCGAAACAACCCCAGACTGTACTGAGATGAGATTTAACAGGACATAAGGAACGGTCGGCTAGAATGGTCGCACGTAAAGAGGCACATTATTAGGAAAGGATGGCGGATCTGCTGGAAGGCCTATCTACCAGACACTGATTGGAGGTGCTAAGATTGACACGTTGGGTGTCATGTCACGCTGAGTATGCTGAAGCAGAGAGAGAGCCTGACTACCGGCAAACTGATGAACCCTCAACAAAGCAATGGAACAAAAGTCTAGAACATTCAGACGACCAGATCCCTAAGTTGCGACAGCATTGCAGGAGCGCTTTGCAGGCAAAGTGATTACGTTTTCGGCGGATCGCATCCAAACGAATCTGCACTCTTGAGCGGGGCCCAAAACAAGGCATGTGAGCCTCTGATAAAGATTAGGAAGCAAATTTGACGCTAGGAGAGTTACTTATGGGCTGGCAGCTTGGAAAGAGATTTTCAGCAGTGAGATCCAGAACACAGTGTGCAACAACGACGTACATGGCTTCAAAGACGAACCCCTTGTTTGAGACAAGACTCAGGCGGGTTACCAGCATCACTGCCAAGAATCGTATCTACTCTTAACGCCAATTGTCTTCACAACACGGCTTACGAACCTTCGGCTTGGGCTTCTCTACTGTTCACTCAACCCCGGAGACTTAAATTTGAATTGAGCGTGTCTTGAATCATATATGGCCGCCAAAAGGATCCTTCCAGAATGTGATCAAAAGCGTCATAGCCATCAGCGCTCTGCCTGACCCGCACAACGAGACTCGCTCAACAAAACTGACGTTTAATAGCTGGGAGGCGGAATCTTGTTCAGGTAAGCGCAATCGAGACGCAAAGTCCCTGGAACACAGTAGAAGACCTTGCAAGCTCTGAGCCTGACTTGGCATGCATTTGAAGAAGATCATTACGGTTTGAAGAACTGAGCTTCAAAACGCCACGCGATTCAAGACGTGTCAAGAGGAAGTAGAAGAAGCAAAAGTCCCGACTTATGACCCCACTTAAAATTCCCCTTCGGATATGAGAGAGGCCTGACGTGTTCAACGGACAAGCTGTGGCGGTCGAATCAGGGGTGTCGTTGAGCAGGCTTTTAGCTCTCAGTCGTAAGTTCGTCACTGCCATAACAAATCCGCGATAAGGGTTTTTCAGACGGGCACAGCCTAAACTTGTTCAGATAGCCTGCGCAACTTGTCGACATCAGCTTCTTTCGGATCTGATGAATGCTGAAAGAGGGACTCCATTGGCAAGGGAGAGTAAAGGCTTCCGAGAAGAGATTACTTGTGTCAGCAACTTGAGGACATGGCATCATGTCAAGACGACATCTGCTGAGGCGCTTTCAGTCCTCAAGCTAGCGGTTTGCAAAATCATTGCCACTACCGGTTACGTCGAAGTAGATGGGCACTTCATCGCAGGTTCTAGCATTCAAGAGTCTTTTCGTATTTTCTTTGATGTGTGAAGGAATTCTTGGCCCGCTGCATGACCTAATCAGACGCGGAGTTCCCGACCTTCAATCCGAAAGAAGCTCGTGCTTCATGGGACATGCATCCTCCTTGTTCTTTGTTCGGGACTGTGATATTATCGAAGGCTGTGCACGCAGAGGCCTAAAGTAAACCGGTATGAGTGCCTACCCCGATTTCGGAGTACGAGCCAAGGAAACAACGACAACCTCAGGCTTCACTGTTACGAAGCAATAACATTAGTCAAGCTGCAACAATAGAAAATGTTACCATGCACTCAAAAGAGAACGCATAAGAGGCTGGCTACGAGGGCGCTGACATTATCTATGGGAGACACTACTCCCATCGCTTGTCCTGCATCACTGCCATATGCAAAAACCAATGAGGTTACCAAAGTTCGTGTGAATTCGACGACAGTATCAGGTAGGATTCGTCAGTCGATCCCTCATGAGAAAAGGAAATGGACTATCTTAAACACGTAAGCGCTGCCGAAAGAAGAGTTTGAAAACCCTTTTCCGCAGGGCCGGAAAGAAAGGTATTGCATCGCGAGACTTCCTTGCCTGGAAGAATAAAGATCGAAAGCCACACTTGATAACGAGGATGCCCCGAGTTAACAGGGTCGTTCCACGCGTGTGACTCGTAGATAGGACGATACAGACTTTGAGACCATCGTTTTAGGATCAATGTCTGCATCCAAGACGCGTACGGCTGATTGCTGCATAATGAAGCATTGAAACAGCCTCGCAGTATGAACCGTCAAGCACGTTCAAAATCAGGTCCGAGGCTCCATTCCAGGAGACGAGGATTTAAAGGCACCGGCCGCATCCACTGAGTGTAGTTCCTCCATTCTTGGGTCCTGCCAAATCAGTAGATGCCGGTAGGACTTCGATAAAATTTGAACAAGTATCACAAGCAGACTTTAGACAACATCAGTAGGCTGCTGGATCTTGGGAGTTTCTCGTATTTTCCCCCAGAGTGAGAGCGTCACTGCCAAATGATTTCAACTATTATCGTTCTTGGCTCAATGGCACACATGCCGTTGCATCCAAAGCGGTATCCTTGATGCACTCGGCTCATCCAATTGTCAAAACGCACGCAAGCTGTGAGACTTGGGCGTCGGCAGAAAGCTGCGAAGAGAAACCGAAGATTCGCACAATCTATTGTTCATGCAGAGTGCCTTGTGTAAGTAATGAGATGACCTTCCGTTGCTGAGAAAGGGCGATCAATACCACAGAGCAGCTATGCACCCGATAACACATTCTGCCGCCCCTTAATCGCAAATCGCTGACTGTATGTTAAAGGCAAGCACTTAGCAAGGGAATACAGCAAATATTCCCAAAGGACAAAGAGAAATCTAGGATCGCTCGATCCAAACTCGCAGTCAAGAAGACTTCGATTATTTATACGCTGCAGGCACCAAGCAGGCCGGTGCCAACAAACAGGAAGAGCTCAACTAAGCTCACAAGAATCAGTGACGTCAGCAGAACCAGACAATGGAAACTGTTTCCCGACCTTGTCCTGTGCATCACGGCCATTGCATCTTCGTACAAACCCAACTTCAGGGATATTCACGTGCTCCACAGCTTTCACACAGAGTGGACGCTTCGCGAGACGGGAGTTTGATTCAGAATCGTGTTGCAATCCGGTTTCGAGTGTCAAGAGCATGGGTGGTTACTGAAAGCCGGGGACACAGACAGGGAATTCTCGAGAAATCAAGCCTGGAATGGTCCAACTTGACACCAGCCGTTCGCACAGAATGTTTTGAGTAAGGCGCTGGCATCACATGAGATGTCCTCACAAATGGGACTCCTTCCAGGGCTTCCGAACGATTCTACCTGCGAACATCCTCGCCAAGCCGGACGCTTCAAAAATAGAAAGCGAGGGTAGTGTAACCGCAATGGTATAAGCTGCGCAACCTGACAAGGTGCAGACCGCACCCTCGGACGCTCATCCTCTTAAAGTACGCTTGAGTTGACGATACATTCGAAACAAAATTTGCTAACGCGTAGATTGTATAGAAGCTGAACAGAGACTGCAGAGAAGCAGCTCTTTGTCCCCCGGCATCTTCCTGGCAATTACTTTCTGGCACCTTTTCTTGCTATACTTGAACTCGAACATTCCACTTTGTTGGATTGTTAAAAACGTGAACGCCAGACCGTGCGCAAAGAGTTTCTAGATAATGTCCCTGTCAGAACGAGAGCGGCGTCTGCACCGAACGCACCTGTGGGAAAGATTCGTGCCCACGGAATCTATGCCGATCATTGCCTCGAAGTTTTTATTCAAAGGAACATAAACCGCTCGGATTGACGGTACCACGGATTGGTGAGTGTAAACAAGCAGGGCAGTCGATTCTTGCAAGCAAGTTGGACATCGGCATCAATCAAGGAACCCAACCAGAAATGGGAGACGCTCTCTGCTCCCGGTTTCCAAGTGACATCACCGCCGCAAATTCTTTTTCGGGTCGGCTTACGCTCTTGAAGCCTCAATGATCGGCAAGCTCCCTCTTTGCTCTGATCCTCAAGGTGACTGCAAATCTACTCGCTTTTTCGGGTCTGCCTAAGTGCTTAGCAGCCGGCTGAGAGAGTGGATTCACTATGTGTTATTTCTCCCTTGAGAATCGAGCTTTTTAGATTGCAGAATATGACCACACTTGAAAAGTGGTAGATAGGTGACATCAGCTCACGTCCAACTAGACAAGTGGGACCCTTGTGGTCCCAACTCGTCGGTGTGCATCATGGTCTCGTATTGTTTACTCGAGGCCACGCAAATTACATGCACATTGCTTCGCAAATATCAGGAAGGTTTCTCGGCTGCTTTCGGAACAAGGAAACGGCTTGGAAAACATGGTCGTCTTTCAGGGCTTCGGTAGCATCACCGCCAGGGCGTTCCCAAAATGGATAAGAAGAACATTTCATTCTTGTATCCCGATTTTGAGATCCGTTGAAGAAAGTCCTGAGCTTCATCCCTGAAGGAAGCCCTCCACTGGGTCTGCAGGAGCCACGTGGATCCGTGCGCTGTGCTAGCAGGAGCAAGAAAAGCAGACCTTCCCAATGAAGCTGTTCTGAAGTTTGTACCAGACACAGAACGACGGAAAACAGACGGAACGACGGAACGACGGAAAACGACAGAAATATCCGGATTGTCAAAGTAGGGGCTTCTGCACGATTCGGGAAAACTCTGGGAGGCGCTGTAGATCCCCAAGTATGTGAATAACATCACGGCCCAGGTCAAGATAACCAAAAGCAGCGAGCATACGTCAGCCTGTTTACCGATAGATTTCCCAGGAGGCATTCGCGAAAGTGTACTCAAACCGATTGACTAGTTCATCTGACGAGGCATGTGGAGGTTGGGTCCAGGAAACCCGCAATGGGAACAAAACGTTGGTGCCAAGTTTTCTTCCACTGACGATGATGGCATCAGAAGTCCCAACCTCCTACCTGGGTTGCGCTCTTGCGTCCCAAAGCCATACCTTTGTATCATTGCCATTGCTTTTCGGCTTATACAGGTTCGTCAGATGCACTCGCAATCACTCGACCGAAACGCGGGTAAAGCTACTCTATTTGACGCGAAACCTGCCAGCCAAAACTTGCGGCAAAGAGGAAGGAAGGTCCAAAGGCTCGAGGACGCTGCAAAAGCCGAAGGGCTGCATATAAACAGCGGCCCCTTCAAAGCCAAAGTTCAACGGTAGGATGGTCAAGCTCAGCGCTGAGGGAAAACGGAAGGTTTTGCATGGAGCCTCCGACACATCCTACTTACAGAGGAGAGGGACATGAAGCTGGAACGAAAGCCTCGATTTTATCCGGCTACACAAATCAGCCACGATCCGGAGGCGAGCTTCGTTTCCGCCAAACAAGTTTAGGACCCAGCCTTGCACAGGTATTCTGATAAAAGATATTCGAGGGTCTCGCTGACGTCAGCATGGAAAAAATTGCTGGGTCGCTCTGGTTCCCAGCTCGTTGGGTTTGCATCCTTGTCTCCAGGCACATGAGAAAGGCCCATGCGAAAACCAACCATGAAAGCGTTCGGAACGACGCTTGCAACATAGAAGTGCCCACGACAGCTCCCAAATCTAGTTTCATCTGATCCCGAACCGTTTTAACTGTGTGATCAATAGTAGTCTGGGAAGAACGCTGCCGTGAAACGGTGCGCCATTCGGTGCGCCTTTCACCTCCACTATTGGTGTGCATTGGAAAGTAGCCTAAACAACTGGCGCAGCGGTTTGGAGCGATGTGGAAACTCGAGTTGGTCGAGGGCGTGGCAAAGCAACTTGAATACAATAGAGCCTACGGCATCCTATACCAACAATGTCTGGGAGTTTTGGCAGCTCCCAGACCCTGCAGATGGAATCATTGCCGTAACACCGTACAAAGGACCCAACCTTTCATAACGCTTAGCAAGCGCAACCCGTTCCTTTAAGGAGAGATGATTATGGACCCACGAAAGAGGCCATACGGGACTTGTACTCCGCAATAAGGACCAACGGGAAGGAAACAAAGAAAGACACAAACGAAAACCGACGACCAGACTAAGCACGGTTTACACAACAAGCACACGGGTCTCAATTGTGCCTGGAAAATATTGAAACGCTTCAGCCCGGCTGCTGGCAATAAAGAATGCAAAAGACCAATCTCAAACTGAGCGGTCCTCTTCAGAGAAGAAGAAAACAATTGACGCAAACCTCGAGCTTCGAATTGTTGAATGTTCAAAAAAGCGGAATCTAATTGCATACGTCGGGCTTCGAGCTACAATTCTCACCTGATCACAAAGGGAGTGAGGCTGGCTGCCGCGAGAAACATTTTGACGTATGTGACACCGAGACAAGGAATGTAAAACGTGACTATCCTCATAAGGGCACCGATGAAGAACGGTCAAACAAGCTAGACTTTAAAGCAACTCGGATTTTCAAGTGCCCACTTTCGAATCCTTACCTGATCAGCGTTTCGCTGTCCCCCCGTCCCGAGCTCCCCTGCCGGCCAAAGCTGGGGAAGCTCTGCAACCCCCCCGATCCGCTCGCCCGTCCGAAGCTCCGGAACCGCGCCAACTTCTCGGGGGGGGGCTCCGACACCCCCAAACTCTCCCCCACCTCCGTCTCCCCTGAGCCTTGCCCCCCCGCGGCAGTTCCCTTGTCTCCGGCACCCCCCCTCTCCGGGGGTCCTCCCTTGTCTGGAGTCGTTCCCCCCTCAAGACACGTGCGCGCCGCAGCTAGTTCTTCGTTGACGCACCATTGGAAGCCGGGGATTTGGGCATACCCCCGGGAAGAAGACGGGTCGGCGGGGGGGACGGGTTGCAGCCAAACGTGCGCCCCCGCGAAGCAGCGCATCTCGAGCGTGAAGCAGTTGCGGAACGTGAAGCGGGCCTGTAGGGAAAAGATTTCCCGTAATGACGTTTGTTGCCAAACAACCTTAGGTACAGCAGACACTGAAGACATGGAAGCCTGTTCTTTGCTATTTGGAGAAAAAGCAACCGCTCAATTTTGAAGAGAAAGAGCCGTAGATCCGAGTAAGTTCATGAGAGGTCAGGACTCATAGGTACTAGTCGTACGTTGACCAGGGCCTCTATATGAGGAAACCACTCAATTTCAGCTCTCCGAGAACAGAAGGCTAAGAGATCCACAGGAATTGTGCACCTTCACCAAATCAGCAGTTGCAAAACATTCCCGGACCCTAGCAACTGCACTTCTGCAGTACACAGTATCGCTTACCCGGTATGGGCTCCAGAGCTTGAGTTCGACCTCCGTTGGGGAGTACATGGCGCGGCGCATGAGTTTCGTGCACGGCAGCGACTCGGCCAGCAGCCCCTGCGGCACCGCAGTGACGCTGACGGCATCCAACAGGAGCGCGACTTCGCCTTCGTTCACGAACTCCTCCAGTTGCTGCAGGGAGAGACATGGCAGCAAAGCCTTAGCCGCAACAAAAAGAGGGCCCAATAGAGACTACAGGTGTGTGTGGCGAGGTTTTGACCAGAAGCCCTTGTGCCAATGAAGTGATGCTGACGGCATCCAACAGAAGCGCCACCTCGCCTTCGTTCACCCGAATTCTTCCAGTTGCTGCAAGTGGGGTGAAAGGACCACGTGTTGAAAACATCTCCATACGGAGAGAAAGGTTTTGAATTGGGCGTTGTCTTTTGGAAACTGGATGTCAACAGTAGCCTCTGCGGCACATCTGATGCTCACGGCATCCAACAGGCGACTGACTTCGCCTTCGTTCACAAACTCGTTCAATTGCTGCGAAGATGGAGAAAGCAGAGTTTGTTGTTGCACAAAGAATTCTCACAGAAGAGCTTGTCAAAAAACTTGACGACAATGACATGCCATTTCCAGATACGTCACCATTCGAGGTAAAGAATCAGAAATGGATGCGGCTCTTGCGGCCCCACTCTGAAAGCCAAGGGCCACTCGATTCCGACGTCTTTGCGAAAGGCTCGACCTGGCTTCAATCTACGAGAGGTCTGCGCAAACTCACAAAGCAGCCCTGCTCCAGAAAAGCAACAAGGTCACTAGAAGGCTCTGATGTTAAGCAAACGCAACCCTGCCTGCTTTTCATCTTGGAGGGTTGCAACTTCAAACAGACCCCAAAATCACACCTTACTCCACAATACATTCGAGAATTTCAGCTCAGAACAGAAGCAAAGATACACAATCAAACTGATTCTCAGAGGGTGACAGAAAACCTTGAGAGTAAGCCAGGAGAAAGAAAGGCAAGCATTATAGGAGAAAGTACAGAGTGCAGTCCACTCACATGCTCCAGTGTCTCCAGCGCTTGCGGCAGCAACGACACCTTGGCTCCTCCGGACGTCCGTGGCCACGTGACGGACATCAGGATCGTCCGAAAGTTCTCAAACCGGACCTCCACGTCGGTTAACCCCACCCCGGTTATCGTAACCTCGCCCCAGGAGTCCGAGACCCCCCGCTTCCCCGCCAGCACTTCCAGCTCGTCGCTGCCCGCATGCACTCCAGAGAGGACCCCTAAAGCTTCTGCTAGGTGCAGCACAAACGCCCTGGCGAGCCAGACCCTCTTGAGGTCCCGAACGAGGTCCGTAGCAAAACTCGGGGTTATCCGCTTGACCCGGATTTCAAACCCTTTCGCATCACTCTGGATGTGGGCATCTTCCGGGGCGCTCTCCAGGAAGTGAATGTCTCCACGGGAGAGCCAGTCTCGGTTCGGGGGGGCGTCAGCGGTTTCCTTGTCCCCTTCCCGAGCCCCCCCTTCGGTAACCTCATCAACCTTGTTCTGCTTCTCCTCATCAATAGACGCGTCTTCAACCCCACTCCCATCCCGCAAAGCGCTCCCCGCCTTTGATCTTCTTTCCAGACCCGCCAATGCTCCCAAGTACCCGTCCTCCACTCGTATGGTGACACCTGGCACCCCGGGGCCCCCCAAGAGCACCTTGACCGGCGGCCACGACGGCGCCACGTCATCCCCCCCATCAAGCCCCGGAACCTTCGCCCGCAGATCGAAAGACGGCCGCCGAAGGCCCACTTCTTCGGCGTAGGCGACCCCTGCTGACGTCAGCTGCCGGGTGATGACGTCATGCTTGATGCAGAGCGAGCAGTGCGCGAGAGCCCGGTAGAGCGCGGCGCGGTACACTTCCGGGGGCGCCCGTCCCTGATTGGCCGCTGCCAAGAGGGAGGAGAACCGCCGCCCAACCGCGAGCCGACACCTGTCCTCTACTTTTGGAGACTCAGACACGTGCGCAAGGGCCTCAGGCACGTGATCAACTGTTGTTGGATGTCTGGGGCTTGCGTGCATCTCCGTGTCTATTTCCGCGTCTCCTTCCAAGGGTTCCGCTTTTGGAGCAGTTGCAGGATCGAAGTCGAGGATCGAATCCTCGAGGGCCCCCGCCGCATCAAGAGACGCTTCCGCAAGTGAACCTGCCTCTTCCATCTTCTCATCTGACGCTTCCGGAGCGGTCTCGCCGTTCATTTGGACCCCGGTTAGTGCTTGACCCGCTTCCAAACCCGTCGCTTGACTCGGCTCCGGACCAACTTTCTGCCTCTTCGCCGACGGCTCTTCGCTCCCGTTGTCGTTCCCCTCTGCCCTCCCCTCTTGACCCGCTAAACCGTTTGATTCGTCAGTCCCCCCAAAGCCCCTAAACGCCGCTTCAATATCAATATCCATGCTGCTCTCTCTTGGCCGCTTCAGCCCCCCTTCCGCCACCGATTCAGTCCCCCCGTCCCCGTTCCCAACCGCCTCTGTTTCTTCACCCCCGGTTGTTCCCTCCCAAACCTCCAAACCCTCAGCACCCTCTGCCAAGTCAGCACTAGCCCCGGGCAGGTTATCGCTAACCCCCGTCAGGTTAGCAGTCTCCGTCTTCGTTTCCTCCTCCTCATCCCCGAGCATGTCGAGCAAACCCTCGACCATGTCCATCGTCAAGGACCGCTCAAACCTCGGCCCCCCAGAAGCTTTCACGGTAGGGGCGCTCACACTGGCCGTGTTCACACCAGACGCATTTGCCCCAGACGCGGCTTCCGTGCTTGCGCCCGCGCTTTCGGGGGGCTTCTCTTCGTGGGGAACGGAACCCCCCAAGGTGGTCGACAGTGGTGGAGCGCCCGAGCCCCCCAGCGCTTCCGGCGCCTCGGTCCAATCCGTATCCAGATCCACAGAATCTGGCCACTCTTTCAGCAGCCCGAGAGGGTCTTCCGACCGTTCCTTACTCTTTGCCCCGAGCAGACTCCCCGTGCTCTGTTCCTTCCAGCCTGCCCCCAAACTAACCGAGGTTAACCCTGTCTGAACCTGCGTTTCCGCTTCTGCCCGCTCCAACTCGACCCGTTTTCTGAGCTTCTCCTCTTCTTCAACCATCGCCGCCCGTTCACTCTCAGACCCCCATCCCAGCAACAAGGCCTCTGAATCGCCGTCATCAATAACCTTCTCCCCAACCCCCAGTTCCATCCACTTAGTAACCTGTGGTCGGACTGCAAACGACCGCCTAACCGCCCTGCTAACCGCCGCCAAACCCATCCCCGACCCTGCGCCCACAGCACCCGCGATCCGGTCGGTAAGTGACGCACTGACTCCTCCGCTGACGGCCGCACTGAGCGCCCCACTGAGCGCCCCACTAACGGGCCCTTTAACCAGCCCGCTGATTGGCCCACTAACCCCTGGTTCAGACCTGTCGCTCGCTGAGTCATCGTCCCTCTCGTCTGAAGCGAGGAGAGTAAAGAAGGGGATGCAGAAATCGTCGAAGCTGATTGCCAGGAAGAAAGAGAAACCTTCCAGGACGCCGGGAAACGAGCAGAGAAGAGTGTCGGGCGGAAGCGACGGGCCGTCTTCAGGGGTGTCGAGAGCGGCCACTCCGTGGGCGTACGGCTGTAAGAAAATGTAGAAGAACAGGTTAGAACAGGAGGAGATTCTGGATCTGAATCAATTTGTCGGAAAAGAGCAGACAAACGAGCCGGGGTGCGGCGACGGGCCAGCTTCGGGTATCCTAGAGCAGCCACTCCATGGGCGTTTAGTCTTGAAAAGATGCAGGAAGAGAAGGTTTGGTACACGAATCGTTTTTGAATTCGATCCAATTCGTCTGAAAAAGAGCAGAGAAGGGAGTCGAGTGAGAGCAACGGGCCGTCCTCGGAGATGTCGAGAGCAGGCACCTCATGGGCGTATAGCTGTAGGAGAATGTTGAAGAAGAGGGTAGAAGATGGTTCATTTCTTGGTTTGACCAGATACGTCAGCAATACAGCAGAGAAGGAAGTCGTGTGGGAGCGATGAGCCATCTTTGGGGATGCCGAGAGCGGTCACTCCTGGCCGCATGGCGGTCTGAAAGTGTGAGGGAACAGATGTATTTCTGATCGGATATAAAAACTGCATCATTTTGTCTGTCAAAGCTGGGGCTGAGTATGTCCGAAAGGTTGGGCACTGCAGAGAAGCGAGTGATTGTATCACAAACCGGAGAGTTGAATCAGCCTGAGAGGCACTATTTGACTGGAGTTACAGGTCTCTTCGATTGAGGCTCTGCAGAGCGAAGAACTCCGAGGTGAAGAGAAAGGAACACGTGATCTGAAATCTTTGTTCTGGTCCATTGCTGACCATAAGCCACCGCAGGAGAGGGATACTCAGGCGCCCATGAAAGCCACCACAAAACTACCCGCCTCGACAACAACAGTTGTATCATCATATTTCGAGCTCAGTCGATTCCGTTGCAAACGACCACCCTTTTTCGGGTCAGATTTACAAACAAACCCTCTCACCTCTAGTTCCATCTCCACGGCCATGCTCCGAAACAGGCGCAACAGCGCCGCCTTCCGCAGCTCCAGAAACAGGGACCCCGGCGCATCCCCGCCGCTGTTCAGCCGCTCCTCTAGTTGCCTCAGCAGGGAATCCGGAACCAGACCCACCGGTTGTCGCAGCACAAACCGACCGCTCCTGCTCAGAGAAAACGCAGATATGCTCAAATCCAAACCACCCCTCTAAATCCTAGGACGCTAGACCAAGTACTAGACTCGTCTATGGAGCGCTCAGGGTTCACAAGCGGGTCAAGAGGCTAGCCCCTAGTGCTTCAGCGAAAGGTCGGAACACCAAACTACCGGTTGTTGCAGCACAAACCGACCTGTCCTGCTCAAAGAAACGTAGAAAGGCGTCATCTGGACGCAAACAAAAAAATCTGCATAGCGTATGGCGGGTTGGAAGAGGGTCCAAACGGCGGTTTCGTCACGCTTGAACCAGAGTTCTGAATATCAGACCTGCAGCCAAATTTTTCTTCGCTTTCGCTATAACTGGAATAAAGCTCCAAGGCAAACACCAAAAAGACTTACTTCCTCTTGCAACTTGGGTATTAGAAAAGATCAGGAGAGACTTATCGCACAGCTACGCCGTTTATGAAGAGAAAGAGAAGATCCCAAAGTGAGTACACTCACTTCTAGGATTGGAATGTGAATCGTACAGAAGTTGCTGATGCCGCAGGAGGTGGTAAACTCATCGCTCATGAGAAAGAACGTTTCGGCTCTCCTCAGCCAGGCTTCCTTGGAATCTGAGTACGGTTGGCGTCAAAGTACGACTTACTCCAGCCTGCTTTCCCAGCCAAGAGCTTCGAACATCGAAAGTAGTTTTTGGACACGGGGAACAGCAAATCCTTCCTTACCTTCGGTTCACCTCCACTCCAGCTCCGACGCTCCCATACACTTGAACCCACAGTTTCTCCGCCCCCTCCTGGTTTTCCTCTTCCTCCGCCCTCCCCTCGTCCAGACTCCCGAATGCCACCCCCCCTTCTCGGAAACTCCGCTTACACCTCACCAACGGCTCCTTGTTGACAATCTCCTCTAACTCGAGTAACCGGGAATGCGCACTGCACGCTAACGCTTTCCTCAGAAGCTCCTCTAGACTACCCCCATGTTGCGCCACTGAAAAGAGCGCGCTCTCCTCGGATTCTGGATCGACCACCACCGGCCAATGCGAGCAAGCCACGTGGCCTTCGTCGTCGAGCTCGATTCTCAAGCTGGGGGGACCTTTCAGCGCCCAATTCTTCCCCCCGGAGACCGGCGTTTCCCCACGAAGCGGCTGGTCGAGTTGCGGGGTCAGGTGTGAAGAGGGGCTGGGGCGGAATGGCTCGACTGAGGCAGACCCGCTCTGGAGCGTGTTTACACCGCCTGGACTGCGTCGATCCCAATACTCGATTTTTAGAGACCGATGCACGCTCCCCGCATCCCCCTTCTCGAAATGCAACCGAATAACGTCCCTCCACGTGCCCTGTTTCAGCACCTGCGCCTGACGGAAGACCGAGTCTAAGAGCAGGTTAGCAGCTAACTCGTGCAGAACCCGGTACATCTCGTGCAGCGGTTCTGCAGCTAACCCCATTCTCCGCTCCACTTCGGCAGCGAGCGCCCGCCTCTGACCCTCGGTCAGGCCCCTTGACCCTCCCCCCCTAACCCCTCTCGTCTTTTCCCCGAAACCCTGATCTTCTGATCCGTCTTTGGTAACCCGCCCCTCTGCTTCGCTCCCTAAAGCGAGCCACAAAACCCGCCACTTCGACAGGTCTCCCTCGTGACCTAGGGTTAACCGCACCTCAAACTCGTCCTTAACCCGCATTCGGACGGCGCCATCAGACACGCGGATGTCCGTTAGTTGGGGGGGCAATTCACACTCCAGCAACCGGGCGTGAATCGCTCGGTCCGCTTTGGAGAGGGCGGAAGCTTGTTCTGAGGGAACCAAGGTGGGAGGGGGCCGCAGATCTTGGATGACGATGGGCAGGCGTGAATACGATCCGGTAGTGAGGACTTCGACCGCTGTGGTGACGTCATAGATGGGGGCGCGGGCCTGCAAAAACAGAGTCAAGGGTCTCGTCACCACCAGGAGTCCGATTAAGGCAAACCCCTCTAACGAACAAAACCGGACAGACTGAAAGGGGGCCCGGCAAGAGGGAACGGAGAAAGGGCTAGGGACAACATCACCATTTAGTCCGATGGTCAAACGGTTATCGATAATCAGAAATCGTCAGGGGAGATCTTGTGAACAAAGCAGAAGGCAGGCATCATCGTTTGTTCTTCCGTCCGCTGAATCAAACCTTGCTTCTCTGTGAAATACTACGTCCGGACAGGAAGTGAGGTTACGGTTCACAGAAGCACTACGAGAAGACAGGAACAGTGTCCCGGCCTTTTTAAATGGAAGCGGGGATGTGGTGAAAAAGCAGAACACTTCTGTTACCTGTCTGAGCTGTGCATGCAGAAAGAAGAGTTGATCCGCTGCGTCCCGGAGGCTCGTGTCGTGCCACTCCAGAGTACCCGAGAGCTGCTGGCCCCGCGACATCAGAGGCGCTTGCTGCAAGCAGTAAAACAAACAAGTGGAGCAAGTTTTGAAAAGAAAGAGTGCAGTAAGAAGTGGCCCAACGCTTGAGAAGAAAGAGTGCAGAAGAAGTGCCCAACGCAAAAAAGTCTGCTGGCTGTTATAAATAACCGCAGGAATCACAAGCGCACGAACAGAGGGGTTCTGCAAGTCGGATTGGGGAACTTTAGTCCCAGCGCACACCCTTTTATAAGCTGATGGACCATCAATACCTCATCATGAGCAGAAGGATTAGAGAGGTGTCCTCGGGGCACATACAAATCCTCACAATAAGGACATCAGACAACCCAGTATTCGCAGTGAGCATCATCAGACAGACCAGTTCTGTGTCAATTCGCCGTCAGTTTAATGGCTGATCTAAGTGTTTCTGGTGGTGCAGAACGTGAGCCGTCGATTACAATGTCCACTGAAGTTTAGCAAGCAAGCATCCCTGTTCGATGATCAAACTTTTACCATGCATGATTTCTTTCCTTTGTGATCCTAAAATCGAGCACTGCACACATTCGCTTTTAGAGCGGCGCAAAGAACCAGTCAACAGTTCACACGTTCCCACCTCATAAAGTATAGACGTCGTTTGACGTAGCAATAGGCACTTTTCTAAAAAAGCTGGTTTGCGTCAATTGAAACGGTCATGACGAACTCTACCCAAGAGCATATGGCTGCCACAGTACCTTTCAGGGGCGACTCAACAAGCAACTCGAAAGTGGTTCAGTCACGGTTGATAACCCTGACTTGGTTAGCTCTGATCGGTTAATGCACACGGAAATAATGAGGAATGCTCAATCTGTTCCTAATGCATTCTCGTGCCACCACCACTGTGCTTCAATACATCGAAACAAGTGATGCACTTTGCAGTAGCACACGCGCTGAACGAATTGGCCTGAATAAAAGTTAGCATAACACAAAAGAATCACTTTCAACAGAGCGCAAGGGAATCAAACAGGCAACCAACATTAGAAAATGGGGTTGTTAAAGGCCATTACTGCTGCGTGAAAATTACAAGGCATAGAAACATAGAAAACATAGACATTCTGCAAAGAGGGTCGCTCACCGTCTTTGCCCATTCTGCCAGCACATGCAACCGCAGCAGCCTCTGTCTAGTTCGCACTAGATACTTCAGCAGTGCCAGCTTGCGTTCCTTCTCCCCCCGCCCAGGAAGGGACTTGCAAAGATCCTGAATGCCGGTATAGGCTTCGGAGGTGGTTCTCTGAACCAGTTGTGCTAAAGGCACCGGTTCGTGTTTTTGGGGGGGTGGTTCGGGGGGCCCGGTCGGGACCCCTGCCGGAGCTGCCATACCCATCAGCTTGCTGCTTCTGTTTGTTTTGCTGCTTCTCAAGGTAAGATGAGAGTGGTGCTTTGATGAATGGAAGGAGTCTATCTTTGATGGTGTTGAGCGAAGGGTGTTATTCGTGGTCTGTAAGGCTGCTGGTGACCTGTGACTTCTCCTGTAGAGAGCACGTTGTAAGACGTCACTGCATTCTTCGTAGAGCAGCCATATGTTTGGTAGTTACATGTCGAACGTCTTATGCACTCACGTTCGCTTCCTGTGGATCAATTGTCGGTTATAACCCGTTCCATTGAACACGTTAGGTAAAAAGCATTCCGCTTGGACGTCCGTTGCTTGTTTCACCATACTCTGCCCTCTGACCTTTCTCTCGGCCTCTTTGCAAAAAGAAAACAGACGTCTCTTCCCCAAGCCCGCAATCCTTCCTCCTTCCAACCAGATGCGCCCCCTGCGATAGCAGCGAAGACAAGGCAAATGTCCCCATTGAACAAATCGTCGTGAAGTTCTTTTTCCTGGCAGAGGGGCCTGCCCCTTCATCATGCAGAACAATGATCACCGGTATTTTGGGGTTCGAACGATTTTTGTCGAACCGACCAAGAAACTCATTTTGACGGCGGCGTGTCGGCTTTGCTAACAGATCGACGATGGAAGCTCCAATCATTCCCGAAGCGTCGACTAAAGAGGAAATCGGTTCCGTAGACGGCTGACGTTCACTTCCTTGTTTTTCGATACGAAAGGGCCTTCTTGAGGCATCCTAAATTTTCATTTAGGTGCTGCTGGCTGACTCCACATAATCACAAGTCGGCATGACGTCACAGAGCTGACTGCTCTACCTTGTGCCGACGCGCCGGGCCGGAAAGAATACCCCCCGGGTTCTCAAAACGCCCGCAGAAAGGCGACCGGTGCTGACGTTCCGAAGAGCCGAGACCCGACCGCCCCCGTAATGTAAGACGTCATCCATGCTCTTTGAGTCTTCAAAAGCTATTGCTGTTGCTGTGCTGCCAAACTTTCTCAGTTTGTCTTCATTGGCTGGCGGCGCCGTCTTTCCAGCATCTCAGCATCCCCTCTGCTGGAAGCAGCTGAAAGCTTCTTGAAATATCTACAAATCGAGTATCTCCGACCGCAATAGCAGCTCAACCCGCTTTCCGAACAAGCTGTTCGATCAGGTTTTCGAACCATGGCTTCGTCTGCTTGCATCAGCTCTCAAGGTGAGCAGCTGAAGCATTTACATGCAGATCTGATCAGAGGACTTTGCAAACTGCCGGTATGTTACTACGATGCCCATCGATGAGTGTCTTGGCCTCTCTTCCTAGTAAGTTGTTGGTGGACAGCACGGGTGAACTGTCCCTAGCATTCTGACCTCCAGACCTACCCCTTCGTTCTGCTTTACTACGTCAGTTTTTAGCTTGATGAGCTGCTTTTTGCATCTTCTTTTGAGATACAAGTGGTGGTCATCGCTATTTCGCATGCAAAGCCTGGGAGTCATAGTTCTTCCCTTTACATCGTGTCCTGACATGTCTTCTGTGTCTGCCAACATCGCCATACCGGTTTTCTTTGTTGTTAAAGAGGTTGTAGTTTTCTATCAAAGTGTTCTCCATCAATGATGCGTCTGCTGTTCCTGAGGTTTTGTCTTTTGGGGGTTTTAGCAAAATTCAGTCTATATCGATCACAAAACGCTGCATTTGGGAGAAGTAGGCTGACCTAGACATCATAACAAGTTGCTGTGAACTAGATCCAAGTCTGATGACCTTGGGCAGATCACAACACGTGGACTTCTTTGCTAGGGCGGCTTCAGTTGGCCTCTTATTCTAATGAAAGTTGTCTTGCTTCGTCAAGAATCATCAAAGTCTTCATCCAATCTTCTCAAAGTTAGCGCTAGATCCAAAATTCACGCTTTTTGTGTCCTGGTCTGCCTGCCTGCCTGTAGCTAATTTGAGGTTGGTTTGATTAGATGGTTGGTTTGAGATTGATTTGAGGTTGGTTTGATTTGAGGTTAGTCATCAAGGTTGAAGGGTACAGAAAAGTACCACAGCTGATCTACCAGCTCATACTCTTACTCGGTTCCATTGCAGCTCTGTCTGTCAGCAGAAGCACACACTGTCCCCAGCAGACACATAGTCACCAGCCTCACTTCTCGCTGACATCAGCGCTCGTGCCCTGTCATCTACGAGGAGCAGCATTCGCCTCCACATTCCTCCCCACAGCCTCAGCTTTACAGAGCAGTCCCAATGGAAGAATCAGAGAAAGTCGTTGTCCAAGAGTGCAGAGACGCTTTGCAATTCGTGCTCAAAGTCATGGCGATGAAGTTAGCCCTAACCAACCCCCAACCACAACTGGAACCGCTCTTCTAGACCGTCCAGTAGAGTCCGTAACCACAACGTCGACCGGAAGCGACTTACAGGAGAAGGACAAGGTCGGAAAAGCATTCAATGTGGGCGGGAAGCCTCCGGAAAAGGGCGGGGGCATAGCAGGCTTAGTGGGGTCGGTTAGCGAGAGGGCAGTGTCAAACCTGATCGGTCTACTGTACAAACCAGTGGAAGAGACTAACCCCATTTTGGAGGGGAACTTTGCGCCTGTGAATGAGATCGGCAAGCGAGCAAGGGTGGACGTGATTGAGGGTGCAATTCCGGCCGACTTCCCTGCAGGGGCGTATGTGCGAGTCGGTAAGTGAAAAGCTCATAGTGTGCAACAAAGACAGCACGGACACCGAAGTCAATGTCAGTTCTCAGTTGAAGGCAACCGGTCCCCATTAAGTGCTCCAATTACGCGGTGATTGATGCCGTCAGCATGATGCGCTTTTCCAACTAACTCTGAGGACTTGACAGGTCATCTGCTTCTAGAGGTTAAGGTCTGTTCTTTGTTACTTGTACGGACTGCTAAGCGCTGAAGAGCTTTCTGGAAGAGCAAAAGGGCGATGTCAGAAACAGGTGAAACTGCTTTTTTGTCACGGTCATGAGAGTTGGCTAGCCTGGGTTAATATACTACCTTCCTCATTCTTGGCCGGACAGGTTTTTGATCTCTTACACTCTGCTTAAGGTCTGCCTGACCAGCTTATGTTATTGCTATGGAAGAAAAGTGCCTCGCTTGGCCACAACATACTACTTTTATTGACCCTCTCTCTCCAACGTCGGATCAGGAGCATTCTGAATTCAAAGTCAGCAAGAGTGGCTAGGTGGATCAATCATTGGCCTGATTGCAGAAGACAGAACTTTCATCCACCTTGGTAAAAGCATTTCATGGTCCATTCTAGTGTCTCGAAACTACCCTTCCCATTCTCAAATGTGTGGATCGTCATTAAGATTCACATTAACAAGCTGCCAGAATGATAGTCGGCTAAGGATGTGGACAACTCAGGGAGGATCAATGAAGACTCGACCGCTGGTTCGCAGGTCCCAACCCCTACTTCCCACAGCGCACTCTCAAAAGCCCCTTGGGGCGCACGGCCCATCACTGGTTCGAAGGTGACGGGATGCTCCATGCCACGTCATTCGAAAAGAACGATAGCGAAGAACAAGCGGTCTTCTACAAGAACAAGTACCTTGACACACCGGGGTTGAGGCTTGAGAAGGAGAGGGGGCGGCCGCTGTTTCTGGGGACCGTGGACTGCGATCAAGGCACGCTGATCGCAAACGCGCTGCTGAACCAGGCGCGGTTCGGGGCCGGAAACAAGAACACAGCGAACGTGAGCTCACACACACTGACGTTCTGATCAAGAGCACTCAATTAGCAAACCATTGAGCCAAGAGATTCGCGGCACATACGAACCCTTGGAAACTGCAAACTTACTTATATTTGACTTCAAGATACCTGGTTTTTGTCTTCCCCTTTCTGTTTCCTTTCCTTACAATACAACCTTGCTGCTGACCATTTCAGCAATCGTATGGAACGTCCTCCCTGTAGACCTTTGTCATTTCCAGGCTGGGCCCCCAAACGAATTTTTAGTAACCGGATACCCCACCATATGAATGGTCAGGTATGATACCGATCGTGGTTCTTAGCCTCATGGCGAACTGGTCCGGTGCTCTAGGATCTGTAGACGTGGATTTCCCCTCTCGAAAGCCGCTGCGCTAATTGGTAAAGCTGTGCCACAACAACTCTCCTGAAGTCGCTACAAAAGTAGCACAACTGTAGCTCCCAACTACTCTTGCACATGTTCGGTTGAAACAGGGCATCCATTTCTGCTGCCATCCGTCATAGCATGCGCAAAATTACGAATTCCTTGGTGCAAAATCCTGACACGAATCCCTCCCAATATCTGCTGATTCAATGTCCCCCCCACCTCTAGTTGCAAGACGTTCGTCTGCAGACATTGGTCGTTCTGCATGCCGGAAAGGCGCACGCCGGTTGGAAAAGCTGGCGGCCCTCGACGGTTTTCTCAACATCCGATGTCGTAAAAGAGACCACACAAAGTTTGAGTTTACGATTTCCCAGCTCTAGTTGCAAAGCCTCTGATAGAATGCCTTTCTGTGCAGACGTCCGTCGTTCTGCACGCCAGGACGGAGTACGCCGCTTTAAAGGCAGCTCTTCGATCAGTTTCTCGTTACTGGATTGTGAACCTCCAACCTCCGAAGAAGTACATCAAAAGCAATCCATGTTGCAGTTGCAACTGTCGGTTCGAAAAAAAATCGGTCTGCTGACGGCGGTCGTTTTGCATGCTGGGAGGGTCTCCGCCGCTTGAGAAAGCGGCTCTCCAACGGTTAATTTTGATTACTGGATTCTGCACCGAAACATTAAGAACGAACCCGGGATTTTGCTGAACTTCAGTCGCAAATTGTTGATTTGAAACAACTTTTTATATCCGCAGACGTCCGTCGTTCTGCACTCCGGAAAAGTGTACGCCGCTTGGGAGGGCGGCTCTCCGACGATTTTCTCGTTACCGGACCTCGAAACCCAGGGTTTCCCGGAGTGGTTCGAGGGCTGGAAACGCCCCGTAACCGCTCACCCGAAAGTTGACCCCGTTACAAACGAAATGATGTTCTTTGGGTTCGACGTACCGAAGCCGCACGCGGTCTACGGTGTCCTTTCTCGTGAGCGCAACTCTTCACCACTCAGCTTCTGTTTTGTCGGAATGTCGCCGGGATTCCTATTTTACTTTGTTTCAGATTGAGAATCAATGCTGGTTTAATCTCGCGAAGCCTCCACGCAACCACGGATTTTCGTCTTAAAAAATTCACTGTTCCAAGCTTTGGTGTCACGTTTGTTGCTGCTCTCACCGGGGAATCGACAAGCTTGCCTCTTCGTCAAGCACACGTAAGCACCCTTGCAGGAACACGGACTACTGCGTCTTCTGGTGTTTGACCCCACAGTTTCTAACTCGCTTTGCGCTTCTGGATGCTTCAGAACGACTTCATCAGCGAGAACCTAGATCAACCTGCGTTTTTTGGGTTTATTGTGTTACAGAGTGCCCTTTTGTTGCGATTAATTCAACTCAATAAAAACGTGCTTCGCATCTTTTGACATCCGCTCCGCTTTGTGCAGCGGAAGGAGAGATAGTCCACAAGGTGGACCTGAACTTCGAGCGCGCGACGTTTATGCACGACATGGCTATCACAGAAAAGTAATTGGGAGCCGCAACTTCTATACACTATTGTGTATCTTGTTGATTGGTGATGTCAATCTTGCCATCAGAGGCTCTTGAAAAGTCCGTGTTCTTATGCTCGGTTTGTGTACCTCATGGTTTGTTCGTGAATATCTTCCTCTCAGTGACTTCAAGGAGAACACGTTTGCGTCTGCTTCTCTATTTCGAAATACCCCCAACAACATGCCGGTTGATTTGCAATGCACTTTGGTGCTAGGTCTTGGTCGGTCTTCTCGTGGCTATTGCGCTGGTCACCAGTGCGTTGCGAGCAAGGCAGACGGTTGCATGTTACGCTTCCTAACCGACAACCATACGAGGCTGCAGCGCCGCATAGCTGAGTCCGATCTTGACGGAAAATGACGGAGAATGACGGAAAACAATGTCACGCCCAGCAACGCGTCAGTTGGACTCTGCTTACGTTTTCTACTTTGAATTCAAAGCCGCAGCTCCTCGCGAATCAGCAGATAGGCGCATCTAAGTAAACTACTCTGAATCTGACATGCGTCGTTTTCTCCTTCCGTGCAGGTATACTCTGTTTCTGGATCTGCCTCTGACTTTGAGCACGGAGCGTCTGAAAGAAGGGAAGCCGTGAGTCGGCTGAATCCTCCTGTGCCCTTTCCGTCCCATCTGCTATTTCAGAACAGAAGCGTTGTATCAGCACTTTAGCACAAACACAGACCTAGCAAAACATGTGTGGACTGCGGATGCGCTGTGTTGCTTGTTAGGAATTTTGGGCAGAAGAAAATCGCAGCAGCTTTCCTTCTACTTTCTGGTCTTGAAGATGGCCCCACCAATGGTTCAAAGGTTTTTGGAAGGCAAGCCGTCGCTCACATCGCTAAAGTTCTAACGTCCATTCTAACGTTGACATTACCGCGAACAAACACCCTCGGAACTACCGTCCAGAGTTCTGAATTGGGACTCACCCGCACAGAATTTTAGATGCAGATCATTTCGAAGATCCTGCAAATGGTTTTACCTCGAAACTGAAAGTCGAGTACTTGGAAATCCCGGAAGTCGATCGCGTGCCACTGATCAGAGATGTCTTGGGCGCTAAAAAGCTTCAACGTGTATCTTCAGGTTGATTGACTCCAGTTCTGATCGTCAGCATTCCTAGGGCTTCTAGTCCTCGCTTACGAAGGAAAATTGATGCGCTTGCCAATCACAGAATGTCCTTTCCTTAAAACAAATCATTGCGTCTTTGCAGGCTGATTGATTTCGAGACCGACAGCTTTGCGCGCGTTGGCGTGATTCCCCGCTTTGGGAACCAGGACTCGCTCAAGTGGTTCGACGTACAGGCAGGCTTTGCTTTCCACGTCCTGAACGCTTTCGAGGACGGGGATGAGGTGAGTCTTCTGCTGAGACACGTTTCACTCTTCGGCAAGTTTTGTAAGCTTTTGACAGACCCACATAGATTTGCCGAAGCCTGTTAGCCTTAACCGACCTGGCCAACAAGACTGTTGCAGTATTTGGACCCGAAAGGTTCCGTGGGGGGCAGATCAGTTGGCCAACAATTCCCAGCCCCTCTGAGATATAGGTAGCTGTGGTTGACCTTTCTGTTATTCACTATCGGTACAGGTTGCAAGAAGTGAAGGAATTGAACTCGTGAAGAGCCGATCTGTTGAGATCCCCTTCAAAAAGGAAACATGGTGTTTCACGCTCAGCACTATCACTCGCTGCAAGCGAATGACTGCTTTAGCTTTTGAAATCATTGTGAGAGAAGAGCGCAACTAAATCGCGAGGCGCTGTTTTACCAGTAAAAGCCGGCAACCCCTGACTTTGTTCCGCTCTTGTCCGTTCCGCTCGTCCCCCTCTGTTCGCTCCGGATCAGCGATAGTGACGTTCCGCCTTGCAAGAGAAGGGGGAATTGTCAATCCGCCAGCCGTTCTTGCAGGTGGTTCTCCACGGACAGCGCAGCCGCAGCGTGGGGCTCACTCCGCCCCGGGGGATGACCCCCCAGGACTACTTCCGCCGCGGAATCCGGCCGACCCCGGCGGAATCCGCCGAAGACCCGCTGCTTGACGGCGGACTCGTTAACAACCTGTACGAATGGAGGCTCGATATGCAAACCGGGGAAACCAACGAGCGGATGCTGTCTGACTGGAAAGTGAGCGGGGACTTCCCCCGGGTTAACGAAAACCACCTGGGCCGGAGGACGAAGTATGGATACGTGGCGGTGCATGACATAGAGGCGTGCATTGAAGCAGGTGCGTCATCAAAACCCCTTTACTCGCGCCTGTTGCGTCATTTGTGTGCGATTCAAAGGAGTCCCTGGTCAAGGATTCAGCGGTAAATTGTGTGTCTAGAACGTGTCGAGAATAACAACTGATCCGCCGAGCAGTGATCTACCACGAGTTGATACAATGTATCAATGACGGACAAAGTTGCACAAGGCAGACCTAATCAGAACCTTTGATTATTGTACGAGCGATATTTGTACTCGATGTAAGCGGCAATTTCTGATGTCTCTTGCTTTTCTCGCAATTTTGGCATTTCCGTTCTTGTTATTCTTACTTAAGCTCCTGCTTAAGGTCCATTGTCAGTTGATGGGACACAGACTCAAACAAAGGGAACGTTCATTCACGTCAATCTGGGGACGCGCCGTTGGTTTGTGCAGTCCTTCTCTTCGGACAGCAATTAGGCTGAGTGACAAACCCAGACCCTTTGCTGCGCAGCGCTCCCTCTGTACGGTGGCATTGGGAAGTTTCACATACCAGCAAACGCAAAGGTATGGCCCGCGCCGCCCTCCTGTGGATGTATTCAATAAGTAGAGATCAAAACTTACAGGGAAAATGTGTTAGATGTGTCCGAGTGTCTTCGTTGCTTAGGCCGGCTAACAAACTTTTTTCTTGAAATGTTACGACACATGGTCGAGCGGAGTGTTGGCAATTTACAGAGTTACCGCACTATGAGTAGGGCGACGGATTTTTGATTCTGGAGCGCAGCACCTTGCAAGCTGTCGGCCCATGCTGCGTCCTCTTCTCAAGCTGTCACGCATCGAAATGGCGCAAGTGCCGGCGTTGAATACCCCGAGCAATTTGGGTTTAAACTGTTGCGATCGCCTGTCAAAGACCGTCTCGTCGAACGTGCCTCGAGTGCGGTGCATTTCCGGACGACTCGCTTCGTTTGATTCCACGACAGCCTCTCAGAATGCACCCAGCCTCCTGCGTCTTCTGCAATGTTGCATCTATAGATCTAAAGAAAGAGCCGCGCAAGTAAACGACTCTGTATTTGTTTGTCCCTGTGCTCACAGACTCCAAATCTCGTTATCGTTCATTCAAGCATCAACGTTCTTCTGACGCACTGGCCATTCTAAAACCAGCGTTCTTTTCAAAGTAAGAATCATTCGAACGCCAGCGTTCTAATAACACAGATGTTTATTAACCACTGCGCTTATCAAAACACGAATATCCTTCTGACGCCAATTTGTCGAGTGCAGGAATCAGAGCTGCCCGTGAGGATGGATCTCCACACTTTCGGCCCCGGGAGGTTTGGCGGTGAACCGGTCTTCGTTCCGAGACCCGGGGGAAAGGACGAAGATGACGGCTGGCTGGTGACGTATGTCTATGACGAGAACACCAACGAGTCGGAAGTAAGTTCAGCGTTCAAACCTTTCTTCAGTTCCTGATGACTTTTGCATGCCCGGGGGAAAGGACGAGGCCGATGGCAGGCTGGTGACGTGTGTCTGCGACGAGAACACCAATGAGTCGGAGGGGACTTCAGTGACTAAGCCTTTCCTTATGATTCTGAAATTCTTCTGATGACCGGTGAGAACGGGACCACGGCTGTCTTTGACGAGAGTACAATCGAGTCGGGGTTAGGAACCAGTCTTGATGCTCCTGTCTGTTTCCCGGAGCCGAGCAAAAAGACGAGGACCACGGTTGTCTTTCACGAAAATACGAACGATGCGCTAAACGGCGGCAATTGAGGTTCCATCTCGCAGCGAACAAATCAAAAAGCAATTGTTGGAGCAGGGCCCTTGACTGAAACGTTTAATCGACGGTCCTCGTTTTTGGCTCCATACAAGTGCTGATTTGAGCAATTGTTGTATGAAGTGCACTATGACAACCTTGCTTGGCTAGCTTTATCCCAGCGTTTTTACCACGCATTCCGGGGCCCTGCAGTGCCCAATCAAACGAGCCGGTCGGCTCCAGGTAGTCCTTAATCAGCTTGGAAAAGTCCCTCGTTTTCATCCGGAGCCCGCCAGGCAGGCGAGAAATTACGAGCGCGACCTCAGTAGGCTTCTAAGCATGATGATTTCCTTGTCTCTGTTCCAGATGTACATCATCGACGCAAAGGAGGTGGATAAGGAAGCGCCCACCGCGCGCATCAAGATTCCGCAGCGGATTCCCTATGGGTTCCACGGCCAATGGATTCCCGCGTAAGCATGCATTCGTGTTCGTTTGAAAAATTGCCGACTAGGCTGTACGGATTTTCGGGAAACCTTGGTCGTGTGTTGCAAAGTCGGTGCCACGGTGAAGGGATAGCTGTGTATATAATTCTTCTGCAAAAATTTCTGAAACGATAGGTTGCTAGCTCGATTCTTGTAAGCAAGCGTGTAAGGAGATATTATGTTGGACGATCATCAATTCTTACGGTTAGACTCGTGTTGACTTAGAAGATGCTAGATATGGAAAAGGACGATTGTTAATATGCCACGAGATATCAAGGAGCGCCCACCATTTATCCTCGAGTCTAGCTACCAAGTTGGTCACTGGCCCGCCGGAATACGATCACTATGTTATCGGCATGTTGGATGGCCGTGCACTGACGTGCTAGCTAAAATTTGTAAGTTAGCGGTATATTCAATGATTTGCCGGAAGCTAGCGCCGGCTTATATTTGTACCATCTTACTTGCCAAGTCATTCTGATACAGATCGAAGGTCGCTCAATGGGTGATATGAGTACGTTGTTCGGAGCGAACTAGCTACTAGCTAACTAGGCTACACCTTATATACCAATATGTCGATCAGTTTCATGCCGTGCATGCAGAGCAATCATTTCAGTCATTCGTTGTATATCGGCGGTACATGACGTCATTTGGTGATCCTCGTAAGTCAGTTCAGCTGGTGGATTGAGTGATGCTCTCAGAGATGTACAAGGATATCCTGACCTATATTGCCTGATATACTCCAGGCTCAGCCAATCACAGTGACCACGCACGTCGGACGCAACGTACGGTCGGGCAAAGCCAAGCAGATTGTCGGACTTTGACAATATTTGCATTTGCGGCAGATATCACTCAGTGGGCTTGGCTCGGTTTCGTTCCCGGCCAGTAACCGCCCAAGCAAACCACAAGCTGGCCTCCGAGTCGCATCAAAACCCTCGTATTAAGGGTTTGGCCATAACAGATAAGTACACGGCCGCCTTTAAAAAGCAGGATCAGTGCGAGACAGTATGCGACGTACAACGTCCACCGGTACGTATCAGGTTTGACGCAAACCCTAGTAAGTCGGAATCCTGGTTACGGTCATTCGTGGTCGTTCAAGATGGTCGAACTCGCTGTTGCCCGCAGAGCGACCAAATCATCAGGCTTCCTTTCAAAATTATTTCTAGTACTAAACTAGTATAGTGTCCAAAGCCGGATTCATTGACTCAGTAAAGAATGGAATTGAGCTGCGTATGATTCGCATAGCGCTAAAGCCGGGGTGCACTGCATGAATGCATGCACCGATGACTACAAAGTTTCCGGACTCAATGATATTGTACAGCTAAGTTGAAGGGTGTCCTTTGTATGGCTCTTCTTTACCGCGCACCTGCCGCTAACTAAACTGCCGTGCTTTAAGGTACTCATTCAAAGCCATTGGGTGATCGGTCATGATGGCAGAGATGCCGTCGAGACTGAGTGCATAGTCCCAATCCACAGGTCGATTGAGGATGAAGACCATAACCGGGATCCCGTGCTCCTGTCACGAATGAGAAACGAGCTTATCACCCGGGTCTCAAGGTTTCTTCTTTGTAATTTTCAGGAAAATGTAAAGAAAACCCGTATGATACGACCACTGGGGAAGTGGACGACATGGAGCGCGACATCACTTTCAAGCTTGGCTCAGATCGAGATGATGGGGGCTCCTTTGGATGTCAAAATGGCAACACGGGCAGATTGAGTTAGTATGGAGGAGGAGCACGTGATCCCTTATTTGCGGAAATCAAAGCTATCCTAGAAGGGGGTAGAAATCCCATCCCGAATCACGAGGACTCGTTCTAAGCCCAAAAGGACATCCAAAATGTTCAAAGCCCGGTACATTAAGAGGAATGAAAGACCCACCTGGAGCCAGGAGAACAACTTTGGTCGCGGTAAGAGCCACTTCATGAAGTTGCAAAACTGGAAGAACGCGAAGACCCCGAGCTTTTGTTTCCAGGTACTTTGGGGCGGGGGTTTGGCGAGGCCGATATGCCAATCGGTTGTGAACAACGGAATGTTGAACACAACGTTTTGGGCCGGGGGTCGCCACCAGAACAGGAGGCCGAACATGTAGTAAGCGTACAGCTTGAATACCTGGGAAGTGAAGGCCGAGTCTATGAAAGTCTTGAATAATGAACCGGCCTATTCTCAATCCGCAGTAGACTGAGTGACCTACCATTGTTTTCTAAACAAGTTGCTCGGAAGAAAATATGAGTGCAAAGCCACGCGCGCGTCCCAGGTTTTGTAAACATACATTGCCAGGGGCAAATAAGATGCCTTGCAGCTTGACAGGATTATGGGCTGATTGAGGGTTGTAACGATGCTGCAGGGCTTATTCTAAACTTGTATATGTGCCTGTTGACTACATTATGTTTTCTGCCACAGCTAAAAGTGATTCTGGATACGTTTGGAGGTGGGCGGACGTTATCACGCCCCTTTCTCATCGCCTGTGCTCCCAATTGGCCAGAAATGAGCTTCTAGACCCAAACTTGAGCCAACGCCTAACATCCATCAAAGACAGGAAGAACAAAGATAATTTCTGGCTTTCTCAGGGCAGAGGCAAGGCTGAGCGAACGCGTATGTCAACAAGAGACGAGTCAATGTGCAGCCACCCAAGCGTCACCCACTTCGTGTTGTACAATTTCAAGGCTTTAGATCCAATTATCAAAACCCCAGAAGTCCGCTGAAAAGTGGTCAGGTCTTACCTCACTTAAGGGCAGTATCGTGGACACCCCCGGTAAAGCCTCTTTGCAAAACTGCCACGTTTTCGTGCTGAAAGGGTTCCCCAGTATCACCGTCTCAGAGCGACCAGCATCTTTGATCATGTGCACCACTTTCTCGACCAGTTCCTGCACACGGAGAGGGTGCGTCCAATCATTCATGCTCTTCTTAACATGTTCCTTTTACAATCTGCGAGGGCAAGGTAAAAAGTCACTCTTATCATACTTGAGCACTGTCACTCCAAAACCTTGAGACACTCTCTTTTTTCATGTTGAGCGTCGAAGTACTTGCTTTCTTAGCCCGTCGGGTTTGGACTCAACTTCGACCCGAAGCAATCTCACCCTGACGTTTCCGTATTGGGGACACTGACCCGAATTAATTGCTTGTTCCGATGCGAAAAAACGGACTTTTAGTTACCGTGGTTGATTTTTCTTGTGTATCTGTCTCCCACACACTTCAAGATGAACGTTTATGGCCTCGTACGGAGTTTGTGGGGGGCGAGTGACGCGTCTGTTTGGAGCAGATTTCAACGGCATATGCTACGCTCATGCTAAGATGCCATTCAAAACGCGGGTTCGCAAGAGCTTCCGTGAACGACAGACACGGGTAGCCCATGGCTAATCAGGTACAGGGGAGCCGAATCAAGGTCGATACATCCCTCACTTAAACCAAAGCCTTAAGAGGTGTTGAACACACTAGTCCTGAGCAATCTTGAGCAAACCGTCAAAACAGGTGCTCAGTCAACTTTGAAACTGAGGAAAAACTAGACCCGGTACCCTCAACATGTGAACAACATTGAGAGACTTGCGACCTGAACTAGTACCCGGTTTCTGTTAATCGAGACCTTTTGCGTCTCTTTTGATGGATGGTGCAAACGTCAGGCAGATCATGAAGAGCGACGAATTGATTGGGGCTCACCTTGTCTTCTTCCCAGAACTCTAGAAGGAGAAACGTATCAGGTGCCGCCTGTCAGAAAGCGTCGCAGGTACTTATAAGCATCTCTTCGCGTTCATAACAAATCCGCATCGACGATGAATTGCAATCTCATTGAACTTGGTTGGATTGCGCTGAACAACACACTGAATCGAGTTCTCATTCTGCACCTAGTCTCCGATGCGAAGCAAGACGGAGGCCAAGTGGACAGCTTCGACGAACCTGAAACCTCTGATGCGGAAAAGCGAGGTCCCGAGCCTACGGCTTCATTGACGTGGAGGAACTGCTCTGGAGTTATGTCGCACAGATACGATACACAGGAATTTTGCCTCGGCTGAAAGCCGCCCATGAGGAGGGAGCAGCCAGGAATACATGGAAATAGATACGACACAGATACTTACGCAGTCTCTTAACCTGGCTCCAAGCAGCCCAAGTTGCACACTAGTTGATCAAATGCTGTGCAGGGAGCACCCAGGAGAACTTAGACACATGTTTCACCATATGATACACGGTTTCTCACCGCAGACCGGAGAGGTAAGTGGCACAGAACCACTTGAGGATGTAGATCAGGCAACCAAGAAATTTAAACGAGGGATATGACTGACCTCGTCCAACAGCTCCTTCACAAGAGCGATGCGCCGTCCGTATTTGAAAGCCGTGGTGTGAATCGGCTTGGCTCCGCCAATCGCTAGACATGGCTCGAGCACTTCTGGAAACGGAGGCAGATCGGCCACTGTCGGAATCTGCAGCCAGAGTGCGCCTGATATGGGAAATGTTGCTCTAGTCATCAACTCTGTTTGAAGACCAAATGCAGAGAGCGCTCATGTCAGATAAGCACGGTCCAGAGTTGGATATCAGCGCCGGCGGTTAACGTTGTGCCTGAATGCATCAAGACTGGAGCCTAACAGAAATTTCTGGTCATGTACGTGAACTGAGTTTTCTTACTGCATTCTCGGAGCCATCAGATCACTGGGACAAGCGGAGTCCAGACTCGGCATTCAGCGCTGGCGGTTTCTGTAACGTCTGAATGTTTTCAAATCCAGAAGTGGAGAAGACACCAGGCAAGTCCTGATGGATCACACTTCTCGGAGTCAGACTGCGAATCTCTTCTCCCATTAAGGATGGTATTTCCGTGTTGAGTGTTTATGTTTCAAGCTACTCACCTTCTTCACCTCCAAGTCCATACCGTGCGTTCGCTTGAGGCTTGGATCATGGTAGACAATAGGTGTGCCGTCAGCAATTTGGAGAATGTCCATTTGCATCAACTGCAAACAACAAACACAAGTTTGGCTTAAGGTGTCTGAAGAGACCTTATCTGACACGCTTCTCTACGAATGAGGGGTCCAGGAACACATTTTTAATTTACTTACATCTGAATGCTTGTGTTTAGCATCCTCTGCATTTATTGAAGTCTAGAGCAATGCCTCTCCATGTACAACCTCGTTTCGACCCGAAGGATATTTTTCCGATCATCAGTCTTTGATGATTGCATCCAGTATTCTATGGTGAATCTGAGGGAAGCAAGAAGCAAGCAAGCCTCACCAGTGTGCCAAGGCATGGGGAACTGTTTCGCCCCATGTCCTACCAATAAACGCGCTTCGTCTTGTTCTCAGCGTCCCAAGGGCGAATGCTAGTATGCTTCCATCTTTATGCACAGCATATGCTAAGTCATGTGGAGTCCCCAACAAATCAACCATTGGGGTATGATTATCACCCATCGTAGCGGCTCTCTCGCCAAACAGGTGAACAACAAACCCAGCTTTGCTATCCCCACCTTCGAACCCGCCTTCTCTGCATGTCTGAGCGCGGCCAGAGTATTCTCCGGCGCCTCATTTCCTCCAGCTCTGTGCGACACCACAATGGGGGCCCCAGGGCGGGCCTTGTTGAACGGTGGTGGTAGCGGGTTTCTCTCAAGGGGTCCCATTCTAGTTGCTGACAAAGCTGTGTGGCAGGTCTCTACAGAGAATGCAGATTGGGGTCCTTTCTTTAGAAGGGCTTGGCAGATTGCAATGCCTGCTATCTAAGTGTTGTAATTGTCTCTGGGGGTTGGAGAATTCCAGATACTGCATTATGCTTGATACATCAAGGGCGCTAGAAGCCAGCATGAACACACAAGCTTCTGACGATGTTTCTCAGAAGTGGACCTTACAAACATAAGACACGATTTACGTGGTGCTGAAAGGGCAAGACGGGATGAGTTAGTTTCTTTGAACTGCTGTACTGGATTGCTAAGACAACAGGAAGCCTTCATTGAGCAGCCTGGGTGTCTTGGCATGCCCCTCATGACCCTCAATGAGCAGCAATGGGGTTGAGAGGAGACTTACAACAGACCGCAGGCAACAATTACAGGATGCAAACAAAGAGCAGACCACGAACGACAATGAACGAGTCGCCATTTCAAGAAATTGCAACTTACCTTGAAGGGGTGTATGTTTGCAGAAGCCGTTCGAGTCTCCTCTGCATTTGCTCAAAATGCGAAGCACTGTACGGCTGGGTTTTCTATCTGCACGGTTTACAAAGCTTTCCAAGCGGACCACTAGCTTGTGATACCAGGATCCTAAAGTGGGCGGCTTATCAAAGCGATGGGACAAAAATCAGAGGGCTAGTAATGCAAGCCACGTTGCAGGTCTGCCCTCCATTGCACTAGACGGGACTTGAAAGCACTCCCCCTGCAGCTGATCAATTGTGCAAGTTAACCAACTTTTGTTGGGTTACGTCAGACGAGGCGACATAGATGCGAGTTTTTGGGCGGTTCACATTTCTGCCCCGCTTGCACAGCCGAGCATGAAGCCGCATTTACCGAGCGGAATGAAACCGCACGGTCGAAACGGCGGTGATAACCGTGGTTGACTAACCTAAGATAAACCCGACTCGATTTACTTGGTCTTTCTTCCAAGTTCCACACAGCCTCAGAGTCAGAGTCACAGTCCATTCACTTGGAGTTGAAGTAGCCTTGAAGGAAGCTGGAAGGGCGAGGCAATTGTGTTCTCCTGCATTGTCGCTGAAAATCATGCAGAACTTGAGGAGGCGCATTCAATCGTCACGAGTGACAGGTAAGGAGCACCCTGGTCATTTGCCTGTAATGGCATTTTCCACAGAGTGAGTCTTGTGGATAATTGAGCGAAGTTCCGCGTGCATCCAAAGTGGATCCTTGATTTCATCACTTTCTGACTGTCTTATAGAATTGCGCTCCTCTCGAAGGATGGCGTGAGTCTCTCACAATTTCAAGCTCGGAAAATCCGTCATGGTAGAAGTGTCTGCTAACCTGACGGCCATGGAAGGCCGGAAGGTGCTATTCAACCTTTGCATGGCAGCTTGCAGTCCAGTCTATCACGATGCTTGGTGGTTCTTGTCCGCATTGCTGATGTACTGTAAGGCTTGTTAATATCAATTTCTACGATTGAGGTTGTGACGATGCTTTTGGTGAACCCGTTATCGTGAGTGTCTGATACCAAACGCGAACTCTGTCATGCCTTTTCTTTGTTCTGGTTCGTGCATTCTTGTTGGTATCCTTATTCAAGTGCTTGAGAAATCCTTTGGTGTTCTTCAACTTGCGGAGTGCCTGAAGCTGAACCATACACTTCCTTACCTTGTACCTTGTGCTCTACAGGTGTGGCAACTGCAGCAGTCTGATTTCATCCTATATCAACCCTTAGTTTGGCGCGTGAAGAATCGTACAGAGTGCAAATAAAATGGACAAGGAAGAGAAAGTAGGAGACAGAGAAAGAGACGGGACATGCAAAAATACCAAAACTGAGAAGAATGGATCCAATGGCAGTCATGATGACAGGCGGGCAACGGTTGCTGGACAGGGGAAGGATGGAGAAGAGAAGGAGCGGGGTCATGATGAGGTCAGGGGGAGGGGCAATAAGTTGCGACGGCGGCAGAGAAGTGATTCTTCCGAGAGTGAGAGCATGAGCGATACAGAAAGCGATCTAAGCAGGGAAAGGAGACGGAAAGGTAGCAATCGTAGGCAAGGGAAGAGGGAGGGAGAGAAGCGGAAGGGGCAGAATGGGAGGAAGAGAAACAAGGAGCGAGAAGCAAGCAGAAGCGGGAGCGAAAGTGACGCAGATAGCGGCGCTAGCAGTTTCTCCTGCAGCGGCTCGGAGGCAGAACATGCAAGGAAGAAACGGAAGGGTGGAGAGAGTCACTCAGTGAGAAAGGGAAAGGGCCAATCAAACGGCCTTGACAAGAAGCGAGTTGGCAGTGACTCTGGAGATAGTGAAGGCAGTGCGTTGGATGGAAGGAAGCGAAAAGAACGTTCTAGGGACCTAACAAGTCGAAGCGCTCGAATGAGGGACCGGTCGAGCAAGAACAGTAGGAAGAGGAGACGTAAAGATGTGAGCAAATCGGAAAGCAGCAGTGAAAGTGAGGATCGGAGAGAGCGGAAGAGGCGAAAACGGAGGAAGAGAGAGGAACGAGAGGAGAGAAAGAAGCGGAAGCGAAAAGACAAGAAGGAGAAATGGGGACAAGAGGGCGAAAGAGAAGCGGCAGAACTAGAGGGGGCTGGAAATGAAGTGCAGCCAGAAAAGCCGGGCCCCAACAGCCAGCAGGAGGTCCGTGTTGATCTTTTGCTGGCTGACTCTGAAGCTTCTGAATGTAAATTTTTAACCTTTTCTGATTGGGGTGAAGTTGCTTATCGGTATCTTGAAGGCATGCACCGCTTGGATTGGAGGCATGCATTGGGAACAGCATACTCCGTCCAAGTGGCAGAGGCTGTGGACAAGGGAAAGGTGCAGCATGTGACAGGATCATGATGTGGCAGCGGATCTCATCTCACTTCATGCAAGCCTCTGCGCGAGGAGCAGATCGGAGTTCCCATTAGGAAGGTTGAAGGGCACCTTTTTCTTTGCAGCCTTAGAGCAGCATGACGAGTCCGATGCTGATGTGGCTGTCACAGGCTTCTTGAAACCAACGTTTTTGTGTACCTCAGACTGTGCTTCTAACACAGTGAATAGGTCCAAAGTTAACAAGGCCCGCTCAGGAGAGTTAGATCAACATGTCTGCAGATTGAACTGACTGTGAATCAGAGCAAAGCAACCCCTCCTCCAGTCCGATTGTGGGAGTATTACAAGCTCCTGGTGAGACTATATTATGACTTTGGTAGCGTTTCTGCAGGCTGCTAGACGGGCTGCAGAGGAAACAAAGCGCGCAATGCGTCAGAACGCTGAGGTGGCGCGGGTGCGGCTGGCGGGGGAGGTCGAGCAAGCGCGTGCTCAGCAGATGGCGCTGCAGAACCAGTTTGGGGCGGTGGATCAGCGGGCAGTCAAGAAGCTGAATGCAGAGAAGCGGGTTAGTGTGCTGACCCCGTTCTTAGTCTCCTTCGTAAGCTTCACCTCTTTATCATGTGGTAAAGGCAATGAGTGCAGCCAATTTGCACCATCTCTATATCAGTCTATTACAAATCTACACTCATGAGGCTCTGGGGCCACAGGAGAACGAACAAAGGTGGGTTAGTGGGTTGGCCTCTCTACTTCAGTGGTGGATAGTTGCTGTGCAGTGCAACTGACTGTTCCTGGTAACCCCTATGTTTGGTCTGTCCTGGTGACTGCAAGCGACTCGGCCTCCTCGTTGTCACATCTGACAACTCCCGGCCTTTTTATGTTCGGGTCTTCACAAAATGATAGTGCGAACAGAAGCCAGAGCTAGGTGTCCAAAGCAGCTCTTTGCACCTATGGTATGGCGTGCACGTTTGACCAAGTCGAACCCTACAACCAAACAAACGTCGGTATAATCACTCAATGGATCCGGACGTCTTTCTCGCCGTTGCAGAAACTGAAGAGCATGCTGAAAGCGAGCCACAAGCTGGAGGCCCTGGAAGCGAAGGAGGCGGCGCGCATGGACGCCTTCAGAGTCGCGGTGAGCTGAACGGTTCGTCATTCGCTTTTCGCGGGTCTTGCTTCTTCTTTCTTTGGCTCTGCGGCCACTTCGGGTCGAAGCTTCAATCGAATCTGTTTCCTGAGACTTGCATAGTTCGTATGAAGTCCACAGGTCGCGTTTGTATTTGACATGCTGCTGGCACCAAGAACGTCGACCGAGGCACGGTAATTCCAAAGCTCGAGGTCCCCTATGAAGCGTAAAGTGGGATGCGTGGTTGTTCTGGTTGAGTGTGCTCTTTCTGCTCCTGACATGTCGTTGGCATCAAGATTCGTAAGCGCAAGGAACGTTGTCGAGGCTTTGAAATTTATTTTTGCACCTAGCAATTGAACTGCTCAAAGCGAAAAGACCAAGTGTCTCGTTCACGAGGAACACTTTGTATTTGCACCCGGTTACGCAAAACAAAGTCTTGTCAATTGGGTGCCCCAACTGCCCCGGCTGTTCGCTTTGTTGATTTTCTTGCAAGCGGTTTCCGCTGCAGCTTTCGCTTGCAAGCGAGCCGTTCTTTTGAATAAAAAGTGTCCGAACAACGAGTGTGTTGGCAATGACGACGCATGCAACGAGCCCTGTGGCTCACTGCCCTCTGCCATGAGGAAGCCACGCAATTATTCACAATGCCCTACTTTGCAGCGCGATGTATTGTACGAGTCCCACTGTTGGCTGCATTCTTGACTTCCAGTGGGAGAGTGCCACGGCATGCCTGTGTGCTCTTACCTCACAGGCTGGATCCATTATCAAACATATGGACGTTTCTGGGGTGATTACGGAATGTCGCTCTCGCTTGACCACGACGAGAAGGAGCTTCGTAGGCACAATGCGTAGGGAAAATGGTTTTTGGCCTCGCTGAGCTTGCAGCCTCGTTTGGCGAGGTGTAAGGAAAAAGTGGAGATTCCTGGCTATGAGAATTTCAAGCTTGGGAATCTTTTCCGCTCAACGACAAGGGAGGTTTCTGATGCCAGCAGTGCCAAGTCGAGCATCGCGTGCCCTTCAAAAATACTGACCGTCTTTTGGTGTTTTTTCGCCTTCTCCGTTGCTTGTGTCTTGATTTGGTGGAGCCGCCTGGTGAGAAACCCTGGTTGAGAAAGCTGGTGAAAATTGGAAAGTCGGAAAGACGTAGCCATGATCTGTAAGTGGGGTCATCTCAGACATTCCTCTTGATCTGATATGATGCTATCCCGAAGGCGTGGTCACGAGCCTGAGACGAAAAACGAAGACTGAAATGCTTCCGTCAGATGGCCTTCCTTCGTTGCCCAATCCTCCGTCGCGTGCTCAAAAACTTCTGCCTCCAAATGTGAGAAGTAAAGTACCAGACACTCGCTGAATCTTGCTCAATCCAGACTTTGGACTGTGCACTTGTCCGTGCGGACGTCTCTGAGTTCTCCCTGAAAACCAAACTGTTAAGAACATCCTTCCCTTGACGTCGAGACCAGGATGGAAGCCACGTTGTTTGTGCGTCATCTTCTCATTCGGTTGTGAGCACGGTCTTGCCAGAGCGAGAATCTACGATTCTTATCCACTGCCATGCACAAGTCAGACACGAACTCGTATACCAGATCCTCGATTTTAGCCAACGTTCAAAAATGGCGGTAGAAGTGCGGCAGCTCAGACCTTTGGTGATGATGGCACATCGACACGGGACGATAGCCCAATCGTGTAGTACGTCCAGACGCCATCGAAGCCAACGTTCGTTCTTTTGGACTAGGAGCCGCTGAAAAAGGACGTCGAAATGGATTCAGAATCTGTGCCGCCACACTGTGTGTCTTTTGCGACCACGTTTGCTGACGCCCTCTTTCGGGGTCACCCATGGAACCTGGAAGCGGCGGATCCCTGTTTCTGAACCTTGCGTACTCTTCCACCGAACACAAGATTTTGCCGACCTGTTGCAGTCTGTTTCTCTCTGGTCTGTCATTGCTCCTGTTTCTTATCTGCGGATGCCGTGCTCCTTATGCACGGGCATATCGACACTTGACTGGCTCGAATCCTTGCTTGGCGTATGTAGCTGGACCAAGTTTGGTTTCGAGATATTGTAGTTCTGCCGTTTCATTGCCCGTTGTGGTCTACGAGCATGGTAAAGGAAAATTCTTCTTGCTACGATCTATGTTTACGTCGCTCCTCTTTGCTGATCACTGCGTGATGATTGTTCTGCCCTTTGCTTGCTGCTTTTTGTGTGAAGCCCTTAAAGTTTGCTTGCTTCCAAGCACTATTTCTTGCCTACCCGTGATCCTCGTCTATGATTGAGGAGAAAGCTTCTTCTGAAGACGTGTAATCATGAATGGTAGCATTGAAGTCTGATATGATGTGGCAGTGATGATGCACCACCTATGGGTGGAACCCAACAGGGATTTCCGCAGAGTTTTGATGCCATAAGACACTCAACAGTTCTGGCTCAATCAATTTCGGTTAGAAGTAGAACTGGACAAAACTCAGCCAACCATAAGTCTGATCTTCCAGATCTGAACACAAATTGCATTGCAATTTCACTCGCAAATCACGCACTTGTCTTTTCCCGAACTAGATGCTTTCCAAGCAATGGTCAGATTTTTCAAAACGCGTCGCTTTGGCTTGTTGTAAAATTTGCACGTCTTTTTGAAGTACACCCATACCAGTAGAGAACACCCCGAAGTTTTCTTGATTGTTCAACATCAGCGGGAACCCGGCCGCTCAAACAACGGTCACAGCTTACATTCTGTCGTCCCTTCCTGATGCCCGACCGTTTGGACCAGTCTTCGTTTCACCCCACCCGCTCAGAAACGGGCTTCATTCCCAGGTCAACATAACACCCGGATCACTGATTAGTGCTCTGCCTGCAGATGGGTCTTCCCACTGCAGAAGCCCAGCGACAGGCCGAGTGGCGCGCCGAGGCGACGCAGCAGGCCGCGCTGATGCAGGCCACGTCAGCACAGGAGCCGCCAACGCCGCGGAGAACTTTGGGGCCGCAGCTGCCGAGCAGCAAGCCCAACAAGGTAAGGATCTTTGCGGTTCAGATTTACAGCCGGTAGTGTTTGGGGAATGTGGGTTTGGGTCGGCGTTTTGGGGAAGCAGAAACCTTTCCAAGCCAAAGCGAAACCGCTCACGTCACTCTTTGGAGCAGTGTGTTCCTTCAGGTAATGCTCGAAAGACTGAGCTTGAGGTTAGGTCTTAGGGTCCATTGCTTCAGTTCAGAGCTCCGCTTTTGACTCCAGGATTGTTCATCGACGGCTACCCCATCGGTAGTACGTCTTGCGTCGACCAGGAAAGTTGACATGAGCGCCAGCGTGCAATTTTCTTTGGTGTCAGGAGTTCGTCTTCTCGTAGGACTCCAGCAGGCTTCAACGTGCCAGCGACCAGTTCCGCAAATGGTGCTCTTCGGGTTCGCTTTGAAAGCCCTGACATTGCAGCGAGCAATCGGGCAGATTATGCTCTTCAGATTCTTCGACAATCAATTGGATTGAGTCATCTGTCGAAGGGTCGACTTACCACCCCAGTCCTTGGAGGGGATTTGCTTCCATTTTCCAGAGTTTCCGTCTGGTCTCCGCTCCTCGTCCGATGAGAGTTGGAATCATAAAGCAATAAACTAGCGCGAGGACGCTGGTTAGCTTGCGAGGTTGTTATTGAACACTTGCGTATCTCGTGCCTTCCTGCAGGCAACGCAATAGGGGTCCAGCTCGCCTTCGGAGTCGCATACTTGTTGGCGCCTCGCTTGTGGTCTTCCATTGGTTTTGAAGGTGAGGAGCACTGTCTTGTTGTTTGTAGATCCAGCTGTGCTTTTCTTCAATCCCACCGTCCTTTGGTACAATTGCTCGCCTCCCCGTCACGATCTTGCGGTCAATTTCGGCGTTGAGAGTCCTGCCTCCAGGAAGCTTCCTTGCAATGAGCACATTTTGCACCGAGCCCCGCTGGACGTGTACAACTTACAAAATGTGACATCTTTCCTGCATGTTTCAATGCACAAAAAAGTGTTTTCTAAAGCATTGCATACAGGAGATGTGTCTTTCTGGGTATTGCGCAAGACCATAACATGTTTGAGCTGGCCCCTGGTCGGGGCTTTGCACGCAACCGGGAGTTTCATGCCTGCAAATCAAGCGTAGCCTGACTCTGTCAAACCCGGCACCTTCTTCTCCTTCAGGCAGTCGAAGGTTGCCGACGGAAAGCAGCAGCAAGTTTCGCTAGCGTTTCAGATGAGCAGTGCCGGTTTCGGTGGTGTCTAGCGAACGTACCGGTAGCGATCATTCAGTACGGTAAAAAGCTCGAGAGCAAAGCTCAAGAACTTGTGTTCGAGTTATTCGAGCTCCTCCTTTGTTCCTAAACCCCTTAGCTCTTCAAATTTCTTTGTGAGCTCGAAGAGGTCATCCGTGCTTGCACTTCTTCATTTTGTATCAACTGCCCGTCCAATCAATCCGTCCGTGTCTGCTTTGATAGACTACCGGCATGTTGCTTTATCATGATGGATGTTTGTCAGACGCGTTGCTCCGAAACTGCGGAGATGGTTCTGAATGCGCATTCTGTTGGCTCTGTTTGATGCTGTGTTGGCTGTCTCGCATGGCCCTTTCTGCGTGTTGGTTCGTCGGTGGTTAATCAGTTGGCGACTGCAGATCGTTTTTTGCTGTTTCGCGCAAGCTAAAGATTCTTGTGCCACCGCAAAGGCGTTTGGGACTAAGCGTATTTCCATTTGCGTACGCAATCCGAGCTTGCATTGAAGCTGGCGGCTGTCGTAGGTGGCTGTGAGGACAAACTTTTCTGGGATGCTCGCAATTATGGCTTCGTCCTCGTTCCGAGGCCAGGACGGTCCTTGCTTGGACTGCCAACGCAGTAATTTTTGTCCTGTCCTCGTGATTGTCTGTGGGTCATACTTGTCTTGCATTCGAAACGCCTTCACCATAACGAGGCCTGGTTGCAGCGTGTTCTGGTGCCAATAGGCGGACTTTTGAAAGCTCGAACAGGAAAAACGTGTGGCGAGATTTGAGATTGTACTTGACTTTCATATTTGAACATCGTAGGGACCTTAAAGCAGCACTCAAACTCAAGACCAAAGCTGGCTTGAAAAGTCCCCAGTGTGGTTCAGGAGCTAATGATTACAGAGGGTGGTCATTGTAGTAAGCATTTGCCATGGTTGAGAGCAGACAAAACGGGCTGCATTGCAAACAGTGTCACATTTATCTAGGGGTTCCCCTCACATTCTCAACTGTATCGGCAGACCAAGAATGGCTGCTACCACTAGTACCACGACTGAGAGGCTTTTCATGATGGAGAACGGTGACAACTGATGGAAAGGTCTGCGAGACTGGACAAAAAGAATAAAGGTAGACATTTTCTATGATCAAGAGGAAACTGCATAGTAGAGCTTGCCGCATTTGTGGCCATGTAATGTTTTTGCAGGAAGCTCATTGAGATGTTGACATAACAGGTGTGAATACAACGTCTGTGAATCTCGACTCTAAGATTTCAGAGAGACACCCTAGAGTTGGCACCCACTTCCCTGCTTTCCATTCCCAAACCTCTGAATTCCAAACCTCTGAATTACACAACCTCTGGAGAATCCCGCTCCCTCTTCTCTTGTTGGACAGAATGGTGCAGAGCTGCTCAGTAACTGACGACATGTCGACACTAGCGCCCCCCTTTAAGCCAACATGAAGAGCTGACCACAAACGCTAAGAATGATTCGCCTGTATAGGTCTTCCCGAGGGGCACACAGAAGGCACCGCCAGCTTTTGTTTGCAAGAATCTTACCTTTCAACTTACTTAGCTTCCGGTGGGCTCAAGGGCAATAGAACACTCCCCAATGAGTCCGGATGGACAGAGCATAAGAAGGGCACAACTGGCCAATGGCCAAAGCCTATAAAATCTCACCATCCTTGCGCCCCTCATCCGTGTTGCTGCCATCCCAAAAGAACGGATAATGCACTCCGCTGGGAAGAAGCTCCGGATCAGGCAACGATCTCCAAACCGCATCCTCGCTGAAGAGCCCACAAGACAGTTGAACCGCGAGGCGCGAACAGAAGTTGTCCGGAGCCTTTTCTGGGTCCGGATGAAACCAGTTCACTCTGCCATTCAATTTAGGCTGAGCGAATGTGCCGTGAATGACGAGAACGTAGTGCGTTTCGTCAGCGGGGCTTGCATTGTTCGTGCGCACTGGAGTGCCGAGGGGAAGCAGTAGGCGCTCGACGTCGACCACAATCGCGTGCTCGTTCACCAGATCGCATTCGCCGGTGATGGGCTCTGAGTTTATGCGCTGGATTGCTTCATCGCTCGTAATTTCCCTCTTCGCTGCTGCCATTGCTGCGGCAGCTTTAGACAGAAGTCGCATTCCCCTGAAGTAGACACTCGCCTGAGCGCTCGATCATGTTTTCAACCAGGACAAGCTAATACCGTCAGCGTGGTAGGTATACCGGCGGCGGTAGTGCCAAGTGGCTATGATCGAAATGGCAAACCGCTGTTCGGTTGTGAATGCTCGGTTTTGAACTTTTAGGCTGTAGCGGGGCGCGGCGCAGGTCAAGGCGGGGGATTTTATTCCAAGGTGTCCAAGGCACATTCCTGGCGCTATTAAATGCTGGCGACCTTAATTTAGCTTGTTTTCACGCGGTTTAGCTTTGGGTTAGATCTCATCAATAGCCATGTTTTTTGTCTCGGTTTACCGACGAAGTTGTACTGAGCTGTTGCAATCGACCTCGGGGTTTCAGAAAAGGGGGAAGTGGCGATGCAGACTAGATCACTCTATTAAGGCCTGGTTCGGCCCGTCGAAAGCCACTTTCAGTGGTTCGAAACCTGCAATCGCAGACTTCAGTTTTCGACGGTTTTTGAGGTTCGATGCTTCGGAAAACTTTTTTTTTGGCCGTAAACCCTGAACCCCTGCACGTGCCTCAGGCTGCCCGTTCGAAGCCGCGACCCAGTACTCGCGGCCGGCAGAGCGGCGGCCCGGCCAGCCTGCGCTGAATAGTACATCGAGACGGTCAAGCCGGACACCGATACTTAATATGTTGAATACCAGTATACCGTATGCTTTAGGTTAGGGTTTTTAGTTTGGCTGCTCGGGGTCTACTAATATTAGGGCACATGGCTCTTAGTGCACAGTGACAAGAGTTACCAATTAGTATGACATGTTAGGGACGTCGCAGTGTAAGCCATTGGTCAAGCAGTTTGGTTAAGCGCAGCCGGACCGTGTGACTCGGAGGACTGGTTAGAGTGTCTGGTGACATTGTAACTATTTCACTGAGTAAAGTTGTTGTTCCGGCCGTTATAACGGGCATCTTCGTCTGTGAGCGAGATACATTAGCAGTGATTTGACTCAATTTAGACGTTCGAACCGCAGCTGCAAGGTGTCTCGTTGGGTACACAGGCTGAAGTATTCAAGCACGATGCCGGGACGGGCTCAGCTTGATTTAGTATGTGCACCTATCTATGTGCAGCGCTAGCTCATGCACCTATCTTAGGTACCAGTTATAACCGTTCATCATTGCACATCATGGAGGAATACTGCTGGATTGTATGCATGCAATTAAAGCATCAAGTTTGTGGCATAGATATTTTAAGCAACTTAACTGCCAAGACTTGCGTGCCCGGGACGTCTGCAATAGCTCGACATCATTTTATATGCATCCTGCGGACCGCATTATTATGTATAATAATTGTAATTCAGGATTAGTGCCAAAGTACGATTCCGCTGACCATGCAGAGCCTGAGCAATGTCTGAAGTAAGGATCACCGAGTCACCAGGCTACCCCATTACTGAACCCGTCATGCAAGCATGCACCAGGCCGTGCGGCGGCTAAGTATAGTAGAGCTTCATGAATGATCAGGTCTAAGGACGCGCGTCGGAAGATCGGTGGTAGACTTTCGACATGTACAAAATTCTTCTTAGACTGTACTGAACAGCTCATCAATCATCGCTGATTGCCTACACGTCCTCTTGATCAACAAAAGCTACAGCTACTCACATACACAACTGGCTCAGGCTACTAGTTCGTGCCTAAGCCTCGCCGTCCTTGCCACCCCTTTGAATCTGCTCAGGGTTCTTGAAGATCTTACCGAGCATGCCAAGCTCCTCCTCCTTTTTGCCACCCTTTTGAATCTGCTCAGGGTTCTTGAAGATCTTCCCGATCATGCCAAGCCCCACCTTGGGAAGATCCTTCAACTCTTTCTGCTCTGGCTTGATTATCTCAATAACTCTCAGCGTCTCCGAAACGTGCTTCTCTGGCATGAACTGGTTATTGTAGACTAGCTTGACGGTTCCCGACCCGTCAAGCAGGTACGTTTGCCTGCCCGGTAGGGCTCCTAGGAAGTCGTTTTTGATGCCGAACTCTTTCCGGACGGCGCTGTTCTCGTCGGAGAGGAGGGTGAAGGGCAGATTGTGCTTCTCGGCAAAGGCCTGAAAACCACATATCGACAGCCATCAGTACAGAGTCCAGACGGATTGCGACGAACTACACCAGCTCTAACAAACATTGACACAGAATTCTACCCCCGCACAGCGCTCCTGGATTTAAGTGCAACTCCACAACAAGGACGGTGGTGACCGTTTCTCAATGCACAGATCAAAGAGCAGCCGTCATGCGAGTTTCAGGGTGCCCCTACAAAGCGTAAGCTCGACAACAGCTCATACGAGCAATAGAGGAGCGGCGATGCAGATGCTCATTGACCAAAGTTACGTAGCGCAAGCTTGAAAACAAAGTCGACGAGCGTTCAAAGAAAGTAATCAGTATCAGTACGCCACCTTTGGCATCGACTGCTTAGGGGCTGTACGTGCTTCTGCAACAGGGCTGTTACGAGCTTTTCCAGAGTCCATCTGAAAGGACTGCCAGCAAAAGCAAGGGGGAAAATATGAAACGAACAAAGAAAAGGTCACCTTGTGCGAGTCAACGGGGTCAGCACTGATCCCAACCACCTCTGCGCCTGCCTTCTTGTAAGCCTCATACGAGTCCCTGAAATAGCATGCCTGCATGAACAGAGGACGCTTGAGAAGGGAGTGGCACAGGTGTAACAGCGGAGCACCGCAAGACACAACACAGCAGATCCTCTCAGGATGTGTATGCGAAAAGAAAAAAAATGTGAAAGACATCTAGTCGAAAGGACCTCTGCAAAAGGTGGACGCAGAAGTAGGATCCTGTGAAGCAGGTCCAAAGCTTCTGCAATATACGTTTTGAGAAGTAAAAGTTTGGATAGATCAAAAGGAAATGAATCGACCAAGCACCGCGCGTGACCTCGCCTCCTTCTACTCAGCAGGGCACGTTATCAAGCGATCATCTGTACGTACGAGGCGTTCTCCTCAACGCAATTGATTGTTGTAAGACACAAACCCAGTTTATCTTTTCCCAACAGTGCCCTTCTCCATTCAACTGTGCGCGCAAGTATCCCTCAGCTCAATCTAGATAACAGAGTAGCAAAGAGATGTAAGCAAACGCCCCTATCTGCATAAGAACACAAAGACAGACTGTTTAAAGGAAAGTAATCTGGACCCTTACTTGTTTGGTGCACCCTGGAGTGTCGTCCTTGGGGTAGAAGTAGAGGACGACTGGCTTCCCCTTGTACTTTGAGAGGCTTACGTCTCTCCCGTTCTGGTCTTTCAAGGTGAAGCTCGGTGCAACATCACCAACATCAACCTGAGTGAGAAACAGAGAAACTTAAGAGCGGGGTGTCATGCAGAAACGTCTCATCTAGAAGGCTATTTTGAAGTCATCAGCTATGTCTGCAGGTGGCCAACCTGGTTTTATGGATGTGTGCCCAAATCTGGTTCCAAGCTGATTGAGCATTCTTCATTAGATTGTGAATAAGAACGCCAGCTTTGGAATGGAACAAGCAGCGACCTGCAGCTCATGAGAGCTCTTTCCCTGCCTGATCTTTGACCTACCTTCATGCATCTGATGAAAAGGAAAAGAAGCGCCAAAGTTCCTTATTATTCTTTGGTCACAAACTCAATGCCAGAAGTATTGATTTGTCTTCTGAGGCGCAATCTTCAGCTGAGGAGATTTTGCAGGTTAGGTCATGGTCACAAACCAAGGCATTCTCTGATCAGTCTTCCCTTTAGGAGCGTTCCAAATTATGATTGCAGAAAAATCAGAGCAAGTGTACAAGATGGCTGCCATACAAGCAGGTCATCGCGCCAGCTCCGAAGCATTTTCTAAACCAAGATTTCGATCCTGATTAACTTCTGACCACATTCTGAACCAGCTTCCCAGCTTAATCTCTGCCCCTGTTTCCCCTGGTTGTTGCATCTGACTGTCTCTCTTTTCGACCTAGCTGCCATGTTCTTTCTGACGTTCCACAATGCATTTACTTCTGTAGGATGGATCACGTTCCAATCAAGAGTGGTACATGCTGGGCAGAAATTGATAAGATTTAGCAATTTGTCAGTCAGCGTTACTACTCTAACCAGTTCTTGCAAGTCGAAAGTCTTGGTGAGCTGTCACTGAGGTCACAACTAGTGGGTGGGTGCTAACAAGGTTTGAAGCTTGCATGCATCCAATGAGTGCCTTTTCATTGCTCAATCAGATTTTGCAAAACTTTCTTCAAACCAAGACTGCACAAGACTTCTCCTTATTCTTGACTACATGAAGCCATTCATCCTGAATTGAGGGAACTATCAGCGCACCTTGCATGTGGTGGACGAGGCACCCCTCCTTGCGGCATTCTCTGCTGGCACTCCGAATGTGCTGCACGCGTGATTGGTGACAAAGGTTGAGCCACCCAGAATCGCAGCTGGTCTCAACCTGCCTTTGCAGGGGAGCTTGCAAGACGGCGCCGCAAATTTGCCTGCCGAGACAGCATGCCTTGCAGTTGTTCGAGAGCTGGGTAGGCTCGCATTTGCAATAGCCAGGACATTGACGCCTGAGAGCACAGTTGCGGAAGCCATTGATTCTTGCGCTGAACTTTCTCAGCAGGAAAGGCTGAACAGTGAAAGAGCGAATGACCCCTGATCTGCAACCATTGGCATGGCTTTGGAGTGCAATTGGACTCTGGAGCCTGTGATATCTTGGCACGAGGCGCCAGCTGGCTGCTAATTCCGTGCCAGGTCAGCAAGCACCTCAGTTCTCACGGATTCATGGGGGTAAACCATTTTCCGGTTCCGTTCCGTTTTTCAAACTTTCTTCCAGGATTGTGTTCCGTCGACCGGACGTCTTTTCCTGCTGGAATTCCGAACCCTCAAAACCCTCTGGGAGTCCAAATGTCCAAGATGTTCGGCGGCGGCCCCGCCCGCGGCCCGGGCGCCCGCGGCCCGAAATCAGGTCTTCGCATGTTCAATCTGCGAACTGAGGTGGCCCGCGCGGTAACTTACAAGTTCACGCGAAAGTGGCAAGTGCATGTCTCCCGGCGAGGGCATTCGCATGCTGCCAATCACAAAGTTCTGACCCCGAATCCGGAGTGCCTCGGATTCGATTCCGTGGTGTTAACGCATCCTGGGGAGAGAGGTGGGTATTTCCGAGACGCCCCCGAGTCGATGCAGATTTCCGCGGCGTATCCGAGTCACCCGACTGAAAATTACGCCCGCGCGGACCAAAAGATGAAAAGTTCGATTCGGCGGAATGCCGGCAACCAGAATCGAACCCATGCCGCTCGAGCGCTGACATACTGCAGACTGACATGTTAACCAATGTGCTACTTGTGACTCTCCACAAAATTGAATTGAAAAAATTCATATACCGTGCAGACTGCGCAGATCCTTACAGCCCTGTAAGCAGTGTACTGGCTAGGCCCAAATTGTATCATGGTTTTTTCCAAAAAGTTGCAAGTCCCTACCGCGCAGACTCCCTATAGAGTGATTTCTGAATATGCCCCGGGCAGATCTGACGTGCCCGGTTCGACACGCGATTATTTTAATCATTGTCAATATGAAATTAAATGCCGGAGATCCGAGTCGCGGAAACCATAACGTCTCGGCGGCGTGTCCGCTCCTCCATAATAAACCGGAACCGTCGCCGAAACGTACCCGGTCGGACAGTGGCGACAGTCTCGGAGTTGTTTCGGAAGAATTGTCGCCGAAACACTTCCAAAAGACCTCGGAGTTGAATTCTTTTAACACATCCGCTATAATAAAATCACGGATACATTCCGGAGACGCATTGGGGTCGGTCCAACATCTTTCCGACCAGTGACTGATCGCCGAGAATCTCCTTTGATCCACCTTGTTTTGCCCGGAGATAAATGCAGATTTACAGATTGACAGATGGACAGATAGACAGACAGACAGATGCGCAGATTGCGCAAAGACTTCAAGCTGCCCGGATTCCAGGCTTCGGCAGACCGGCCGAGAAGTGAAGGACAACGGTCTGTATTTCACCGGAGTTCCTTAGAGACACACCCGCCAGTAACATTGCAACCAACTTCTCTCGGACGAGTGACACGGGTTCTCGATCTGGCCTGAGGGAAAGGAATCAGGAAATCTGATTGAATTTAAGGGACGGTGCGCCCCGGAACCTGTCCGACACATGAAACCGCCCTCTTATCACTATGATCACTACAGGAAACGTGCAATTCCACTATAGGGATGATTGGGACAATTCCTCAAAAAGCGGACTCGATGACCTGAGATGTTTCTGTAAAGATACGTTTCATTCACACGTTCACGCAGCGAGTTCGTAGCTGTTTAGACTTTCGGAATTACGCTTACTGCCCGGCCCTTGATATGATTCCAGGAAGCTCAAGCGTTCGAAACCTTTTGACCGTGACGGGTCCAAACCAAAGCCTGCGCTCAGCAACTGCTCTGCAAAGCACAACGGTGGTTCGCTAGGCCGGGTGCTCCCCGGGTGCTATGAACATCTAATTAGCGGGTTGCATCATCGTCCGGCCCTTTCATGTTTGACGGTAATAATTAAACTTTGAATACTGCTGCATGGGTGGTCCGCTAAGCTACCGTTCGAGATCCAAATGGTGAGACAGTCCCGAGCGCGCATGGCACGACATATGACGAAGGGAGACGTTTGCACGCAAATTTGGCTCCCGCTAGTGGCGATCACGTGATTGAGCTGGAGATCTGATGGGCCTTGCTTCACTTCTAGAAAGCTGTGTCGCATACTAACGTCCTGAGCTCAGAAGTTTTCCCAATTCGCAACTTACAATAAGCGATGACATCACGAGAGCCTGAGGTGTCAACAAGCTTGCGAAGATGAGACGCATAAACACTTAAAAGCTTGTCAAATCGGAGGTCTCAAGAACGTCTCGGATCAAGCAAGGAGAGGGCGGAAGGTGTTGGCCAATTTAGACGTGACGGTATTAGCTGTCATTTCTGCCAATGGAAAAGGTTTCAAGATGGCAGTGTCTTCGATTCTCAAAAATGCTGTCCCGGTTCCGACAAATTTGATTGCCGACGGAAGTCCTAAGAAGACTCGCGGCATCCATCTTCGACGTTCACCACCATCGGCCTGCCTCAATCAAAGCACAGTTTGAGCATTCAAAGAGCGATGATGTGCTACACTACTGGTGGTATCCTTACAGGATTCATCAAACTCGTGCTAGGGTCTACGTGTACGTTTTCTAGCAATATGCAAGCGATATCTTCAAGCCCATGAGATTCTGTGCCAGATCCCAGGCACATTTTGCAGCGTATCTACGGATCTAAGGTGAAGTTTGCTAGAAGCGCATCCTCGCCATTTGAGTTTAACGCTAAATCAAGCTAGCGGTCTATGAGAGCGACAACATCTTCCCGAAGAAGCGACACACTACGCGGGTAGATTACTAGACCCCTCGTCCGCTTGGAGCATCCTCCGAATTGATCCCTTGTTTCTTCTTCCTCGGTGCGCAATCTTTCTTGTGCACGTGCCAATGAAGCCTGTGATGCTCCTTGCTTTCGACAGAAGGACGATGAAAATCAGTAGGCAAAAGAGGAGCATGAAAACGTTTGCAGCCGTCTGAATGCACTTTAGCCTCTCAGAAGGTCTGCTGAGACATGTGTACTGCAGAGCTCGCATGACGAAGATTTGCTTGCTTTCAACCTAAAAAACGTAGACCCAAGACTGCGTACACATGTCTCCAACAATCGCAACCAAAATTTGAGTTTTCCATTACGGCAATATTAGTAAAATCCAGATGTCTAAAAGATCAACCCTTCCATTTCTTCCAATCACTTGCAGGCGGATCGCGATCGAAGACTCGACTTAATCCGACCAATGGTTGTTTAAGAGAGGTTCAAAGTGCCCTCACCAGCAGTACGCGACCAGACCGCACGCAGCGCACTCCTGAAAGCGCTTCTGATCACAGTAGAACTCTGGATCGGCAAGGCACGCTTCCCACGAGCAGATTGTCAGTAGCTCGTGGTTGCGGATCCCCTTCATGCCGCACAACCTTGTTCTTTGACACCCGCGAGAGTGTTTCTTCCCAGGACCTTGCAGAAAGTTCTCAAAGTGATCCCAGAAGAGAGGGTCACTTGCGTCCATCTTCTGCTTGTGTTTTTGCAGAAGCTGTACTGCATTCATCCTTCGTAGCTGTGTCAACGTTGTTGAGTCGTTCAACAAATGGACGAGCCCTATAAGGAGAGCTGAGCCGATGATGTTGCCGTTCCATTTTTCCAAAGTCACTGAAAAAACAAGAATATCCATTAGATCCTTCCAGCCCCAGTCCAAGATCCACTTTCGGCTGTCCGAATGCTCGATCAAGGTTGCTATAAGTTGGCTGGAATAGTCCACGATCATTTCATGGCACTTTCTCGGATCAGAAAAGATCCTCATCCTCTCCTCTGATAAAGCAAGCCGAAGCACGTCAGGCAGGGACTTGTAAGCTTTCAAGTTTGCCCTGAAAGCCTGTGAACCACGAGAGAAATGCAACAGGCCTTCCAAGCTAGTCATGAAGATCAGTTCAACCTGATGCTCGTGTACGTTCACTTGAAGTGGCACCAATTTGCTGATGTCAATGTTGTAGGTCATGTATTGAAGAAGATTCTCAGATCCTGCTTCTTGCACAATAAAATGCGCCGCCAGTCTGCTTGAAGCCAGCTTCGTAAGCACACAGAAGGAAACCCGCTGCAAGGAGTATCTAAAGGGATATGTTTAATCAAAAAGGGAGCACTGTTCGATCAAAGGATCTGAGATGACAGCTTCCTGAGCACGCTGCCTTCCTTGTGTGCAATCAGGCCCTGGACGAGTCTCGCGGGCTCTCGAAAGTCCTCCAACCTGGCGCCCCACTTCAGCAAGAACTGGCAGATATGCTGTGTGAGAAAAGCCATTGCCTCAATATGGTCCCAGACGTCGTCAAAGAGCAACTTGGAAGCGATGAGTGCGATTGTGCAGGACGCTGCCTCCGCCATTCTCCTTCAATTTCAGGAAGACTCTTCTGCCGCGTCTCTATGTCTTGAATATGCACCTCGAGTGCGCGGCCGCGCGCGGCGCGACTTTGTTAGACGGCCGCCCCAACGTACAGCTACTAGCAGGCTGGCCGCCGCCCCGGGCCGCCTACGCGCGCTCGTGGCCGCGCCGCGCGGTTAGCCACTGCGCGGCCCCCAGCCTTAGTACCTGTGGCAGACGATTCTCTGAGTTCGCGGATGCGCCAGCACGAGCAGTCAAATTCAGCGGCTGGCAACAGGGAACTAAAGCGAGCTAGGCGGCTCCTAGCTGCTTAGGCTGTAGAAAGGCCGATCAAGTGCGCATGGTGCCAGTCATGCACATGAGCTACACTTCGATCATTCAGTTGCTGAACCTTCGACTATCACAACCGCGGCCGCGGGCCCAAGTTCTTCATGACCACCATGCAAATGCTTATCGCTTCATGCACTCGGCGGATCGAGTCACACAGCCGCGGCCTGCTCAAGTGCTTATTTTGCAGAGAAGCGTTGTCAGTGTTCAGTGGATTAACAACAGCTGCCGCCCGCAGATATGATTGGCAATTCTGAATGATGCACGACAGTGACATATAGAGTTATGTTCCAACTCGATCTTGTACGGCACTGGAAACCGACACGCGATAATCATTTAGCCCACGTACAGTGTGTTAAAGATGTCTGGTCAGCTAGTTGAATTCATCACATGTTAGTTTTGCCATACTAGAAATATGAGCCTGAAGAATCAGCCTGGCACGCGGCAAGCATCAGCCCGCCAGAGCAATCAAGTTTGGGAAAGATACATGTAGCGGGTGCCAGTCATGTTGGACATGGCGACCGTCCATTCTAGGCTAGTGGCCATCATCATTGCCTGAGACAAACTCGTGGTCCGTGCTGAATTAAGTTCACTTGCATCCGACACACTATGATATATAACAACGATGATTAAATAGACGGAGCGTGCGGTGAGCGACTAATTGCATGCATCGAGACGGTCCAATTCAGCCGCAACGATGGCGCTAATTCCGATCAATGACGGGGCTCTGGCAGCGCCAAGTAGTCATGAGTGGCACTGAGGGCCGGGGGACTTCCGACCATACTTCCCAGCCACCTCCAGCCCAATCAACATGCAAGCAATCAAGCATCCAAGCCACCGGCCGGTCCAGTACGGTAGTCGGACTGTTTGGAATGATTGGTATCCAAGACTGTCGGACACGTTCACCAGCTGCACGAGGAGATTTCAACCTACATAATTACACTGTGAAAGGATTCCCTCCGAATCTTGAGGGAATGTCTATCTTGCTGAGGCCCTCGTTTGTTACCCCCCTTCGCGCATCCGCTCATTCCAAGGAACGACCTACTTTCTCCTAACGTGGCACGAATTTTCCTAAAGTTGTATCATCCTCTTCGATCGATCATATATGAAGCGTTTAAATTCTAGGGTTACCTTGCTGGCTTGGCCGCTCGCCTGTTGCACCCCGCCAGGAAAATGGAGCTGCACACGCGGTTCGAGGAGATGTGAACTTCTAAGTATGACCTCTCCGCCCGTTTTTTAATGAGCGAGGTTTAAGCGACTTCGGTCCATCAAAAGCCCATTCTTTCCACCGACGAAGTGTTCTAGCTATTGTCAAGCATCGGCAGCTGGCAGGTCCTGAATAAGGGAAACGAACTGCCCGAGTTGATGGTGCTGCAAGTTCCTAAACTTCGTCTCGACCATCACATGAATGAGCGGCCATGCTTGCCAGAGTCTTCATACTAACCCAACCGGTTCAATCGCCAATTCACTACGCCCGTTCTCGGACATGCACCAAACTCATTCTTTGATTCTCACTTCATTAGCGATGATTCTGATTTGCACCTTGCCTTGAGTGCATGCCGCTCCATCTTATTCCACAATCAATCTGCTGCCGAAATGATCTCAAAGCACATAACAATTGAGCTCACCCTATACTTCCTTGAAACAGCCGGCCAGCAAATCTTGAACAAATCTGGGCCCACCTTGAACTTTCCGGACTTGCCAAATGATGACTGAATGGTCCCTTCTTCGCCCGCTTCGGTTGTAACTCGCAGGCCCACAAACTGGGAGATGTCCGTTTCCTTCTTGAAGAGGCCCCTACCCACGGCGCTGTTCCCGTCCACATACCGCTCGATCACCCCTTCGCGCCGCTTCGTTTTGAAGACCCGGAGTTTCTGCGGGAAAAAGCTTACGTCAGCGGAAGTGCATCGAGGACGGCAGATGACGCAGAATTTGGAACAAATCAGCTCGGTCGCCCCTTCTCGCCGCTTCGTCATGAACACCCGGAGTTTCTGCCAAGGGAGTCGGACGTCAGCGAGAGAATGACAGCAACAGCAGGTAACGTCAGGTATTCAATCAAACCAGTTCGACCGCCCCTTCTCGCCGCTTTATCTTGAGCACTCGGAAGTCCTGCGAAGGGAGTCTGCCGTCAGCTAGAGGAAAATAGCAACAGCAAGTGACGTCAGGTTTTGAACACAATCAGCTCGCTCACCCTTTCTCGCCGTTTCGTCTTGAACACCTCGAGGCTCTGTGGAGCGGAGGCTGACGTCAGCGGAAGTTTGAAGAACATAGCAGATGACGTCAGCTTTTAGGGCACTTTAACGAGGAAGGTGGAGGCAGTGACTAGAAAGAAGAGAGGACGTCAGAGGAAGGCGACGACAAAAGCAATCGACGAGGCGGGGGGCGTTGAAGCAGACGGTGCAAACTGGTGGAAGTCTAAAATCACATGAACTGAGGAAGTAAGAAGACAAGTAAAATTCATGCATGGGATTAGCGAATGCACCAAGTCAAGAGCCTGACAAACTGCAATCCGACGTCGTGACCGTCGAAGTGCGGGATTATCAATTGACATCAGAGAGAGGCTGCTAGGATTTGCACCGGATGGAAGGGAACTTCTTGGCGAGCTTTAAAATGGGCGTCTAACCACGTGGTTTTGCGGCGGCCCCTTCGCAGAATCTTCTGTCCTCAGGTCGTCGAAAATTCGATCACCTGGTACTGAAATCAGCGACCCAGAGTGCAGGCACACGGGCTATTGGGTCGCTAGGGCGTTCCGTCTTACACCACGCCCCTTTGAAAGCAGGGGGGACGTTGAGTGAGAGAAGTTTGACGGAAACGACGGGACGGATCACAAGACAAATTCACACCTGCAAAGCGTCCTTATCCCTGGGGTCCATAGCCTGCAGCAGCCGCCCGTGGAACGCCAGCCGGCACGTGTTGGTGTGAATATCCGTGTCGAGCCGTGAGCCAATCAAGAGCGCGCCGAGGGGGCACGTGATCGGGGTCTCAAAGGTTAAGAAAACCCACTGGGCACCGGGTTTTGCGGGCCTGCAGAAAAACCGATTTGTTAGTTACGAACAGCGAAAATTTGACCTTCTATTGCTGCGTGAGCGCGAAAAGGGGATTGGGGTCCCGAAGATCAAGAATACCCACTGGGCACCGGGGTTTGCGGGCCTGCAGAAAGATACAACTCTAGGGTTACGAACAATTGCAAGTTTCACCCGTAAAAGTTGCTTGAGCTGTTAAAGCAAGAATGGATGGCGATCCGGCAACGTCCTAAAGAGAGACTCCAGCTCCTCAATGGGATTCGTGTTGAATCCTAACGGATGAAAACGCCTTGATTTCTTCTGGGAAACCAAGCATAACAACTGCGTGACAAGGTCGGGTGTCTTGGCTGCAAAAGACTGGAGGCTTCAAATTTCCCCTAGTTGAGCGGCTGCGAAGTTGAGCGAAGCGCTCATGCAGACGGCGACCAATCTGGAATTATACAGCAGCTTGAGCGAGTCTGACGGCCAATGACGTCGCAAGCTTTATCTGCCCTTCTAAAGCGCTTTCCATTCATGTTGCTTTGCAATATCGGTAGGCCAAAGGCTTCTGAAAACAAACTCTGCATGCGCGGGTGTTAGGGAAGAAAGACCGTGCAAGAGAAGACGGTCCGCGGTCCAAATAATTATCCCTAATTTTCACTACAAGCGTTGATAATTCTTTTTCCAGGTGAACAAGACGGCATCGGAGATCCTCGAAAGAAGGCTTGTACTCAAGATTGGTTGAAAAATGTCAAAGGAACCGAACGAGGGATCGAAAGAAAGCCGCTCCGAAAAAGTACGGAGGTTTCACAGCGATCCGTCCCATCGCATGTTTCCAAGCGGCGATTGAGCGATAAGGGACAGATACAAGAAGAGGTTAAACTAAGAAAAGGAAGACAACAAAGCCCAAACTTGTGCACTTACGTGGATTCATCGCCCCGGCCAGACACGGTCGCCTCCTCGTCTAAAAGTTCCTCTTGATACCAATAGTCCCGCTCAAAGTCAAACGCCCCTTCGTTCGCGGATTCAAGCTTTCTCTCGTCCGAACCCCTTTGTCCCGTTTCCGAGGAGAAGAAACGAGTTTCGGCCATCACGGTTGAATGGCCCGCGGTCACTGAAAAGAGGACGTTTCAGAATGGATGTCAGGATGGAAAAGGGCGACCAGGAGAAGAAGGCTGCTGGTACTAGGTCGCCGCAAATGGCACTTGAGGGGTATGCCGCCAGAAGATCTTGAAAGGAGTATTCGTAAGCAGACTGCTGAAGGCTCTCGAGGACCGATGCGAGTAAGCGGTGGCTACAAATGACAGCGCTTCATTTGCCGTTCAAACTCCTTAAGACCACTGGAAAAAGGAAAGAACGCCGCTGAAGGTGCCACTCGAGCGACTGTCTCTGCACAAGTACCAATTCCTTCAGCAGAAGATATGGAGGCCTCGGAGAACTAGTTGACAGTCATCCTAACGGGAGAAACGTGCGAAACGTCTTACCGTGAAATTTGGCCTTTGATGGTATCCGCCCCTTGAAGTACCGAATCTTGTGGACGCGCGCGAGTGCACCGAAAATTGTGGGAACTGTGGAAACCAAAGAGAAGGGTTATGTCATCTCGCAACACAAGAGCGGCTTCATACTTGATTGCAAAATTTTCGCTAGAAGCAAAACATGTCTGGAGACGTCAGCAAAGGCCGCCAGAGGATGCCAGACCCACGGAATGACCGATAATTTCACGGGCCGCTGTTTTCGGTTGTAATTGACTTTGGCGCGTAAGGATGGGTGACAAAGAGGTTTCACGCGCTTCAGAAGCTTCTCAACTCCTGCTTCCACGACTGGAACTGCGGGCTTTGTACCTTTTTCTGCGAGCTTCGCTGGTGTTTTATGAAACAAGGCGACAACAAAGACGCCCGAGCTACTCATTCAATCGGAGCTTCAGGCTCAAACGCTGGCAGCAAGGCAAAAACACTTTCCTTTGCCAGCAAGAACATCTTTCACATTCTGATACCCTGCATTGTATTCACTGGTCAAATATCGCGCCAAAAGAATATGGTTCCACACACACAAGCCAGTTTGTTTTCAAGCCGGCTGACGGCTGTACAATTGCAAGCAAGAACCGAATGCAAAAGGAGGGGCTGGAAGCGCAAAGGCTGACAAACAAAAAAATCTAAACACAGCAGAAAGGTTAGTCAAATCCTCCGCTGGCTGACCTGTTCCTGGTTCTGCTGCGAGGCCCCGCTCGATGGTCTTGGCGTCCAATTGAGTCACACACAGCCCGACGCGGTCGCCCTGAATCGCCCGCTGGACTGGCCGGTGAAACATCTGCATCGACTTCACCTTTTTCTGCAAAGAAAGAAACGAGAAGCCCTTGAGCGCTCGAAGACCCTTGACAGCGACTCTGGAATCCGTCGACCTCTCGCATCGTGCTAGTGAGTTCAGGCCTTTATTACTGGCTGCATGCGTTTTGTGAGGAGTGACATCTCCAAAAAGGGATCTGCTTCTTCGTAGATGTGGCCCCCCAACAACAAGATCCCCTTGAGTGCACTGAGCTCGTCCTCTCAGTCCCACAGAGTTTCAAAGAAAGCAACCTAACTTTTGTCAAAGCCAGGTGGCCATACCAATTCAAAGGCCATGGTATCACATCAAGCTCAGAAAAAGCGGTCGGCGCGTTGGAAGCTCTGCAGTCGCACCCAAACGTCGGCACGACTTCAGCAGCAGTCTACCCGCAAGCGCCTCTGGCCCGCACAAGGACTTGTCCGCCGACCAATGACGTCTACTCCAGCAGATTTAAGAGGTTGATTAAGTGCAACGTGTCACCCTGAGCTCCGTCCAACGGAGGAGTTGGACTCCACGCGCTCAATTGGTTTGCGATCATCAGCAGCGATAAGAATGCCTTGGGAGGAGTGCCAGATGCCCCAGGTTCGGTACCCGTTTCTTTCGTCTTCCCAAGCTTCGTCTCGTATCGAGGCTAAAGACAACATCCAGTGTCCGGAATTGGAGACGTCCAGTGTCTCCAATTCGGGTTGCCTAATGTACTGTCCCCGTAAAGAACGCTATTGGGTCAAGAACCGGGAAACCCACGAGATTCTATTCGCTAACCAGGCTGGATACCATGCTGAAGTCTCAGATTATTGGACACATCACCAGTATTTGACCTTGCCTTAAGGCTACCGCCCAAGTCTGATTACAGTAAAAAATGACCACTTCTTGACCAGCCCGTATTCATCTAAGTTTGATCGCCAAAAACTCTTGTGAAAGCAGCTTTTGATGTATAAGAATTTCAGAAGCACTTTCATCGTCATGACGGAGCTTCCTCCAGTAGGCAATGGAAAGTCCTTACCTGTACTTTCAACTCGGGCAGCTCGATGCTCTGGTTGACCGCCACGTGTCCCCTTAGCACCGTTCCGGTCAGCACCGTCCCTTGACCCCGGATCGGAAAGCAGTGGTCGACCGCGAACAGAAATGAGCCCTCGCTCGAGCGGTGCATTGGGCGCACGCGTGAGCGGAGAACGTTTACGAGTTCGTCGACTCCGGACGACTGCAGAGAGCCAGAATTTGTGTTTATTCCAACAGCAAAATCAGGTTCTTCAGATTGAACTTTCTCGTAGGGTCGTCCAATTGAGTTGAGGGAAGAGACTCCGGAGGACTGCAGAAAGCACAAATACGTGAGCATTTTGAAAGCGCAACCAGGTCTTCGTTTTGCACCCTCTCTTAAAGTCGTCCGATTGAGTCCAGGGGAGACGTTAAGGAAGAGACCAATATGAGGATTGACGTACGTTCCATCGCAGCACTCCGTTATACAGTCCGGGCAGCAAGACCGCTTGTGTGCTGCAGTGTTTTGGACTTCTCAACTGATCGCCGCTGTAAATTCGCAACGACCTCTGGACTTCTTAAGACACCACCCCACTCCTTATTGGACGTTCCTGCCTCAAGCCAAATGCTGGCGTCAGTCTCAGCGAAACGCTTCCTCCAGAGACTCGGCTCGAGACCCTTGCAAAGAATTCCCTGCCAGCAGCTTCGATGGACACTAACATTCTCACCCGGACATTCATCACGGACTAAGCTGACCGACAAGATATTTGGACTCAGCTGACAGTCAGGATAATTGGACGAAGCTAACAGCCAAGATACTTCATCAGTCTTTCTAATGAAGGACATAATAGGTAGATCGAAGCTCGGAGCCTGATCTCCTGGAGATGCGCACCAAAAGTCAAACCGTATAGGAAGGACGGGCGATTGACGCTGAGATTCGTCCGTTTTGACGGCTAAAGGTGCGATGAACAGATGCGGCTGCCAAAATCCAAGTCAACTCGAAGTTGTATTACGGCCTTTCGCACAGGAAGCCGACACGTGGCAAACAAGTCCGTACCTGTCGTTGCTGGTCCCTACCGTCCGGCCCCCCCGGGCTTGCTGACGTGGCAACCATCGCGCAGTCCCGAAACTTGGTCGCCGCGAACGTCTTTCGCAAGCCGTTCTTCATCTTCTCAATCTTGGCGTCCCGGGACTCGTCGGGAAGAAGATCCTGAGATCACGAAAGCAACGGATCGGTTATTTATCTCTCAAATTCGAAAACAAATGCTTCTTCAACATTCCCGACGTCGTGCATCCTTTTGTCCTCTGCTACAATCTCGAAGAAGTCTTTGTGCGCCTTCTCGATTCCTGTCGTTCAGGATTCGACAGGAAGAACATTTTGAAGCCAAAGCGAGTGGTGATCGTAAGCCTTCAAAAAGAGCGAGTTCTTGCTGGGACTCTCTATTGAATCTATCTAATATTCTGATCTGCTTCTCGATCCTTTTAGGAATGGCGTTTTTCCTCTCCTCAATTGTGTGCAGATCGATATTTGATCTGCATTCATTCGCCGTACACCACTTCATAAAGCAACATCTTTCACTGGCGCTAAGGATTGGTTATGGAAAATGGCAAAGAGAAACTTCAGGGTACCTTGACACCTTTCTAGAGCGCCATGCTTTGCGCCAACGGCAGCTAAAATCCCAACGTCTTGCAAGCCCTCTGTGACAAGATCACTTGTTCATCGATTCACGAGAGGAAAGAGGAATCACCTCCGTTCCTCGACGAAACATCGATCCAAAGTAAACTGGACTATTCCACGCCCGTTCTTAATAAGGTCACCAAATGCCCGTTGTTTGCCCAGTGCAAACAGAAAGTTCAAACGGAAACTCACAACTTTGTTGAGGACGACAACCATGTCGTGGCAGGGGGAAACTTCGCCAACAATCAAACACTGCACACAGAACCAAAATGAGGCCAACTCAACGGGGCGTTTGTCATTGTTTGAACCTTGTCGAGACAGGATAACTACGGGGTTTTGTTTCTGTGATTACAGAAAGGGCACCGTAGAGAAAAGTCGACATCTCGTGCTTCTTGGAACCGAGCCGCCTTTGCCAATATGCTTCCAGGTGCAAAACCTTCGCATTCTGCTCGTTTCGAGTATCGTTTGCCAAAGTGAATCGACGAAAGAGATACGACCTCACAACCCGCCTCACCTTTCCAATGTGCTTCTGGTGCCCGCATTTTGCTCCGCTTTGAGTATCAATTGCCACAATCGACGAAAGAGACGACCCACCTCAGCGGTTTGCGTCTGGATGCCCTTTGTGACGTCAATGACGAGCAGCATGACGTCAATGATCTGGGCACCTGTAACGTTGGAGACATGTGAGGGCACTCTGAGGAGAGCAGGGGCTCCTTCTGCTAAGCATTGGAACCATTCCGTCTAGTGACAAATACCTGCTTTGGCCACCCAGTTTTTATCGGTCCAAAAGTTTAATGATTACTGAAAAATCTACTTGACGCTTTAAGCTTCTCTATTTCTCAGTGGGGGAGGTTAAAAATATATAGGGCGGGAACACGAGCGGGAGAACCGCTAGCCCTCTCGGTGTAAACGAGATGCTCTACCAATTGAGCTGATTACCCGAACGTGTGGAGTGGAGGACGGTAGATCCCCAGCGAAGCCACCCTGTTTGAGGAGCAAAGAGTAACCCCTTCGGTAAACTCCTCGCTCATTCGTCTACCGCCCCCCTTCAATGCGTTTCACTCTCTATCGGGAGTGACTGCGTTCCACTCTTTCTAAGAGTGTCTGCGTTGGTTTTCAATCTGTTCCCCAAGGCACCTTTCTTCCACAGGGCCTTGACGCGAGAATGATTGACTGACTCAGGACTTCGCTGGAAAAGACTGGAGCTAGTCATATGAGTAGCCCTGCTATAATTTCTCGATTTCAATTCATTCAATTGCTAGACTGTGGACACAGAGACTCAGCTAGCACCTCACGAAAAGCGCCTCTCATATTGTCTATACAATCCAAAGATGTGAAGAACCGCGCACCTCCTATGATGGTCTTGATAAGCGATGCATGGCCGGGGCAGTCAACCAAAGTGAACTGCAGCTTGTCGAAGGGTAGGCTTGCAAGATGTTCTGGCAGATCAACCTGCAATGGACATGAGTGGTACACCAAACTGAGACTGCAACTTTGCAGAAAATGAGGCAGCAATAAGCCTATAGCTTGCGAGTGTCCGGTTAACTTACTTCCATTCAACGCAGTCAATAATTGTCAAGTAGGCAGTCCACGGCTAGATTCTGGACGTGAAGGCAGCTGAGGTACAATTCTCACGGGATTGTATCGAACGCTGTATGACATGATCATTCCAAAGTTGGTTGGGAAGTGGTGTTAAATGCTAAGGCTCAGCTGCTTTGAGCGGCAGGCAGCTGCTTAGAAGATGTGCAAAATGGATTTTCTGTCTCCATATCTTGTGGAAGGTCCGGCGAACTAAGATTTGCGTAATCTGGTTTCGGTCCTGATCAAGTCCTGACACCAGAATCGACTCCCACTTTCGCCTATCTTGTATAGATCCTCATGAGTTCTGACACCACAACTGATTAGTTAAAAGTGCGCCCTGCGCAAGCTTAAGCCTACCTGAAAAGCTGAGAAGCCCAGGTCGAGGGTGATCCCCCGCTCCAGACTCTGGGGGTGTTTGTCGAGGGCAGCAGTGGAGAGGAGTGTACTCAGGGCGCGAGCTGCAGATGTCAAAACATCGAAGATTTGAAGAAGCACACTTGTGTCAGTCCTTGGGTAAACACACACTCCTTAGCATCCACAGAAGGCCGACTTCACGTTTACCTGTGTGAGTAAACTCTCAAGCTTCATCGAAGGGCAAGCTTGGTGCAATACTTTGACTTACAAGCGGCTACCGTGTTATTACATAAAGTAGAAGCGGGGCTGTCGTAGCTTTTGTGGCAGGAATCCCACACTGCAGTTGTCGGAAGTTGCACGGATCAAATCCCAATGTTCATAGTGTCAACGAAAGTGCGTTAATAAAAACTACTACAATTCTGGTGATCAGAGTAGTGACCGCAGCAAGCAGGCCCTTAAGGACAATGGGTGAACAGTCCCCGTTGGAGCTGAAGCGATATGCAAGGTACCAAATAGATTAGTAGAAATATTGCCTGGGTGTGAGGGAACAACACTTGATAAAAACAATTCATTTTGCGAAGCTTTGCGGAAAAACTTGGCATTGCACCACCTATTATCTGGGGTGTAGGGAGCACTTGTGGGAACAGAATCTCAAAGGAAGATCTTGGAAGAGACCGTCTGTAGCGAAGACAAAAAACTCAAAAGTCGTAACCGTCGAGTCGAATTTCGAATACCTTGCCTTTCAGAACCGATTGAGAGTAAGCTATTTGACACACAGATTTGAAGTGGTTCCAATTTTGACTCTTTGATTGTTCCGACAATCGCGGCGTTGACACCACGTTTAAGCTGGTGTTCCAACGTATCAGTCAGGTGGCAGACTAAAGCTTATTCACACGATCGTTGAGGACAGGTGACGTGCGTCATACACTATCTGAGTCTATGAGAAGACTCGGGTGACATCGAGGAACTTAGGTCCGATCCAATCATTTCATAACCTGAAGACAATCCCCCAGCATTCCCACTATTCAACACAACTGTTTTAGTAAGCCATCCTAGCTGGAAACTGCAGAGAAAGTGACGTTCCAGTTGTTCAAGCCAAAAGCTACATTGGAGAAGATTAGAACATGCTAGAACACCAGTTTCTATCAAAGAAGCTCTATAAAACAGTTGCTAAACAGGGGGGGTGGTTAATAGCTTGACCAGCGCACCAGAGCGTATATCCAGCATGTCAGGAACAGCTTCAAATCCAGACTGATATTGAAGCTGCCAATCAGCTCCAAAAGAACTGAAGGGCATCTGACACATGCAACAGAAGTACAACTCACCAAGGCTGGTCTTTCCGCTGTCGATGTGTCCTAGAATTCCCACATTCACATTCATGATACGGCCATCGGCGGCACTTGCTTTTTCGGACCCCATTGCAGCTCTGTTGATAAGGTTTTTGAATAGGTCAGCTCTGTGCGAACAGAGTGGTCATTGAGCTGGTCATCTGCGGCTTCTCCTGTCAGGTCAACTTGATCTTCTTTAGAAAGAATGAGTAATCAAGACACACGCAGCTCGCCATAAAAGTCTGCGGGCAATCAAAAGCTAGCGGAGTCTTCGTCAAAGAAGGAGTCCGTTGCTGTGGCGTTCCTTCAGGGAACTGTCGTAGTCCTCCTTTTGCTTCTTGGAAGTGCTCGCTCTGGACAGCTGAGCAGAGCTCTGCGTGCTCCTTCCTCCAGAGTCCAGGCAAACCGACCGAAATTATTAGTCCAAACCCGGCCCCGGGAGCCATTTCAACCGGCCAGGTTCGTAAAGCTTCGAAAACCGTCTGCCTTCCTGGCAGTCCCCAGCTTTACCTGGGGCTGGAAAAAGCCCAACGCCTCCGAAACCGGCACGCCCGGATTGATCGTCAGTGATGGCCCAGGTAAAATTATATCTTAAACCTCGCAAGGGTCTGCATGGATGCTGCAATGCAAGGAGACGAGCTAGCTTCCTGTCAAAAGAAAAGGGCGCCGGAGAAGAACTTTGCTGGCAACAAGGGGGGGATCTCGAGGCCATGAATCGATGCTGATTGAGCCAAACATACTGCTAAGAAGTTTGCAACTTTTAGCCTGTCGTGCCAACGAACAGCAGCATGCAGTGGCGCCTCTATCCGTTTCTCGGAGACCAGAGTAGATCTGGCAGCAAATATGTACGCAGCTTTTGACGTGTGCACTGTGCGGGATCTTGGACGATAGGAAAACGCAGAGCAAAGCGTCACAGCAAAAGCAGTGGTGAAATCAGCTCTATCAGTCAATTGCAAAGAGTGCGCACTCTTTCCTGGTGTTTCACTGGGTGTCAGCGACATGTACATTCACACAAAGGCCGTCGGCAGTCCAGTGTGAAAAAGCCCGGAGCATAAATTGCCGAACTATGCAGCTGCCTAGCGGCAGGTGGTATTCGCTAAAGCTCACAGATACCGCTCACTGGATTGACGAAAGTACTGATTGACACTAGTCCAGGAGTCACTCACCAGCTAACGAACAATCCCAGCGTAACAGCGTCCAGCGATCCTCTCTAGAATTTTGCTAAGCAGAACCCGTGAAGCTGGGCCTCTGAGATATAGTTGACAAAGGCAACAGCCTTTCAGAAGCGATGGAGCATATTGGGGTGACGTGATGTCTTTAGGCAATTGAAGCTGTTACCCTAAGGGATGGGGAGCGTTTGGAGTTGACATCCCCCAAAGGGACCACTGCATATGCTAGTGTTAAGGTCCCACTCTGTGCGATGGAGACGGTGGAGTTGACACCGTATCATGAGGCCCCGTTTGGGCAGGCACTGTTGTCACGGGGCAATTTGAGGCTGATGCTAAGTGCAGGGTCGGCGCTTACACTGGCGATTATGGGCAGGTACGGGGTCATTCAAAGAGTTTCGTTCTTCCTTTTCCCTGAGCGACGTTAAATCCTGCTCGCAGACAGCATAGCTTGTGTTATTGTTTGCGGTTTTCAAAAACTGAACCAAATTCCTCACAATTTGTTGTGAGATTAAAGGTCTGAAGAGGTCGCACAGGGACGCTTGTGTTTCGTGGAAATGCAAAAATTTCCTTCCTGATTGGAGATGGCCAATCTCTCCGTCCAACAGCAACATGGGAACTCAAGACACAACACAAGTCGAAAAGCATTCTCTCTTTTTTGCTTCCTTCCAATGGCGCAGCGCCGGCCCGCTTGACAATTCTCGTATGCAACCTTGAACGAGAGTTTGCAGTACCGTTGATAAGCTCAAAAGCGATTCTCGTTTATCCGACTTCCTCTGTTTTGCAGCTCGATTCTTCCCATCGCCGCGGCATTCGCCTCCACAGGCGTCGTATGCGCTGTCACCCTCATGGGGGTTGTCGCTCTAGCCAATCTATACACGTGCGACCTGCTACTGCGTCAAGCATACGTTGCTGGGAAGACCAACTATGAAGAACTAGCTTACGCAGTGGGGGGCGAGCCTTGGCTGGTGCGGCTTCCATTTGAACCTCTGATTGATCCCCGAAGTTCCTTCGAAGGTTGTGCTCGACTGTCGTAATGATCGGAAGGAAGACGCGCACTCCCAGACTTGTCAGTTTCGAGGAAACCCACCTACACACAGATGGTTCACAATGTAAAGTTCGTTGGAGTCCAGCGTCCGTTTCCCAAGGTTAGACTGATTGGGGCCTCGCGAAGATTGGCTGGAGTCCAAGTTCTCCCTCCCTCCGTTCTGCCATAACCCCGTTGTTGCTTGGAAGGGGCTGTTATGGTAGTGAGTTCAAGTCCTGGCAAACCTTGCCGCAGGTGATAGTGACAACTATTCACAACGCTTATTCCGAAGGCGGACCCTGAGTTTGAACGGGGCAGATTGACATTCAGAATTATCTTTGTGAGACGCTTCTCACAGATTGCTTTGAGCAAGTAACAGCCGCTTGTTATCTCCGCTGTCCTTTGTCATTCTGTAGTTCACAGCACAACTTTGATTGTATGTGCATTCTCGTGGTATGCAGATTGTGACGCAGCTCTCGATCGTGGTTCTGCTGGTGGGGACCCTAGTGGGGGGGATGGTTCAAGTGGGCCAGGTAATCCCCATTTCGTAGACATTCAGTAGATCCCTTCAAAGATGTCGGGAGCTTTCGAAACTACGGTTTGAGCAGGTTCGAACTCACGCTTCACCTTCGCGAGCGGGCGCTATGTCTCCTGGCGTTTTGTAAGAACAAAATGTAGATTCAAACGAAACTCAAAAGGCCAGGAATCTCGGGACCAGAAGATCTGAAGTCTGCAAATGAAAGAAAGCCGTTGAAAGAGCGAAGCCTAGAAGTTCCCAACGCTGCTCTTGGACCCACCCTAATCCCAGGCTAAACCAACCCGGTTTACGGCGGGTGAGACCAGGATTAGCACGGCTAACCCATTTTCCTCGCATGTTCATGCAGGCGGGTGCTGCGGCTCTCAACTTTTTTGCCGGAGCCTCGATCCCGGCATGGGTCTCAGAGGATGACAAGTCGCGCTTCGTCACCTCGCTAGCGACTCTCTTGTTCGTCGCCCCGTTGTGCTTGGTCAAGCAACTCCGCCAGGTATGCACCGCTTCTCTTCCTTTCTTGTGAAATCGTTTGCGGACTTGAGAGGACCCCAGAAACATCCTCTTTGCCGTGGACGGAGGGGCGTTGGTTCAGCGGAAACCCACATAGCTCTCGCAACAACCTCGGGCTGTCGTCAGAGGCGTTTGTTGTCGCTGTTGATCGATACGAAACGCTGCGACAAGAACGAAAGCTGTACGGCCCTCCCGCTTGCCAATGTCGATGCATTTCTTACCCCTCTCTGCTCAAGCGTTTTCTTCAACACGCCAAAGCTGCACAGAAAAATCCTTCAAATCGACCGACCTTCGGTTGGGCTCCTGCGAAAACTGGACCCTTGAATCGATTCAAGCCTCAAGCATCGATTCAAGCCTCAAGCATCGATTCAAGCCTCAAGCCCCTCGTCAACACAACCTCTACCCCTCTTGTCACTTCTACAATACGTCGCTGACATTTGGGTCCAGCTCTGGTTGGACCGCTTTTTCTGAGCCGACACTGAAATCATATCAACAACCCACCTCGTTCTCTCCGGCCGTGCAATAAAGCACAGCCATAAAGCCCCTGATCTGACACAACTCTACTTTGCTCGTACTGGCGTCGCATCGCATCGGCGACGCATACGCTCAGCTTTGCTTGGACCAGACTTTCAAACCAACACTTGACACCATCGTTTCGGTTTCCGTCTCAGCTAGAGTACGTCGGGCACGCCTGTGTCCCAGCGGTTATCTGGCTCATGGTGGCCGTTACGGGGGACTCCCTTTCTGCGGGCCTTCCGGCGCTCGGTAACGAGCTCCGCATTATGGGCTTTGATAGCATCCGTGAGTACCCATCGTTACGAAATGAAACGATACTGGTTGGACATGACATTGTCCCTGCTCTTTGGTATGTTTCTTTTCCATCTAAACGCGTCTTCTACGCAGCAAGTTTTGCGGCCAGCCAGGCTGACTAGCAGACTTAGAGTCTCGGGTTATTGAACGTATAATCGATACGTCACCCTGCTTCAAGGCTGGTCCCGCTCAGTCTGCTTAATGGACGTATAATCATGAATAACCATCCTGGTTAGTTGCTAGAAATCATGTCGTACTCGGAATCAGCTTGGCTCGCAGCACGTCGCGTGCCTATTCAGCCGAAAAAGTTCGCAAGATCTGCCGCCGAAACGGGGAACCCTCGTGTTTTGGTAGCGGATAGAAACGTCTTCGCGTTGAGACCAAAGCGATGCAACGCCTGCAAGGTCGAATTGAAACGTCAGTGTACTCACGTTCCTCGGCTCGATCAATCTACAAAACCTAAACCTCAACGGCTCTGCCAAAATCTGCCAGGACTCGATCTGCCCAAAGAGTGTTGCAAAGTTTAAGTGAGCGTCGGGGTTTCCCTGACGTCAGCCGCTATCTCCGAGGGTGTCATGGATCCAACGGTGTCCATTTTGGACGGCAATTTGTGCGGGTCTTGGCACCGTTCATTCGGCTTTGTTCACGCATGGCCTACACCCACTTTAAACTTCGTACTTCGCTTGCAGATGCAATGTCCGGCGTCGTTGCGACCTTCGGCTTCACGTTCTACATCCAGCCGATCCTCATGCCCATGATCGCAGAAATGCCCCGAGGCGACGTTGGGATCAAGATCCTCGCTTGGTCCGCCCGTTTCGTGACGCTCGGTGAGCCGCCCCGGTTGCGTGATTGTTGCTACGTTCGAATTCACGTTTTACATTCAACCAATGGCCATGATAGCAGAATGCCCCGGGGCAACGTTGGTTTTAGGGTTTTTGAGTTTTATGATTTTAGGGTGTTAGGGTTTTAGGATCACGATCCCCGCCTGGTCCGCCCGTTTCGTGACGCTCGGTGAGCCGCCCCGGTTGCGTGATTAATTTCCCTTGGAATATGGAGCGCAGAGGTTTGGAAGGCAGGGAGACGGCACAAAATCGTGTCGCGACCGTTAAGCTTTTACGACGAAAAAGTGGCCGCGTCAGATTCTCACCGTTTCAGAGCTTTGCTCTGTTTGGCGCAAACCATGCGCGGAACCCTGTCCTAATGCGACTGGGCTGCTCAGGGCTACATCTTTGCATGTTGGGATTGGGACAAGTCTTGCAAATTGGATTTGTTACAACCGGCTGCGAAACGTTGCAGACTTCTGCGATCTGCCTTTGGTAGGTTTTGCGGAGTCTTCCCGGGTTCCAGACAAGTCCTTCGGATGCTCGGTGCATGATTTCGCGTTTGCTTGGTCGTCCGATTTGTGGCGCTCGGTTAGTCGCCCCGGTTGCTATAAACCTGCTCCCCGGTGCTCGGAGAGTCAACCGGTCGTTCAGGTAGCGTCATCTTGACTGACAGTTCGGTCATAAGCACGCTGGAACGCGTTTCTTTCGTACTGCGTTCTGGGCTTCTTTGGAGCCGCTCGGGTTTGTGCGCTCAGATAGAAGCGAACAACCTGCAAATCACGTACACAGATAGACGTCTGCTTTGTAACTTACCAGTTGTCGTTCTGCTGCGTTAAACTGGGAATGCGTTCTGCGTTCTGAATTTGTTTGGAACCGCTCGGTATGGCGCCTCAACAAAGGGAAACATCTTGCAACCAAACATACGTTTGAAACGTTGCGCTTCTGAAAGTATATCAGTCTATATTTGTATTGCGGACGGAACGCGTTTCTCACGTACTGCGTTCTGGTAGTCTCTGGAGCCGCTCGGTATGGCGTCGCGACAAAGACGAACATCTTGCAAACCAATACATAAATGGGAGTTGCATTTCAGCCGCTACAAGAGTCTTCTGCAATTTGCAGGGAACGCGTTTCTCACGTACTGTGTTCTGGGCTTCTTCGGGGCCGCTCGATACGGCGCCGCGACAAAGGGAAACATTCTACAGAACGAGTGGATCGGAGGAAAGGGCTGGCAAGGTCTCCTCAACGTCTTTATGTGCCGTAAGAAACTGCAAGTGCTGCGGTCACCTTCTTCCCACTCGCTTTGACGAGTATGTTCGACTCTTTCCTGTTTTTGATTAGTGGCGTCGGACGCGTCTAGAGCTCAACGAGCCGTTTTCGTGATTTTTCCTGCTCTGGCAACCAAAGAAAGAGCATTGCTTTTGCACTCGTTTGAATCGTGTGGACCCACGTGATTAGCTGTAACTCGACCTTCATAACGCGGTCGCTGCGTTTCAAACAATGAAGCAGAAATGCCCTCATAGTTGAGCTCGTAAGCTGACTCCTTTCAAACGTGCAAATGCTTGTCTCACGCCCCTAAACGTACCACCCGCAGGAAATTTCCGATGCCTTTCGATTGCTTTCGTTGTCTTGCCACGAAGCTCGCCCGTCTATCAACGAAAGGGGGTCAGTGATCTGGGCTAAGAGTCAACAGAAGCCTTTTTGCCGCCTGAGCTTGCTTTACGGGCCCTCCCGTCCCTTGAATCTTGACGGATGCCCTCGATTTTTCAGCCATTTTTTTTCTTTTTTTTGGGGGTTTTTTTCAACTGCAATTTTCGCAGGATCCCAACAAACGGTTTCTTTTCTGCAGTATACATTGCCGTGAGCGGCCCGCCCTCGGAATTCCCGGTCCGCCATACCCTGGACCTCTGGTTCGTGCGGCTTCTCACAAGATTGGGCGTCGAGAATGCGAAGTACCGATTCAAATGGAGGCGACACTTAGCGGAGACTTCCCTGGTATTGGGCGCCTCTTTGGGGATCGCTTTGGCGTTTCCCGACGACTCGGCGTGGGTGCTTTTGATAACCGGGGCCACAGGCGTATGCATGGTGTCGTATGTAATACCCGTCGGGAATCACCTGATGATGTACTACGGACTGTGAGTTTTCATGCACTCCAGCTTTTGAACGCTCAATAACCCCAGAACTGTTGAGTTTCATCTGTTACTCAGCTTCTGGTCTTCACTTTCATGTCGTTTTTCGTTGAGTCAGGAATTGGGGAATGGCATGCATTCTCAAGTTAACCACCTAACGAACACTACGGGTGGTTGCGTTTCATTATGGCATGGATGGTAGTTGAAAGGAAAGATACAGGGTTTTTGGACTGTGTTTTTCACTTTTTACCTTTTTGGTTCTCGGAACCTCCCCGTCAAATCAGGGCGACTGGCGTATGCATGGTGTCGTATGTGATACCGATCGGGAACCACCTGATGATGTATTACGGACAGTGAGTTTTTCAAAACTTCCAGCTTACGAACACTTCACAATCAGGACTTGTTTCTTTGACATGTCCTCAGCTTCTGTGTGTCAAGTTTGGTCACTTTTCGAGGGCTCAGGGTGTGCAGGATTAAGGTTTATCCGGATTGACAACCACCTCATGATGCTTTACATCTTGTAAGGGTATGGTGGGTCCGAACGGTATGCTTTAGATGGTGACTGGAAACGAAGGTAATACCGGAAGATAAGTCTCAGCTTTCAGTCTTTGGTTCTCAGCATCTTCCGTCAAATCGGGGCGACCCAAAGTCTGCATGGTGTCTTATGTGACACCGGTGGGGAATCACCTGTTGTTTTTGTACTACGGTCTGTGAGTTACCAAGCGTTCTAGCTTCTGAATATTTTTCAACACCACGACAGATAGTCTTTGACATGTAATCCTCAGCTTCTGCTTTTAATTTTTCATCACTTTCCGTCAGATTGTGGGTTTCATCATCCCCCCACTTTCCGTAGGATTGGGGAATAAGGGTGCTACCTGAACACCTAGACAGGAAATCACCTTTACGGACCGATGTTGTCTGGGTGGTCCGATTCCTAGATAGACTAGATGGTGACTGCAAACGAAGATTGCCGGAAAATTACCCGTCAACTTTCAGATTTCGGTTCTCTGTATCTTCTCTCAAAAGGGGTCATGTCTTCTGCCGGTCTTCGTACAAAAGGATCTCTTACAATCGTCCTTTTTCTCGGTAGTGATCGACATGGTATTATACTTGAGCCACGGGAAGGGTGCGTTTTTGCACCATCTCACGGTATCAAGAATTTCCGCTCTGCAGAGCTCGGTGTCAACGCGTTCTCAGGGCGGAGCTGAAACGGAACCCGTCGTTCCACTGGTGGGCGGACGTTTCGGTGCATTCGCAGGTAGGATTGCGCTGCCTACGATTTTCTCGCCCCTGCACTTCCTGCCTTCTTTCAGACCGCAGTGGCATGCATGAGAATGTCACTTTGCTCTGAACGCCGGGGGAGACCTCCTTATACTGGTAACTTCAATCTGGTTTCCACTGCCATTCGCATTCCGATTCGAAAACCCCGGGCACAAATCAACCACTACTCCCTACCACTACTAGTAATCCTAACCTAAACTTTTACGCGCTCCACACCCACACTCAGTACCATAACCTGCCAACTAACCCCACCCGTGTCCCAAGTACTTATCCCAGTGCAACCGGCTGTTGTACTTATCGAGAGTGACCTACAAGTGACGTCTTCAAGAACTCGGACGTTTTGCAACTCTCGTTGTTGCAGGTATAGAACTGAACTTTATTAGTAACAAGGTCTATAATAGTAAGGAACCGACGAGGACGGGTGGGGTTAGTTTGGTGGTTAGGTTGGGTTCGGGTGCGAGCGAGTCATTTAGTGCTTTATGTTTTGTTTTGTATTAAACATTATGGTTATTTGCAGTTCCATGGCCACGTGCTCCTCGAAAAGCTCCAAAGCACCGCCGTCGACCTGCACGACGCCTTGCCGCTTCTGGGTCCGAATGCGGCGCATGGAGCCCCGAACGTTTTGGAGTATCGAAAAGAGCCCGCGCTCTCCGGACCGGTTGGCATAGCGTATGAGGCGCTCACACAAGTGTGCCTCCCCCTTCTAGTTCTCGTTATCGGGTTAGTTAGTAGCATTGCGGCGCTGACAACAGCGGACTAAGGAGCGGCAAACGAGGGGGTTGGCGCATAGCCAGGTACATGTGGTTTTGTACATAACTTGGTGCACGAGATGCCCGTATAGAGAGTGAATATGTCATTGAAGTTACGGTATAAAGAATGTAGTACGTTGTTAACGCCGAAGCGTCCAAAGCGGGCAACTGAAATCGTCGGATAATGTCCATAACAAAACCTAAATGAAACGTACAGACAACTATGCAGAAACAGGCAGCGAACGTTCTTGGAATATAGCTAAGAGGCAGGTTGACTCCACTTTTCTGGTCAGTCGCGCATATTACTAGTTTGCGGTGCGAGTTACGTACTCGCGTGGATGGCAGAAGTCTAGCAGGCCGCTACAGCAACTATCATAGAAGCAGAAACTAGACTCGTAGATTTGGGGAACCGTATGAGAAGTAAGTGAGAATACACGTCCGAGCTTATCATCTAGCTAGAAAAGCAGGACAATAAAGGCCCGGGCACCAAGCTCTAGCCCGGGCGCTCAACACCTCAAAGTAGGGAGATCCAACGCTACTTGGTTGCCTGGATACTAATTATCATACCAATCGGGCGTTCAATGCCATGCCGCGCCTGTCACTGCGGCGGCGAGCCTGCTGCATTTGTGGATCCGCCTTTAGTACAGCTCGCAACAGCGGCAAGGTCACATAACTCTCTATAGACGGTTTCAATCTATGAGTCCTGGATTCACAAAGCCGTCGACAAGGGTTGGCCTAGGTGTGACTGAGACCAAGTGCCCGCCGGCCCGACACAGCAATGCTAAGTTCATCACATGAACGTACCATACCATGCAGTGGCATCAGCATGTGCGCATGCATGTCTCCGTTAATATAATTAGCACTGCATGAGCCGGGCCGCTCATGACTTTATCATTCAATGCAATGGGATGATGGCCACGGTTATGCATTATGGTTCGGTCTGTATGTGTCGTCATGGACGCGGGGTCAATATACCGTATATGGTACCAGCTTTAGACGGTTTCAACTTTAGGCGCTAGCGCTGTCGCCACCCGGCGTCGATTCGACGCGTGTAATTCGAGACGGTTAATTCCGAGCAAACATGAGGCCGGGCAGGTGCACAAACGATGGACACTAGGTGATATCAAGAACGATCCATATACTTGATGCATGCATGCAGCTCCTAACGGTGCACACAGCTGTGCCGCCGCAGCCGGACGCGTGATCATCCGGCAAGTCCTTGAAACGGCCTTTTCAAAGTTACATGCCGTGAGAAACTTAGCCTTCCGTTCGGCATGCAGATTGCCCTCATTGTGCACACCGGGTCTGTTTGAAAGGAATTGATGTCTAACGGAAGTCGATATACTATAGTGGCGCCGACGGTATGTCTGACGGCATCGTTCTGATCACCTAGTGAAGACCACATTCGTGCTGAATTTTGCTGCTTGAGTCTGCATGCGCGGCAGTGCTCTCGAATCGTTGTTCTGGCAGGTTCAACATTACAAGCCAAGCTTTTTACAGTCTGCACAATATCCTTTCAGACCTTATCATTCTATGCTCCTACGGTAAAGGGCTTTGCGCCCGCTTTTATTACTCCCTTGTGTCCGCTAAGCCTGTGCATATGTCCACTCTTCAATTTCGTGCCCGTTCTTCCGAGCGCCCGAGGGCCCCTCTGAATTTCAAGGTTCTTTATACAACACACATTTGCGTCCTCGGCCGAACTCCATGATGCGACCTGGTATGACTGATACTCAACGCTTGCTTTTGGTAATGTTACAAGCCTCGCTGCATGATGACTGAAAGATGCCTAGCTATTGTTTTTGCTAAAGAACACAAATCCCCATCCGCGGCCACCACAGCCCCAACCTAACAAAGCGTGGCTGCCGTCACCACCTTTCGCCACACTAGCAACTCCACGACCCCCAGCTGACGTCAGACGCCTTGCTGACGTCGCAAGCGCCCGAGGACCTCACACAAACTTGCTACTGAACTCGCTCATTTCTACACGCCAGATTCCGACCACATCGGCCCCTCGCCGGCAGCATGAGCCGCCCCAAAGCGCCTGCCACGCGCTGCTGACGTCATCACGCGAGCCCGAAGAAAGTTTTGACTTTGGCGTCCAGATCGTCGACCACGTGGAGCGCGATCTGCGCCCGGCTAAAGTCGAAGATGAGCTGCCAGCACGTCCAGAGCACCGGGTTGTTGGCCGGGGGTGACGTCACCTCGGCAACTAGAGCGGTGAGGATCGTCTCCGCGCGCTGCTCCAGCAGCACGATTGCGTCCTGCTGGGAGCGCCCGCCCTCGCGCATCATGACACCGACGGCGCTGACGCGCAGCTTGAGCAGGTCTTCCTCGTACGTCCTGGTGTCAAGAAAAGGATCTTCTTGGAGCGGAATCCACTTAAAAGCGAATCTTCTTAGAGCGGAACCTTCTTGATGCGGGAAATTTAGAGCGAATTACTTTGCAGAAAGACACTGAGCTTGTTATCAGCGCATCATGACACCGACGGCGCTGACGCGCAACTTGAGCAGGTCTTCCTCGTACGTCCTGGTGTCAAAAGGTTAAGGTTGATCGGAAGGTGTCAACAGCGCAAAACGATAGTACTGTATTAGCGTAACCCTAACACCGAGCAAGTGTTACGCAGCTTGAGCAGGCCTTCCGTGAACGTTCTGGTGTCAAAGAAAGAACGTAAAGGCAATAATTGTTTCGGCGTTCAGAGCGCTAAGAGTGACACCAACAGCGTGATGCGCAGCTTCAGCAGGTCGTCTTCGAACGACCTGGTGTCAAGAGAGGAAAAGTGGTGCGAGCAAGAAACGTCATGCCGGTCGAAGCGCTACATAACACCAACTGCTTGGTGCCTGCCTCGAGCAGGTCTTTCTCGTCGGTCCTGGTGTCAGGAGCAGGAACCATGATGCACGCAAACTCTGCTGTAATTCCGTCCCCTTTTTCTGATCCACTCATACGCCTCCGCTTTACATCCCCATTCTCCAACGGCAGTCTCTTTATTGGCAGTCTTTCTGTCACAGTGCACACAAGCTCAGCTGCCAGCTGCAATCAGATTTTTGTCCACTCCAAGAACTGACGCGCCCTCTCTTTCACCTTCTACCAAACCGAAAGCTTCGAACGATAGCACTATAACACAAAAGCAGGAACGCACCTCAAGTCCGTCATGATGCACGCGAGCTCGGCTGCCGGCTCTAACCCCTTCTTGGTCCTCTCCAGAACCGACTGAATCACCTCCTCCCCCGGCTCCCTCATCCCGACTTTCGTCCCTCCAAAACCCCAAACGCCAAAGAACTGGAATTGACAGAAACAAAAAACCCGATCCCCACCTCAGGTCCGTCATTATGCACGCCAACTCTGCGGCTAGCTCCATCCCCTTTTTGGTCCCCTCCAGCAGCAACTCAACCGCCTCCGCTTTCCGCTTCCGTCTTTCACAATAGTCAATTCCACAACAGAATGAAGGGTTTGAAGAACCAGAAACTCGATCTTAAGAAATTAGAGCCGAAAACCTACCTTAGGTCCGTCATAATGCACGCGAGTTCAGCGGCAAGCTCCATCCCCTTCTTCGTTCTCTCCAGCAGCGACTGAACCGCCTCCGCTTTCGGTTCCCACTTTCCCGCCTCCGTCTCGCGCCCCGCGATCGCGCAGAACGCCATCGTCAGGCCGACGCACGTGCCCAGAATGTATTTGGCGAAGCCCAGGTACTTGTCGAGGCTCGGCAAGGCGCCCTTGGCCAGCGTGTCGAACTTCTCGGAAGCGGCCGCCTGACGAAAACAAGAGAGTCTTGACTCAGATTGACTGGTGATCTATTGTGGTTGCTTTTGGTATCGTGCGGATTCGGGGCTGTCATCAGAAAAGACAAAGTCCTCGTTACTGGGCTGCATCTAACGCCTGCATCTACTGTTCCAACGTCGGAATGTCTGGTTGCTTCTTAAAATGGATTTCTGTATGTCGTAGGACACTCTTTACTTGAAAAAGCGTCTGCTTACGTTGCTCGAAGAACAGGCGGGATCCAAAAGATCACAAAAGCCTCAATAATGGTTGGAAACTCAGGCCGGAAACCTATAGCAGCTTGCCAAAACTCTTGAGTGCGGCCACGTCTGTCAGAGTTATCCAAAGGTCGGAGCTTTAATGCTCAAAGAACCCCTGGGCAAGCTTCTCAATTTCCATTGGGTTGCAGGCAGAAACAGAACCGTTCGGACTGGGCCACCTAATGTTCCGTCTGTGGGTTTGGAAAAGGAGCGATGCCACGTCTGAGTTTGATACACGTTCTTCTTGCGGCAGCTCACAAGGTTCCTTCGGAAGCAGAGTTAGTGTTAGCTCACTTCCCCCATGCGAACCCGTCAAAGAAGCGAAGAACGACACGACCTTTCGAGAAAGTTACCTGCTATGATTGCCTCCAGGATGATAGACTAGATAAACTTCGGCTGAAAGGCGCCCCTTCAAAGCGAGACAGTCCTTCTTCCGCAACAATTGGAACAATCTTTAGAAGACGAGTAAATCAAAGCAGAATGTACAAGGTGGTTAAGCAAGAGAAAAGCGAAAAGCAAAACCTACCAGCAATCTCCAGGACGCCATCCGTAGGTTGTACTTAGCCATGAGCGCCCCTTCCGACACAAACCGTCTGACCGGCGCTAACCCGCCCGGGTTAGCGTCAAACGCAACCACCTGCTCGTCCTCGTTCAACTTGGTCAACTCGTGCTGCAGCCCTTTCAGCCACTGCCGCTGCTGCTCGGAACCCTTGTTCCCTAATTGGTTCGTAAACCCTAACCGCTTCCTTAACCCGTCCGGCCCCTCGGGCGGGGTTTTCCGTTTGTTGCCCCGCCCAAACCCGCTTTCCCGCCCAAACGAAACCTCACCGGACCCGCTCCCCACACTGCCCTCCGAACTTAACCCGGATCCTGACCCCGAATCCAGGTTGTTTAGCGGCTGGGTTAGCGTTCGAGGTTTGACGTCGACGTCGGGTTTGTACGGGTTCAGGTCGACCTCGGAGAAGCGTAACTGCTCGCACGCTTCCTTCTTCATCTTCTCCATTACTAGGTACATCTTCTCGAAAGCCGTGCGCGCCTCGGACGACGGGATGTTAATGAGAAGGGTCAAGTCGCTGTCGAGGAAGATGCGCGCCGCCTCGTGGATGGTCTGTCGGGAAAGAAAGGTTTGTTATCAACACAGACGGTTGTTTTGAAGTACGAATCAGCACAATCAAATGACGTCTCAGGAGAAGGGAGGTTTGGCCCTGCGTGGCTGGTCCGGCGGAAAAGAGAAACGTGTTAACAACATGAATCGATGTTCCAAACCGCGTTACAGTACAATCAAATAGCGTCTCAATAAAACATGAATAAAACAGTCCGCCCTCCTTGTAGGAAGCACCGTGCGGTGGCGTTCAGTCGAGTACACTTCTGCAGCAAACACGTTTGACGCGGTGTGCTTAGCCCTGGCTTTCTGGTGTAAGTTTTGAGCTCGCTTAGATTGAGTACTTGATGAACAATATTCCCAGATGTTCACAAACATTCACAGATGTTCAAAACAACATATCTGTGCTCAATTGAAGATTCATCCATCTTATCAGAGGACAGAACCCTGCCAGTTTCTGATGCCGCCCAGTACAGACCGCTGCTGTCAAAGGAAAGATGCGACAAAAGAAAACTTGCGGCTCAGTGCTTACCAACCAGGTTTCAAGGAAGACAAAAGCAAGAGACGTCTGCTATACACGTCATAACAAATGGACAGAAGGTTGGGAAAGGGACACGCAGAGCCACCGGCGCTAGATGAACAGAGACGCCAGTTCGCCTTTGCTGTACCCCCAGACAACGACAGGTTCGAGTCCGTCTGAAGGGTTTCATCAAAGATGTGTCGTTTGCATTGACAGCGGTGACTCAAGCTCTGAGCGAAAAGACTGAAGTTCATGGTTCTCTGACCACCAGATCATCACAGAAATTGCGCGTAACAATAACGAGACAAAGTGACGGATAGGCTTGTACAGAAGAAGCAGCTTGAGACTCACCATGTACAGATCTACAGGGCTGACCTTCCGCACGTTGAACTGGAATTGCCGCAGCCAGAGCGTCATCTTTGAGAGCATCAGCCTGCAGCCAGGAGCACAGCATGACGTCAGCACATTGTCAGCAAGATCTCTAAGAAAGACATGAGAGTAACTTCCAGGTCAAAGTGCAGATTTGAAGTTGATTGGGTTTCTGGCATAGAATCTCAAACCTGCTTGTTATGCGGTCAAGCCGCAGACAGAAGCGGCATAAAGGAAAACAAATCCGTCAACTACTGAGACCCCAGGCTAGAATCCGACTTTTGTATTGACTCTTGGGTTCCTGGATTGCCAGAGTTTGCAGTCACTGTAGCACTGGAGTTTTACTTGTACCATCGTTTGACGGATCTGGGTCCAAAGTTGATCAATCAGAGTGCACGGCAGTCCCCTCCTCATCAGCCACGTGTTGTACATAACAGGTATCGTAGAATCGATTCACAGCCTCCTAATTTGGTATATGAAGCAGATAGGGACACCCGAAGAATTTGCAACCTCAAGCAGCAAAAAAACTAGATCAAGAAAGAGCAGGGTGTCCCAGTCACTCGAAGCTTGAATGCATGAAAACTGCATATGAACGTAAGTGCTAAGTACACACGGAAGGGGCACTTGTGAGGCAAAGGCAGAATGCTCTGCGTGTAAGAAAAGGTACCAGACAGGGAAGAGGGAATGCGATGAAATGATTTGCTAATCTTCTGGAGTGACTCGCCCGTCCAATCTTGGGATCTATAGGACGCACATCAAATCGAACGCAGGACTTGGATAGCTATGACGATTCCAGGAAAAGATAATGAAGCACGCTTGTTAAGTCGTGGGATTGATGAAGTCCGCAGAAAAAACTGAGTCTGCGAAGCACAGCAAATCAAATATAGGATGTGGTTAACTATGCTGAGCAGGAACTAAAGAGGTCCAGACAAAGACAAAACGTCCAAGGGAAACCTACCGCGCAGCTCTGTAGGGCGCTGCAGGCAGCGCGTTGCACGATAGAAAGTGCACCCCCGGAATGTTTTCAACCACAACCTCGCTCAGATTCTCCAAACACCACCACCTCAGAATCTCCAATTCTGCGGAGTAAACCCCCCGCAACGCTCGATTCCGCGCAGAATTCAACTTCTCGTCCGACATCTGCACGAAGAGGGGGGGCGCGTTCACGCCTTCCAGGCACGTGCTCGAGGCGAGCAAATTCTGGCGGTGGCTTTTCGGAGGGGTGGGCAAGTCCCCCCCCAGAACGGGGGGCGAGGAGCGGAGGGCCTCCCGCTGGGCCGCATGGCTAGCTCTGGACGGCAGTTTTCGGAGCGCTTCCATGATCTCTGCGGCGGACACCAGGCGCGAGTTGTCCGGGGGAGTGTCCGAACTCTGCGAACTGCTGGCGGGGGGCTTGCTCCGCTGCGTTTCTGAGCTTTTGGGTGTGGGGGGTGGCAGGTCGGGGGTGTGGGGGGACCGGGCGTGCCCCCCCCCTGAGAATGTGGCTGAGGGGAAGAGCTTCTGGCCCTGCGGGAGGGGGGGGGGTTGAGTGGGGCCCTGACCGAGCGATGCAGACCGGCCATAGCGGGGGGGGTGTTGCTCGTCGAGTGCGGTCGCATCCTTAGGGGGGGCAAAAAGTGGGTTTTGCAGGGGCGCAAAATGCAGCTCCGGGGGGAAAGCTCCTGAACGGGGAGGTTTTGGTGGATGCATTCCGGGCGCCCCTGGGTGGTACAATTCTGAGACAAAGTCACGGTTGATCAGATCCAGGGGGGAGGGCACGGCGCGGTTAAGTTGCGGGGTTTGGCTGACCGTGGGGGTCGACGCCAGAAGAGGTACGTCGAGCGTCGGAAAGCCGCTGGCGTTCTTGTTAAGCGAGCCCGACGCAGGAGTGGGGCTCATGAAGAGATCTTCGAGGCTGAAGGGCGAATCCAAAGCAAACCCCAGAATGTCGTCATTTTCTCCCGAGAAGCTCCTGACAATGTTCCCCGACAGTCCCCTGTGATTTGAGCCCCCCGCCGTGGATCCCAACCCTGTGGGGGGGTACGATGCCTCCCGTGTGGACCCCCCCGCCATGTTCATCGATGCTTGCAACGCCTGAAGCTCTGCCAAAAGCGCCGCGGTGGACGTCTCCCCGTTCTCCTCAAATCCGCTAAACCCCGGCGCTTCCTGGTGCATTTGCTGGAACTCGTCTGCCAAAACGTCCGCTGACATCGTCGCCGATGACGTCAGCGGCTGCCACTCCTGAGTTGGCACATTTTCCGAGCCGTGCGCCTCCTCAGGGGCTGATAACAGGCGGCGCTTCTGCCACTGATCTGGTTGCCACTGCCCTGTCTGGCCAGTCCAGTCCATCCTGGGATGTATGAATGCACACTGCCCTTGCTTTCAGATATTTTTGATTGCTCTATGATTGCTGAGCAAAACTGCGCCGAATATTTTCTGTTTTCAGGCCGCCAAATTGCAATGTGCTCTAAAGCAGGTACCTCGCAAGCTGCTTATTCCAAGTGCATTCAAAGTGTCTCAAATACTTCCTAAAAAGTGGTTGAAAGCTCGCAATCGAAAAGGTCTTTCGGATGGAGAAGCTTTCAACCCCTTGAGCATGCGTTATGCTCCAGATTGAGAGTAAACTCAGAGAGTTGCCAAGAAAGCTACTCTGATTCAGCAATGTGAAGCTTCTCGTATCCACGAAAGCATGAGTCAGCTTCTGAATGCACGCCTGAATCACTTGGATTGTACTAAGGAGCAAGCACCTTCCATGCGAAGGCGTTTTCAAATAGTTATCTGGCGCCCCTGTAGCTATTAACCAAAACGACGAAAACCCAAAGCCTAAAGGGAGTGCCCTATTCTAATGGTTTCAACCCCCCAGTTGCCAAAGTTTCCCCAGCTCGAGACACCCGTGCATACACCATGAAAGAAGACCCCCTCAAGAAGAGCGTCTCCCCTCCGTTTTGCCTCCTTTGTTATCTTCAAAACGCACGTTTCTTGTCAAGGGTCAGACTCTCTACAGCTGATGAAGGGCTCCCTCAGTCCCTCATGCAAGCTCCGTTCAGCAATGAAGCGAGAGATCAGATTTGAAGGAAGCCATTCCATCAAATGTGAGGTGAAATCATCACGAGCTCCTGAGGGGTTTTTTTCATGTGGTCATTTTCGGTAACAGCTGGCGCAAAGGCGCGCTCGTCGCTCGAGCCAGGCAAGTTCCGAGCTTCTGAGTCCTTCTAGAGCAGGTATGCACTCGGTTTGTACCTCTGATTCAGTAGGTGTAAGAACTCATCGTATATTCTGTTCTAAGTTTTATTCATAAGGCAGCCAAGTACAGCGAGGCACTGGTGATCGACTGGTCTGTATTAAATTTTGCAGGCACGGGGTCTCCAGAGTCGAGTCTCATTCAACGTTACGAAAAAGGATGCATAACATCATGTTGAATGGACTATTATAGGCCCTCACTCAAAAGTGTTCTATAGGTGAGACAATGTTCCCGAATCCCAACTGAAGAAACACCAGCGGTTACGTAATACGTACCGTTACGGAACTTCAGGTGAAATCAACAAACAATAATCGACGGGGTATGCGGTTCAATTAATACCTCCTGGATAATCATGTAGATTGGTCCTTTTCACACTTCGACTCACTTGCACGTCCAAGCTGTCAATTCTCAAGAATCTCACCACAGGGCCCTACATCGCCACGGACTCCGGAGACCGGTGCTCGTGAGTCGTCGACTCTCCGAGCTGTTGTAGCCGGCAAGTTAGTAAGCTGACCTACCTATCAAAGCATGGTTATGTAAAGTAGGGGTTTTGGGAAGGGTTTCCTAACAGAATGCAGACGAATAGCTCTTGTAGGGCCAAGAGCCGTACGACCAAGGTATGATTCCGAATGCTCAAAAAAAGCAATTAATTTAGCGAATGGGAGCCCAAATTATATATACTATTTTCCACTTTCCGACCCTAAATCCGAATCGCCTCCAGGTACCCCGGTACCCATGTTTTTGAGGCTTTTAACGGTGACCCGGTACGTACCGCTCAGTCATAGGGCCTTTGCAATCACTTTCCGAACGGGATTTAACAATTATTTTCAGTTTCCGAAAAAGCAGAATCCGACTGCTTATCCGGAGTTTCCAACTTTCCGAATGCAAATATTTATTTATTTATTCGGAATCATGTCTTGGTCGTACGGTAGTTGTAACTTATGAGTTAACGTTGCGTGCTAGGCATCGTGTCAAAACACTTGCGCAAGTGCGTCCGGACCTCCGACAAAAAACCCGGCCACCAGGGGGGTACGGCCAAAAATGGACCCAGAAAACACCGGCCACCAGGGGTGCCCAAGCCCCGACGGAAAATAAGTCGAAATCAGATACATATAGGAGGATGAGGTCTGCAGAATATTTTTGAAACATAACCAATCCACTTGCTCTGGAACAGCCCCAATAGGGTCCAATTCGGAGCCGTATAAGGCAAGAAGCCTGATGTATATGCGGATGGACACTTGTCATTTTTGACAAAACCCATTTGACCATCTTCTTCGAGACCGGTCGGTCGGCCGGTGTGGCCTGAGTCCTGAGTCCTGACTTCCTGCAGGGGGCTGGCGAGGGCAGGAACATGTATACGAAGTCCACTATATATGTATAGGCGGAATTTTTGGAGATACGTGACTTTTAAAATGCTGTGAAAGTGATCAACCGGGCACCGGCCACCAGCCCCCTCGACTCTTCGCCACGGAGCTCCGAGAACCGGCCACCAGCCCCCCCAAGGAAATTCAGAAAAGCGGAGGTCCGGACACATATGTTTTGACACGATGCCCTAGCTTGTTTGCAGACAGGTTACGTTCAACTTTGTTCCTCAAACTAGACTCTTTGCAAGGCATTCGACCGTGAGCAGTGCCGAGTACCGTACCGTACGGTAATACAAGTGTTGGGGCACACGGGGGTGCACACGGGGGTGTTCTCTAGAGAATATGTACATAATATTTTCTGGCCCTCTTCTCCTGGGCGAAAAGCCCTTGCTGGATTGCCTTCCGGCGAAAGCGCGCGCCACGTGTCGGGCCTAACCTCCAGGTGAGCGACTTTGAGCACAGTCGACAATGTGGTGCCACGTGTTGATACTTGCAAACTCCGAAACATGCCTTGCCCGATCGGATGCCTTACCAGCTTGCCATGTGTCGGCCGTGCGCGGCGGGCCCGGCCGGGATAAATTTTTGGAGAACTTTTGGGTTTAGAGTAGGACTCTAAAACCAGTGTGTCGCAGCTAGCGCGCATATGGCAGTTCTGCCTTAACCCTCGGGTTTTCTCAGTCAGGATATCCCCATGAGTATACAGTAGCACAAGCCAGAATCATGCATCAAGCAATTCAGTCTTCATGCTTAGCAAATGATTCTTCTCGGATGAATTTACGGATCGAGATGAGTCCGTTCTGCCTTCCTGTCCTCAACACGAGTCTTGATTCATGTCATGTGCATCAAGTAAAGAAGTAAAAGTGCTAGATGGAGGGAGATAAGTCGACAGCAAAGGGAGTTGACATCCCTCTCTTTCTCTCTTTGTTGCCTACCGTCCTTTCCTCCTCGAAGCATAAGAATTAGGCCGATGGCATCAAACAAACGCATTCATTAAGCATGCCATTGCAATCCATGTTGATTGACACGTATGGATTTTTGAGACAAAATGCTCTTATCTGGCCGGCCTGCCGTCAATCCAAAAATGCGGTCTTTGTCTAGTGTCCCGATCATCGGTGGATGAATGTGCATCCGACACCGCTAGTGTAGGACTTGTCTTCTACTATGCTGTAAGTCTATCTCTACAGGGGCTGGGCCAGAATGACCAGAAACACACCAGCCTGCAAGCCTGAACAGAAGAAGAAAAACAAAGTTTACTAGAGTAGTCACGGTATAGCTGAGCTTGGCACCTGCTTGGCACTGCAGCATGCGCCGGCCTCTCCGTCTGCTGCGCGGTACCGGTATCGCGATCAGCGCACGCCGTACATGCATGTCATAGTTGAGCATATCCGATCTTGCAGTACATTGCCATGATGGTGATCGACAATGGTTTGAACTTTGCAACGGACTGACCCAAGCGACCGTACTTTAAAAAATCCCGAATCAGCACATGCATCCATGGACTCGAGCGCGGCACATTGAGAGGCGCTAGAGAGCGAATCCTTTGGCGATGCATGATGGTCGATCCGCCGACTATAGTTCTGCACAAGAGTCGTTCATGAGGCACAGATTTGTTCGACGATCATGATCAATAGTTTGTTGAACGTCGTCGGACTCCGGAAGCGAGGCATAGCAGACAGCGGAGTGACATTTGAGCCTCCTATTAGGTGTTGTGCATGGATTCACTAAACTTGGTTGCGAGTTCCGGAATTAGCTTGGCCGCCTGGCATGGCACTGAACGATGACTCAGTCGGACCACTAGCTCTTCAACTGGCAATTAACGACCACTAGCTTCAAATATTGAATCGTTTTCGTTATACTTCATAATTGCAACTCATGCATGGTGAAGTGACATGCAGGACCGGTCAGTGGACCGTTAGATGCCAGTTTACCGAGCTTTATCGGTGCGGCGCGGCGTATGCATGGCAAGCTCTTCCCTTCACGTCCGGATTCAATGACGGCATGCACCGTCTCAGTTCCAGTGCTGATCGATGTACTAAGCATCCGAAGATTCAAATCGACAACCGTCAAAAACTTAGTGACCGAGTGGCATTCACATGGTAATCCGCTCTACAATCCGAAATAAGGAATGAAAATGCATCATTCAACGGAGAGAGAGATTGTCGGACAATAATATCACTCTTAGACATCTTTGATGACTTTAACAATGTTGATTACCAAGCGGCGACGTTGGAGGAAAATGATGAGTATAGCCAACGGTTCCCGTACAATCAGTCGACCAAGATCCGATATAAAAGGCCGAGTTTTGCCTAAGAGATGACGGCTGCCTACTAAGAACCGTTGAGGTCGACCAACGAACCTTGACATTGTCGGATGCTTTGGCTTTGGCGACGCTCCTACTCCGCAACCTCTCTCTGGATCTCTTCGAGTCTGCACTCTGGCGTAAGAGCAAAGTTTGCCGTTTCGTTCATCAATCATGTCTGGATCATTTCAAGAGTTCCCCACCTCTTTCAAGCGTGCATTCGCTCTCATTTGCGCAGACTTAGCGCTGGAGTCGATGTCCCTACACAACTCGTCACACAAGCGATTGAGTGGCAGATCATTGTATTCGTAACCGAATGGCTGCTCGCACGTCTGTGCCGCAGCTTCTATGCCCAAGAGCCCCCACGTTACCGCAAAGTGAGCAAAAATGGCAATTTCGGGCCCTAAAGCCCGCACTAACACAAAGGGCAGCGTGCATAGCCATAACAATAGAAGCGTGCGCAACTGCATGATGAACGCTGACGGCATCCGTGTCGTGAGTAGCCGCTCGCAGCTCGTGACAGCCGTAACAAGGACATTCAGTTGCTCGTTGACGCGTCCTTCGTCGGACCCCGCAATTTTCCCCTCTGCCACGAGGTCCCGTATCTGCGAAGCAACTGAGCAGTCCGGATGAGTGGAGCGCCGCAAACGGACCCTAATTCTAACTGCCAATGCGCAACTTCCTGTGTACTGATCCAGGTGTGACGAATCATAAATGCAGTCAGGCCGACAGCAAAATATCACGAGGTACTTACAAGGGCAGAGAGGGGGAGAGAAGGAAACGGAAACGCGTTCCTTTCCTCAGTTCAAGTGATTGAAGCAAAGTGAAGAAGACCAGGCGAAAAAAGACAAGCTGTGTCTTCCCTTTTCGGGAGAGATGACAATTCATAAGGCACTGCTTGCAGGACTTTCGTGCACAAATGTGGCATACATCGCTTGCTTTCGGGCGCCCCTAGGGACCGACTTTTGCAGCTGAACCGCTCCCCCTCGTCATTCTTCCAGCAGCAAGTAAAAAGTCTGTGTCTTCAACACGGATCTCAGGAGTAGTCAGAAACGTCTGCCGTCAAGAAAGAAGACCTACGATGGCTGCTTCGACAGGGATCCCTGATGATCGCCTGCCGTGCCCGACTCCATTCTTTACCGTTCAACATTCCACAAGGTTCCTTGTTGCAAAATCTTATCGAGCTCAGAGATACGACAGAAACAAGCCTCCGGCCGTTGGTCACTTCAAAAGACGGCCTTCGCTCCGCCCCCCTCACAAGTAACTCGCCCTGGAGAAGGGCTCGTCACCTACGAAGCGTGCTCAAAGCATGGGGCCATAAAGCACAGCGGAAAACATCGGCTAACAAACGACAGGAATCAATCCAAAAGCACTTGAAATCTCACCCGCAATCTGAGCCCGTTGATTATTGCAATCGGTGGGCTCCGTGCCGCCTCCACAATCTCCTTCTCCGACGGGTCAAGCAGCGAGGACGCGTCGTCCATGACCCCCTCCCGCGCCCCGATGTTTCGGGCCATCCGTGGGGCGGAATCCGCTCCGGAATCCACGTTGTCCCGCCGGATGTAGTCCCGAGCCGCGAGCGCAAACGCCTTCAGAGTGTTGAGCAGTTGGGAGAGCTCCTCGCGCTCCGTTTCGACGAGGGGGAGGGTTAGGGTGGCAGCGGAGATGCGGATGCTGGTGGTGATCTGGTCGAAGCAGTTCCGGCCCTGGATCCACCTGAGAAAAAGCAGGTTAGGAAGAGGGTTACTCGTTAGCCTGTTGTTTAGTCGCTTTGGGGCCAATCCTAACCAAAAACCCGCTTTAGAAGAAACACCGTTTGCAGAGGGGTCGGGATGCTGGTGGGAGACTTAACCAAAGCAGTTCCGGAGAATGCAAAGGATAACAATCCAGGTCAGGTACTAGGCTAAGAAGCTGGCGAATCTGTAAGCCACTTGTAATCAGTGTGGAAAGCCACTTTTGATCAGTTCGGAAGTTTTCCAAATGGCTGTCCAGGAAGTGAGAGGAATGATTTCTGCAGCGGAAATAGAAATATTGGTGGCGAGGTGGTGGATTGATCGACGCAGTTCCGGCCCCCGATTCGACTGAGGCAAACAGGTTACGAGCGAAGTTCTTGAGCAGGACCCTTCGTCAGCCAGTAGAATATATTCTCTAAGTAGTACAGGCAGAATAGGCAGCTCGTACGGACAATGAAGGGAGAAGGTTGACAACAGACAAGCCGATGCCGTTGGTAGTCTGTCAAAGCAGTTCTGGCGCTGAATTCACTCGAAAGGAACATGTTCTTGAATATGTCAATCGACTGAATGTTCTGTTAGCAGGCCGTCTTCTTGGCAAGGTAACCAGCCAGCTCGAGAGTCGTCAAAGAATAGCAGCGTTCTTCATTACTCATGTGCACGTCAAGGGTGTGAGGGAAGCAGGGACTGAAAGACATCTAACGTCCTTAGTTGCTGCTCTCGGAATTCACTCGGAAGAATCTTTAAATGTCTCACCTTTCGTAAGCGTTGTTCAGGCGCAGCGCCAAGAGAAAGCCCAGCGGCGTCCCCACAAAGATGTGCGCATCGTTGGGGAGCAGCAGCGAGGGCGCACCGATCGGCAGCCAGTAATGCTGCCTCAGAAACTCGTACAAGCAGACTGAGAGCGAAATCCCCGTTGCTGACAGCATCGGGAAAACTGGCAGGGGCGGGGAGTCGTCGGTGTCGTAGGGGGGGACGAGCCATGCGGTCTCCTGGTAGATCTCGCCCTGGCGGGGGTGCTCCTGATTTGCGATGCTGTTTTTTGCCTGGAAAAAGAAAGGGGGTTTGTCAGCAGAGTGTCGTCTGTTGAACACGAGGGGTGCTGGTAGGTGAGTCATATATTTACAGTAGATGGCAGGGGGGGCCGTACGGGACAAGGACGAGCCATTCGGCCTCTTTGTAGACCTCGCCTTGGCGGGGGTGCTCCTGATTGGCGAAGCTGTTCTTGCCCTGAGGGGAGAAAGGGGGGGGAGGTGTGTAAATAGACCGTCAGAGGGAGGATGTCACGCTTTAAAAGGAATGCTTCAGTCTACGAAACTTTTCTGTCCCTGCCGGGGATGTTCTTGGTCAGCGATACGGTTATCTCCCTGGCCGGAAGATAGAGGTGTCAGAAGAGGAAAGTACAAGGGGGGCCTGTCAGTCTGGGAGCAAAATGGTTCTTATTTTGCGGTTTCGTCCTAGCCTTGTTCATTGAATTGCAAAATGAGAGGGCAAGGAAGCGCAAGTCAAATCCACACTGTTTTGATGCAACTTTTCGACAGACATTTGTCCCCATCGCAAGAGCTTGCTCACATCTATGGTCAGGTTCCATACAGTTGGTGCTCGTAATCATCACGAGTCATAATCTTATAGTTGAACTCCTTTGAAGGAGGAAACATGGGTGGAATAGAAAACTCTCAGAAGGCTTTCCGGTGGGATTTTGTGAACTTTGTGAATCGGTCCTCCGACCGGATCCTGCCCGACTCAAGGATATCTCACTAATTCAGGTTTGGAAAAGTCGTATGGATTGTACCACCACAGCTTACAGGTGATGGCCTGCTTAAGCCAGTGTTGCTAGACCTTCTCACAGTCACAGCCTGTTCGCTCTGCTGGGCTTCAAGCATTCAGTTGAATGTTCTTAAACTGTTCTGTCGAGATTTTTACACCGCAAGATTGCTAGTCAATCAAGCTGGCGACTATTAGGAAGCGACTACTTTTCTGCGTGACTGCCACACTTGCGGATAGATGCATTTTTAGCGATTGAGTGCACGAGGCGGTTTGTACTTGTTCTTGCTGCTAGCAGCCCTTTAAATCAGTATAAAGCATTGTGCACTGTCAGGTGTTTCTAAGCAGAAAAATACTCAAATGACGTGGCCGCAAAAGTAGCCTTTCGTGCTGTCCAACTTGTGCCGCCACATTGAGTCTTCCCAATTCAAGTTTTGTAGCAACACTAGCTTCATCCAACTGAGGTGGCTCTTTACATCTGGCTTTCAGTTGACATCCAATGGCCCTTAGCTTAAAAAGCAGACCAAGTCCATGTGCATTAGCTTTTGACCAAGGCGCAATCCTGCTAGCTTTCCAAGTCCGGCGGGAGAACTCTTCCCATTCTCTCTTCAGTATCCAGTGTTGGTTGATGAAGTGTCAGGTGCATTTCTCATTTAACAGACTCACCCTTGGAGGACCAGCTCGACAGCTCAGTACCCTCGCTTGGCTCCTTCCTTCGGAGGACCCTTTCGTCCTCAGATGAGGCAATTGCTCAGAATAGCTGGAAGCAAGCTCCCAATGCTTTCCATTCCGTCGCCTTATCCTATCCAAAGACCTTGATTGCAGGCAAAAGCAAAAGCTTCTGGAAGCAGGCTCAAGTGCATTGCGCCGCGCGCTGGCTGTGCTTGAAATGTGAGAGGCTTTTCCAGCGGCAAGGGCAGAGGTTTCCGCCATGTGTGTGAGGAGTCACGAGCAGGAGGTAATTTGAAAAGGATGCTGGGGCTCTCTCTTACTTGCAGAAGAGCCTGCTCCAGGTTTCTGGATTCAACAACCACTAGCTTAGTCAATATGCCATGCTGAATCGACAATTGGGCAGCTTGGAATTTAAGCACCAGACAGCTAAGAACGTAAATCTTGGGCCCCAAACAGCTAAATAAGAACGCGAAGTTCTTATCTATATGGATGCAGAGACGAACATTTGAAACAATCCTCTACGCTTTGAGGCGCCCTTCCTTGGATTGAAGCAGGAGCACAAACTTTCAACTTCATCATCAGATAGCAAATCAACGCATCTAGAGCTGCATTCTCTGATCGCAATGTGGGGCCAAACACAGTGGGGGCCACTGGCGGAACCCTAATTTCGCAATTATGACACCGTTGGATAAGAAAAAGCAAGGAAATACAACGGCTCAAAATGGTTTGAGGAGAAGTGCTCATTCACATGTTCCTAGTCTTCCTTGCCCTGCATCATTGCAACCTGTGCTGCTACGGTCAACTGTGCTCTTCTGTAAACGCAACTTGCATTTGGCGCTTCTCTTCGAGATATGAGCACAGCGAACAGCTGTAGCTGAAGGCGTTGTTTCGCTGCAGATGAGCTTCCGGATCCCTGCCAAATAAGCAAGAGAGGTGCATTTGCGAGACACCACACGATATTTTGTAGCTGCAAACAATCGATGCTGGGAAAGACGTGAACTGTGAGCAATCATGGACGACCTCCAGTCATCTGAGGAGGTGAGCTGACCACAATCCGCTCAAAACTTGCAGCGAATTTCCTACCTTGGTCTTGAAGCTTCGTCTTTTGCCAAGAATGAGTAGGGGCAGCAGGTCTAACAACGAGCGAGGACTTGGTCCTCATGGGAGAAAATCGCCGGTGGCAAGAATGTCCCCTTGCATAGCTGGCAACGTAGAAATACTGTTAACATAGCAAGAGAATTGAGGAGATTCACCATCGCAATATGCTGTCATCCGCTGCCAGCTGCCCATCAGCTTCGATTGAGGGCAACACTTTTTCGGGCAAAGGTTGTCCACAAATTGACGATTTTGTTCAAAACAGGCTGCCTTTGTTGCTGATGACGTCAACAACATCATCAAAGAAGCTGTTGATGGGGCCCTCATGAATGCAGCTTACAATCAAACAAAGGTGAGCAAGATGGGGCTCCTAGCTACGTAGGCAAGACAGACTACTGTATGTTGACTGCTATATGCTTCAAAAGATTTGAAGGTGGCGGAAGAAGCTTGCCACCCTTTCTGAGGGGCAAGAAACTCGGCTTTTGAGTGGCAGCTCAATTCGCAGCTCGGTGGAAACATGGGAGAGCTATTGAACAGCGGTCGATCATCCCGAGTGACCGTCGCAACCAGAGAGCATTAAGCAGTAGTTCTTCTGACCAGGTGTTTGATGGCAACGGCAAGTCTATCTGCTTGAGTAGCGTACCCAGTCTGCCCTATGTTCGTGTGGAATGTCAGGGAAGAACCTAGTCAAGGGGAAAACTACCACTTCGATCAATCTACTTATCTGGTATTAGCAGCAAAACTTGACTGGCCTCTCTTGCAATGTTCAGCTGCTACATTGAACATGTGGAGGTTGCATTTGGTTGTTAGTTGACCCTTGTGAGACATGGAAATCCCCAGCAAGCCTTCCTCTACTTATATTTGCATGTTAAATCGTGAAATGGACAGTTGCATATTCCAGGCTGCTCGTAAAGGTTGGCACAATGCAGCAAACTCCAACTTCCTTTTAGATACTCTGCATGACATGGTTTTACTGATGCCTCGACATGCCTTTCAGATTGGCCAGTGGACCAACAACGTTGTGGAGAGCTGCTTGAAGCGCTTGACTGCCATGAACAAGCCTTTCAAGTACATCGGTGAGGCGCCACTGTTAGAAGCACAGCTGGGGCTCTGAACACACCGGTGTAAATGCCAGTTCCTAAATCAGAGAGAATAGCCTTTGACATCTAGAGAACAGCCCCTGACTTGGATCCCCTGTCTCATGTCGAACGCGTGCTCTTGTGAGGGGGCAGCCTCTAAGGATCTCCAAACGTGGCACAAAAGGAGGCAAAGGGGATACAGAACTTGGAGGGCAAGCTCTTTAGCCACAGCTGTTCTCCAGCAAAGAAGCACCTTATCAACAGCCTATTTAGACTGTAGTAAAGAGAACAGGCTTCGGAGGCTGTAACCTGAGCTAAAGCTTTGCTCGTTTGCAGTGACTTGCATCATCATGCAGAAGAACGGAGCGGGCCTGCACACTGCCAGCTCGTGCTTCTGGGACAACAGCACTGATGGTGAGCTGAAAAGCATTCATACAGCACACCAGATACCCTGTACTAAGATATGGGGCTTTGTAAAGATGTGTGAGGGTTTCGGTGAATACCTATTCTCTCGAGCTTTTGGAGGCAATAGTACACACGAGTCCTCTGAGATTCCACAGACTTGCAAGCGTGATTAAGCGCAACAGCACGGTCCTAAACGACTGTTTCTGCAACAGACTGGGTTGCAAGATCGGAAAAGGAGTGTCCTTCTTGTGAAGCGTTCTTGTCTGCCCAAGATTGGGGCAATTGGCCTCCTTGCTTCTAGTAGTGCAGTCTCAGATGGTGCCTGAAAGGGGCCGGCCAATTATGGAGGTGACCAGCCTTTACTAGCAGAATGAAAACACCTTTAAAGCACTGTGTTCTGTACAAAGGTTTTGGCCAGCTTGAAGGAAAGACTTGTTGAAAGTTTGAAACGTTTTGATTTTGTCTTTGTTCCAGGGAGCCGTACTGTGAAGTGGGAGAACAAGAGCATGTACTGCATAACCACGGTGTATGGACTGGCCATATAGAATAACTGCACAAGCAACGATGTAGGTTAGAAGAGATTCCCAGCTTAGGTAGCCAGGTATTGAAAGTCAAAGCAAGGCGCTGAAGCTAGGCGCGAGGGAGTCACAGGAAACGAGACGTGCACGGTTTGGGCTGGAAGATTACAACTAGAACCTTCCGCATCAGGCGGGGTAGGCACGATAGGATAGCAAGAGAAGTGACGAGGAAGTTATCGACATCAACAACCTGCCACTATTTCAAAAAGTTGCACTGCTCAATTTAGAATCAGAATAACGAAATCAAGGCTAGAGTCGGTTGCCGCAGAAGATGCTGTGCGGGCCTTGGATTTATCATCGAGGAACTACATACTGCCCGAAGTGCGGCCTGAAGCCGAAGTAAGGCGAGTTGCGCAATCGAAATTTATTTCAATCCGTCAGTCACGGTGTAAATTTCGAACAGCGAAACTCAGTGTTTAGGCTCCGGAATCTGGCTGGAAGAGCTTCGAAGAACAGCTTCCTTGCGCACCGTATCGCAGCAAGATTGTTTACTTCGCGTCTCAGTTTTAGATGCAAATTATTTTGAAAGGCCGGTGCACTTATTACAAACCCCACAATCAATGATAGTCTGTTTGCGATGCTCTGGTTACCCGTTGGCCGGCAAGGTTCTGAGGTCTCGCGACGTGTCTCTGTTGCAGGTCATGACGTCTCAGGGGCCTTTCTTTCTCCGAGTCTCCGCGCTACTCCTTCTCCTGACCTATTCAGCTGCCCAGCCGACCCCAAATCCGCCTGCTATTTTCTTTCCCCCTTCCCCAACCCCTCCCGGTCCCGCTCCCGGCTTTACGGTCGCCTTAACCGGGTCTGCGAGCTACATCACGGGCCAGCTGGTTAGCCTTAACGCCGCCATTAACCCCGGTCCGGTTTCGAGGTACCAAATCACCTGGGGATGCCTCGTCGTAAGCAGTGCAAACAGTACCTGGGGGGACACGTGTCCGTTTTCGAACCAAGTCGCGCTCGCGAACGGGGGGACGCAGCTCCAGGTGAAACCCGACACCACGTGGGACTACGGCGAGTTTCGGTTGACGGTTATGGTGACGGACCAACGAAACGCTGCTAGCACCGGGAGTGCGAGCGTTACGGTGACGGTGGCGAGGGTTGCCCCGTGGAACGTGGCGATCAACGTGACGGAGGGAAGCGCCGAGAACTGCAACCCGGGACAGAGGCTGATGCTTCAAGTAAGATTTCTGCTTACGATCACGCTTTCCTGTCACTGATCCTGTATCTCTCTTAGCGAACAAGGCTTGGACTTCCTTATCGTGATTTGCTTTGGGCCAAGCAATCATCGCGTGTGCTGTTTTTCACCGACTTTATGCTCCCTTTCCCCATCCCAATGATTACGGACTCGGGTTTCCAAGTCACATGGTGCTTGACTGTGTCCAGTATTCGCGTCTCTAGTTGACTCGATGAAGCCCGACTGTGTCAGCTGTCAGCTCTGACGCTCTACGAATTACTAAAACTCTGCAAGGTGGTTGCCCTGATTTGCCTGTTGAAGAACTAGATCCTCTCCTCGGTTGTTTTAAGCACCTCCCTTAAGTGACGAACCCACGTCTCAACCTGACCTTCTGCTTCTCCGAAGCTTTCCCATCGAATTTTGTCATCCGGCGATTAACCTGCAATCCCGCCGGTCTGAGGCCCTGTTGAGATCCATCGCACACACTTTTTCGTGTCCTTAGCGTCCCTTTCTTTCTTCCTACAGGGCCTCTATTCCGTCTCGTCTCTTACCACGGCGAAGGACCTCCGGTTCCGCTGGTCCCAGGCTCCGACAGATTCCGTGCAAGTCAATCTCAGCAGCTCCGCCGTGACGAGCACGGGCGGCAACCAGAGTTTTCTGGTCATCAAGCCAGATGTGCTGACGCCGGGCCAGAAGTACCTCCTCATTTTCACTGTCACGGATCCTGGAGGGTGAGGTTCGCCTTGACCGTGCCGTTTGTGACGATATTTTCGATTCTCAATGCGGTTGGGGTTCGAGGATTAGACTCTTTGCTATGCCGGGAAAACAGCTGAGGGCTTGTCCTCTTTGCTGGTTGTTCATCACCGCAACAACGAAGTTCCAAACGAAGGCGAATGAGTCGAAAAACTCTGTCCTCAGCGAAATCGGGCCTCCGTCATTCGTGTAGTCGTTGCTCTGGAGACTTTGTGATTCGAATGCATTTTCGGCCAAGGCGTCCTCGCTTTCCTCGCAGTACGCTTTCTCCGGCTTCACGACGTCGTGGGCTGAGGCACTGTTGGGATCGAACCTCCTATCAAAATCTGGACTCTGAAGAAGCAACAATCCGAATCACTACAAGTTTCGTTTTCCAGGAGCACTTCCGCGAACCTCACAGTCAGTGTGAGCCAGCCCCCCCGTCCCACAACGCTCCCTGGCCTTAGAGTCAGCCCTTCGAGCGGCACTCCCCTTTCCACAGCTTTCACGATCAGCGCAGCAAACCAATGGACCGATGGCGCAGGTAAGGGTCACGTTTTCCGGACGCTGTTCAGCGTATTGATCGCATTCGGGTAACAGACTGCGTGCCAGAGCCGCTTTCTTACTCGGCGAAAAAAAGCGCTTCACGTCTGTTCTCTTTTTTCCAACTATGTTCCAGTCGTTTTGCTTGCCCAAGTTCAAAAGGCCGGGCGATACTTCTCGACAGATTGAACAGAACGTCACATGGAACTGCTATCTTCTCGACCCAAAACTCGGTTCGATGATTGTTCAGAGGAAAGGGGCTCTAAAGCTCGGCACGTTAGATCCGCGCGCTTCAACACAAAAGCCGCGATCGATTAGGATCTTCCTCGCACTTCGTTTGAATGCAAGGCTAGTTCAGGAACCCAAGTGCTGGATTCACCCATTGTTGCTGCCTTTCGTTTTTAGCAATGAGATGCCGTTGATCTATCTTACAGATAGGGTTTTAACTGCTGACTCAGCAATTCACGACTTTCCTGCAGGTCCCCTCCAGTATCAGTTCGGGTACTCACTCGCGCGCGGCACCGCGCCTGCCATCCAGCTGACGTCATTCCAGCCCAGCGCAACTGTCGTCAGCATCCTCCCTTCGGGGCTGACGGCCGGGAACTACCAAGTGACGGTCCACGTGTCAGTCATGGATTCGCTGGGGCTCGTCGGGAGCGCCAGCTTGGCGGTGACGTCACAGTGGGCGTCCTCTGCAAACATAAACGTCACGGCGGCGTCTAATGACATCCTCAGCTCCGTGGACACCGCCGTTTCCGCCGGGAATACGTCAACGGCACTGGTCTACATCAACGGGCTGAGCACGCTGCTGAACGGAAACTCCGGTTCCGGTTCCGGTTCCGGTTCTGGAACGGATGCCGCCGCCTCTAGTTCCTCCCGGTTCAAGATGCTCCAGGCGGTCAGCACGATCAGTAGCAGTCTGAAAAGCGCTAGCAAGAGCGCTCTCGTTTCGAGCCTCGTCTCGGTGGCCGGAACGCTTTCGAGCATCGTTGCGATTCCGTCTCAGATCACGACCGCGTCGCAGAGGGTCGCACTAGATGCGCTGACGTCATCGCTGACGGCGGTGGTCGCGGCGGGGGTGACGTTGAACTCCGCAGCGGTGCAGCCGGTCTTCGACACGCTGAGCAGTTTGAGGCAGGTCAGCGGGAGTAACGCCGCCCAGGGGCTGCAGATAAGGGGCGTTACGTCGCAGGCCGCGGAGGCGCTGCTGGCGGGAGTGAACCCCGGGGAGGCCCCCATCTGCGTGGCTTCCGCCGGAATCGCGATGTCCGTTCGCAGGTCGGACGGAACAGCGGATTTGGATCTTGCGGCAGGAGCTCCCGGGTCCGACTGCTCAAGCGCACTCACAAGCGCGACGTTCACCGTGCCCTCCGGAGCTCTTCCGGGCGACACGCAAGTAGATTCGCAGGTGCTAGTGTTCGCCGGAGACCCGTACCAGACCGGGGAGACGCTGCTCAGCACTGGGGTATCAGGGTTAGTGTTAACCAAACCCGACGGCAGCGCGGTTCAGATCAAGGGTGTTGTAACCTTCAACATGCCGCTCGACGTCAGCAGTGTGAGTACGAGGGGCGGTCTGGGGAGCAGCGCGCGGTGTGAATACTTCAATGAAACCAGTGCGAACACACCCTCGCCGAGCTACGCCAAGCAGGGGTGCGTGGCGCTGCCTAATCCAAGCCCCCCGGGGCGGAGCTCGAGTTGGAAGAACAACGGCGTAGCGCTGAAGGGAGCTCAGGTGAGGCCTTTTGAGAAAAAGTGAAAAATCTAAGGTCCTTTCAAGCAACTTCATAGAAGCTCTCCCACGTAATCTGAAAGCTCTTGTAGAAAGGCTTAATAATAGGGGAAAACAAAACCTTGACTTTGTCACTCCGCTCCTAATTTGCGCTTTCAGACCGTGGTGCTAATTTTCACGTGCCCTTGTGACGGTTCGTAACTACTGTTGAATCCTTCCAAGTAGTTGATTGCTCTAAGGCGCCTCATCTTTACCATTCTCTGGAGTCCTCTTTTTGCCCATCGTCATACTCATCTACGAAGACTTCAATCTTTGAGTCACTTAAATCTTGTCAAAATAAGAGGATACAAAACACGTCTGCTCACTACCATATCATAGGAGCAGACTTGATTAGCTGATTTTGTCTTTGTTGATTCTCGAAAGGCCGGTCGCTCAATCACCTAGTTGAAAAGGATTTGCAAGCCGTGCGTACTGATTAGACACCCGTTTCCAACCCCCTTACATCGATTGTCCGCACTTTCTCGCAGAGGATCGAAGACCTATGGTCCATCGACCTGACCGGCACCAACTGCCAGGAATCCAAGTTCCTCCTCGTCGACTCCAACGGAAACGGATTCCGCCGCTTCACCCCAGTCTCGCCGGACTTCCCGTGCACTCTCACCGAACCAACCCAGGCGTGTTTCTTCAACGAAACCACCCAAGGGTTCCAAGGCCCAGGCTGCGTATTCGACGCGACTCTCCACTGCGCGTGCACTCATCTCACGGACTTCGCGGGCGTATTCACACCGCCGGACGTGTACGTGCTGAGTTTTGCGGACCTGAGCGATCTAAAGTCGGCGTACAAGACGCCGGTCCCGCTGATCGTGATTGGTCTTCTCGCGGTGATCATGGTGAGTGTCAAGCCTTCCTCTTGCCCCCTAGCCTTCTTTGTTGACACTAACGAGTGGTGTGTGCTGAGCGTTGCAAAGAAGTCGAGGTCTATAAGCCCCTGGCTGTTTGAGGCGTCCTTACAATCTTATGGTAAGTTGAAGCTGTGTTTGAGTGCGTATTGAGGGACGCCGAACTTCACAGAGAGAGGAGTGCAAAGACAGGCCTTCACTCCATCAACAAGAAGCGAGCTATTGGTTGCGGTAGCGGCCGTGAATTTGCGTCGGTGTGTCTCCAGGCAAATTTTTTCACCATGATTGGTTCCATCTAAAGGGTGTGTCTCAAGGCAACTTTTCTCACCATGATTGGTTCCATCTAAAAGGTGTGTCTCAAGTCAACTTTTCTCACCATGATTGGTTCCATCTAAAAGCAAGCTTGCGAATGGGATTCTCAGCCACCCTTCGGGCTTGACTTGTAGAAGACCTGTAGCGGACCATTACCCACCTTCAATCCACGGTTGACGCGATCGACGAATTAAGCAAGCCCTTAAATCGTAGAACCTGTTTAGTTTGCACGCTTCAGTTCGTCGTGCCATCTCTTTCTGAAGGCGTCGCGGTCACTTCCTATTCCTCCTCGAGCTCTTGTCAACCAACTTAGTCGCGTGAAGACACGTCAGTCCAGTTCACGGACGCTTGTCACCTATCTCACGCGTTTGTCTCACCCTTCTGATTTGCAGATAGTTGGTGACGTTCTGATGCGTCACTTTGTCCGAACGCAACGGCGGCTGGTCTTCCTCGAGCTCATGTCGACCGAGATCGACGGCGGCTGGAAGGGGATCCCCCGCTACGGCTTCAAAGCGATGCCCAACGGCGCCTTCACGTGGAGCTTCCACGAAGTGCTCAAGGGGGGAAGGTACGCAGTTGTTAGGTCACGGGCGGGTCGTTTTTAACGCGGGCTTTGGGATTTTCACGCCAGCAGCTATTTTGTACCGCGTCACGAAAATAATGGTCACCATTCCGGACGAAGTTTTGGAAGGGTCTCGTCACCGGGCAATTGTCTTTGTTAACAGATTGCTGATGCACGGGGGATTGCGTTTATATGCATATGACTTGAAAGGGCCAGATGGATCTCTCTTGTTGGCCTCTCCTCTGTCTGCAAGTCCCATATTGTGACGCGTACAATCTGGCTTGCCAAAAGTGTAACGTCTGAGCCGCTCCGTCGGTATTGCCGCCTGAATCTTTCTTTCGAACTCAAAAGTTCTGAGCGTTTTGAAATGTATTCATATCCCGGACAGGACTGTTTTGAGAGTGGACCCAATGCATTCCTGAAATTGGGTCTGTTGCAAAATCTGCTTTGAAATCCGTATGCCTCGCGGAGCGAAGTGGAGCGGGGTAGGAAGATTACGACAAGTCGTTGCACCGTATAACACTCATGCACTCTTGACTCAGAACCAACTCTTGACTGGATTAAACTCGAGAAAGTTTGAAAATGGGCCGAGATAATGATATTTTAACAGCACTAGGTAGGTTTGGTGGTTGGGTACGGGTGCGGAGCAGGTACCTTTTTGGGTTAGGGTTTTTAGTGTTAGTCGATGCTTATTATTGTCGGCTTATTATGTTATCTTTCTTGACTTTTATCTCGACTGGTGAAGGTACACCGGCGCCGAGGACATGAATGGCGACGGCCAAGTCAACGACGCGGACGCATTCCCCGGCCCCGCCCCCCTCCTCGCCGGCAAGCTCGGCATCTTATACTCCCGCTTATGCACTGCGCTGCCCACTTATACCTTCATAACCCACGAGCCCAACACCCCGGCCCGCCGGTCCCCGTTCCCTTTCTCCACGTCACGAGCCCCTTCCGCCCTGGAAGAGGAACCCCCGGTTACGGTTTTGCCCTCGAGTGACCGGTTGACTCCCCCGGGAGGTAAAGCGCGCGCGCAAACCGACCGGATGACGCCACCCAGCGGTCAAAAGCGGACGTCAGTCACACGTGTCAACGCACCGGTCACTCCGCCTGCTCAACTGGGCGGACGAGTGAGCGCCCCCGGCAGTCCGAGCGGCACGTCAACTCCCGAGAGGGATCCCCCGGTTCCAGCGCCCGGGACCGAACCGATGGGTATTGAGGAACCGGCGATAGTTGGCGAGAGCGTGGTGTCCCGGTTCGTGGGTACCGCCCTCGTGCTGGGATACCTGGACGCGTGGGGGGTGCTGACGTCAGCGGAGTGCGCCAACTACGTCAGCCTGGCGGCGGCGTACTTCCAGCAGCAGGGGCTGCTTGTCGCTGGGGACACAAGCGAGGTGTGTGGATGTGTGTGTGCACATTATTGGGGGAGCTTCACACGATACTAGAGAAGGAAAAAAACTGAGAGGCCTTGTTGTCTCATTATTCTGTGCACTCGGGAACGCCGACCTTGCAGGGCTTATAATTTTTCCCAGGCCCCTTTCGAGCAGACAAAGTTGGCTGGAAAGTGTGACTCCTTGGTACCCCTTTCAGCTAGAGCTTATCGGAACTTCTTTACTCACTCCCCAAGGTGAAAGCGCGGGCGGGTCGGCTGTTACCTGGCGCGATAGCAGGCTTCCGTGTGGACCTCTCCGGCTCGTATCGAAAAGGTCGAGGTTCTTGACTGGAAAGATGTAGCTCTTCGAAACCGGATTCAAACGGAAGCTTATTAAGGATCGTCGACTTTCCGTGCCCAGGTGAAAGCGGGGGCGGGCTCCGCTTTCAGCCTGGCCCGACAGCACGCTCTCCTAGTTGACTTCCGCGCTTACATGGAGAAGCTGAAGGTGATGATGTGGAACAATCAACACCGTCGATAGGGTAAAGCTTATTAATATTTCTTGTATAATCGTGTCCAGGTACAAGCGGGGGCAGGGTCTGCTTTCAGCATGGCCCGGCAGCACGCTCTCCTAGTTGACTTCCGCGCATACATGGAGAAGCTGAAGGTGATGATGTGGAACAACCTGAACCGGCGGGGGTGGAGACGGCGGGCACAGATTTGGCGGCTGGTTCTGCTACAGCAGAGAGACGGCAGCTATGACCTGCACTCGGACTTCGCGCGCGCACTGAGAGCGCCAGGTGAGCTTCTTCTCACCGTCCGTTCCGTCCGTTC